CCCCCCCCCCCCCTCCCGAGTCCCGCTCCGGCGACACGCCTTGCTTTTCGTACGAGACTCTGCAGTGTACTTTGGTACTTTGTCCAAGTACTTACTAGGACGATGGTTTGAGAACCGGTTTTCCTGTGGCTTGTATGGTGGAACCTCTGGAGTGCCTCTCCCCATTCTTGCCCAGAGACGTTCCTGGATGGGCATAAGTGGCAAAGAAAATGTGAAAGATTAAATGAAAATTAAATAAGAGCCCAATGAGCTGGGGCCATTGGGCAGAATGTCTTGAAGCCTTGCTGTGCGTTTCTAAGTTGTGGAGGCTGTTGCGACGTCCTGGCCCAGGGCGCTGCCGCGTACCGGTACCTGTAATGCCCTGCTTATACCCTGGCCGCTCTTGCGTGAGGCTGTAGCCAGTACTTGCATCGGATAATTGCTGCCCTTTGGGTGCGTACTTGCTGGGGAGTATTTCCTGGTCAGGTAAAGTACCTGTCGGTTGATGCTATCTACAAGTACCTTGGTACCTTCCATCTGTTCGTTAGTGAAGCGCCTTACACGGGAAAGTCGGAACTGCCAAGATCCTGTTCCCTACATCTACCCGCCGCCATCCAATTGACTGATTCACTTCATCTTGTACCAGCTCCTAATTCCGTTTTCTCGATTCACACTTACACATCTTTATACTTAAGTCGTCGTCATCGGTTTCTATTTGCGTTCTTGCTGGGGCGCCGAAGCATCACCAACACCCACCGTGCCATCTTCTACACTCTCACCTTGACCCGATACTCACACATCCTCTTCCACCACCCTACCCCGGCATCCTCACAAATACTAGGTTCATTCCTAGTTAGACAACTTGGAAAGCTGTGGCAAACACTCGTCTTTCCGGTTCCCACGCGAGCCAGCCAGCATACTACGCCGATTCCCCCGTCCTCGACAATGCCACGGGTCTCGGGACTGCTGAACCCAGTTTCCTGTGCCCGTCCTATTGGCGTCTGAAATCCCTGTCAGGGTCTTCTTCACTATATCTACACCTCTGGCCCGCTCTTTGGACACTGCCGTATCATCACTCCGAGCCGTTGGAGAAACGATTCTGGCCGCTGAACCAGGGCGTGGCCATCTCCAACTAAGCAGATCCCACATACCCCCAAGCAAGCGCATATCCAGTCACCCTCCCGCACTTCCGGCCATCTCTGCTTCTCTCGATCTACATGACAAAGGCTTGCCCATTGCCTTGTGCTGCTTGGTCATACAGTGTCTTATACACACACACCCAGGGACACTGTAAAATCCCCTTCACCTTACCCTCCAGTCAATTTTTTCCCTATTACACACTCCACCACAAAAATAGCACCTAGGTCACCTCGGATTCTTGCAGCGACTAAGAAGGGCGACCTTTCTTTCACCCTACCTCCGTTCTAGTGGGTTGACAGAGGCTCAGCAGCCCTACATTAACATACACTCCCGCTCCAGCCTCGTCCCCAACGACTATCCTTTGTGTTTGAAAAAACACGTAAATACCTCTTTCGACCGCTCAATACTACCAAGCCTGTATTTCAAGTCTCCATCCCCTCTCATAGCCTTTGGTGGCTGTGGAGACTTACTGGACGAGCACCTGAACTCATCGCCAGAAAGCTACTGCGTCCTGTCAAGCCCCCATTTGCGCACCATTGGCCAATTGGGCACTTTGACACGCGTCTTATCCTGCTTTCAACGTTTCTCTACATATATCCATCTCACAGAGTGGCAAATCAGCTACCTGTTACTATATCATACCTTGAATCAAGCATTGCTGCTGACCTCTACCGCCGAGTCCAGCTAACTCTCTCCCTCCGGCCCTGTCAACTTCGCCGCTTTTCACCACCCTCGATCGAGATCTCTCCAGCTTAGCACCAGAAAAACCTCGAAAGACCTGTCCAGCTCCATACATATCGTTACCGAGAGCTGCTGGTCGCCATCCTTCATTTCGCGTTTACAGTCGACAACGTCACGATGGGAGACATCCCCTCTCCACAAACAGCTTCTGTTCAGACTGCTGAGCCCCAGGGAAACAAAATAACACTGCCAGCAGCATCCACCGCCTCTCCTCCCAAGTCCACTTCAGCAGCTGCACCATCGCGCCGACGTCCTTCCTCTACCCGACAATCTTCCTATGGACACACTGGTACGCCGTTTCCCGAGCAATTCGACAGACAAAATGTCGTCTCACCTCCGGCTCACGAGGCTGGACCTTTCAACATGGCACCTATGGCCGGTGCCTTGCCTCATGGAGGCTACCAACATCCACTGCTGCCAGGGGGCCATGCCCAGTACAGCCAGCATTCGCCACCAGTCATGCAGCACATGCCACAGAACCCATACGTTGGACACCATCCTGGCTCAATGATGATGCTAGGATACTATTATCAGCAACCACAAATGCACCAATACTACCCGAACCTTCAACCAAACCATCACGGCCCGCTTCCGATGCAAGGACGAGGCCATCCAGGCTACTACCCAGTTCCCTTTGTCATGGAACACCCACAATCCCCCGGATACTATCCACAACCACCTCAGTTTCCTGAGCCAGCTCCCCAACGGCCTGATATAATGAACCGACGGTATAGCCAAGGGCAAATCCATCACCAAGGGTGGAATCAACCTCGAAGATCGTCGCGCGGAACAAGCAAATCTTTCAGAGACCAGCCATCACCACCAAGTACGTTATTTCTTTCCATGTTCTCTCGTTTAAGATGACTAACTGGACATCCAAGTCGACGCCAAACGGCAACAACAACAAAACGCGGCCCGTGGACCACCACGAAAACCCCATCAAAGTGGTAAGGGGTTTTCGATGCAAGACCAGAGTTAAAGCTAACCCTTATCTTTTAGGTCACGCTATATGGATAGGAAACCTACCACCACAGACCGAATTGTTGACACTCGTGCAGCACGTCTGCGAGTTGGCTCCGGGACTCCAGTCCCTGTTCTTGATCTCGAAGAGCAACTGTGCGTTTGCCAACTTCAAAGAGGATACAGCTTGCATCCAAGCACAGAATGTTATCCATGAATCCAAGTTTCAGTCTGTACGATTGGTATGCCGACTTCGGAAGAGCTCTACCGAGGCAGCCCTCGAGAGCCATGTTGTCATTGTTGATGGCACGAGCAATCCTACATCACCTACTCTCGCAAGCGATCCAAACGGAGAAAGCAGATCGCCAACAGTTGAAAACCCAGATCTTGTCGAGGCTGTTGTAGCACAACTGGACAAGAAAGCGGGCAATGCCCACCGGGATCGATTCTTTGTTCTCAAGAGCCTGACTCGGGAGGACATGGAACAGAGTGTCAAAACTAGTATTTGGGCTACTCAATCCCACAACGAGCAGCTCTTGAATAACGCTTTCAAGGTTAGTAAACATGTTGTTGAGTTGAGCCTTGGAAATCATTAGCGAGCGTGCTGACCACGTCACAGTCTACCGATAATGTTTACCTGATATTCTCGGCCAACAAGTCTGGAGAGTATTTTGGATTTGCTCGAATGACATCGGAAATCAACCAAGATCCAAGTGCCGCAATTCAGCTTGCGCCACAAAACCAGGCAACTATCGAAAGCGACTTGCCACAGGCCGTCTCGATCGAAGCGAAGGGCGCTATTCCGAAAGGACATGTTATCGATGACTCTACACGAGGAACCATGTTTTGGGAGATTGACGGGCCTGAGCACGATGGCGAAGCTGCAGATGAAAACGAAGCCACGAGTCACAAGGAAGAGGAAGACGTGGACGAGGACTTGCAGACGCAGGGTAAACCATTCCATCTGCAATGGTTGTCTATTGTCCCCTTGCCGTTCTATCGCACTAGAGGGCTGCGGAATCCTTGGAACTCGAACCGCGAAGTCAAGATTGCGAGGGATGGCACGGAGCTTGAGCCCTCGGTTGGACGTCGACTGATCGGCTTGATGAACAACAACTCCAACGTAGGGCGTTCTTCGGGCTGCATTCCTGCATATTTGGGGCCTAATGGGCACCAATGAACGACTTAGTGTTGGATCTTGTGCAAATCTAGTTATATGGTTTGCAAAAGATAGACTGTCCAACACCAATTACGAACACGATGACTCGATCGGTATCACACTTTGACGATGAACACGGACGGGATTGAGAGCAAAGGGCACTTGGGATACCACGCATGCGAAAAAATGTTTTATTGTACCAATATTTAAATCACGTATCTTTGCACACTATTTTGAGCGGTTCAGAGTATGCAACGAATCATTGAAATGGCCCATTTGGCTGGTACTCGGCCCGTTCTTGGTCAAGACCGGCAGGCCTTGTAGGGGCACCAAGGATTGTAGGGCTGTATTTACATCAGTCAAAGGTCGCGAATATATTGAGTTCACAACTGAGAAGGCAAATAGGAAAAAAGAAAAATCATACAGCAGCCGGTGTTCGCTGGTCGTCGCTAATCTAACTACTAATCTACCAGTAGCTTACTTTTAGTAGAGTAAACAGGATATCTTATATAGTAAAAGGAGCAACTAGATCCTAAAGTTTACCTACTGCCCTTATAAGTGATTCTCTAAGTAAGAGTGATTTATAATTAAGTAGCCTATAATAAAGTAATATAAATTATATATATACTTTTAAACACACTTAAAAAATTGAATAACTTTCTACTAATTAACACCTTTTTATATAAGTATACATATTTAAAATAGTATACTAGCCTTCTAATAGAGAGATAAAGACACTTCTTAATAGTACTATCTTTTATAGAGTCTACTTAAATATTATTAATACTAGTATAGACTATAAGCACTAGACCCCTCTAGGCTTAGACACTTTACCCCCCTACCCCCCTAAGCTTTTAAATATTAACTAGGCTTAGCTACTATACTTATTAGTTTAATTTATTAATTAAATAAAACTTAAGAATCCTCTATACTTTCTTCTTTAAACACTAAGTATTAAATAGTATAAAAGTAAAGAGCTAATTATTAAGTCTCTAACTATTATAAACACTATAGTATATATATAGGGCTAAGTGAGTTAGACTAGGGTTAAGTATACTAGTACTTAAATAGAAGAAGAAGTTATATAATAGTTTAATAGATTATTATAATAATCTAGTAAACTAAGAGGATTATTAGGATTATAAAGTAAACTAAATAATCTAAGTAATATAATAGAGGATAGAATAAATATATAAAAAAGGGAATTTCTAGTAGATAGTTAGACTATATCTCTACTAATTAATCTAAGTAATAGTTCTACTACTAAGAGATATCTCTTAATATAACTTCTATAAAAATAACTACTTATTAGTACTTTATATATATAAGCTACTCTCTTCTTAAGAAATAGACTAACTATAGATTAGGATTACGCTACTATTATAGAAGGGCTAGTTAGGGAGTGTTAGTATATACTATATAACCGTTTAGTAACTCTATTAAGGATATATTAGCCCCCCTTAATAGTTAACACTAGCTTAGAAACATCCCTCCGTCTAAAACAGTGTATACCTCTAAAAACTAGTGGGTCTATGTTTCCTAAGCACTATACTTAGATAGGACTAGTGGCGAGCATTTAGTCATAACACCTTAAGAAAAAGAGGTCAAGCTCGCCATTTTTCAAGCCAACGACCGCATTTCTAGCCTACTAAATAACCATAATTAAGAACGGGACGGGACGCGATATTTTCTACTGCCTATGGCCGTATGTGTCGGTTAAGTCGTCTATGTTGCTTTATGAATCAGCTGATGCAATGCTGTTCAAGTGATGAAGCAATGGGTATCCCCATGCTGCAGCGTCACAATATCACGCTCCTGGTCCAAGTAAGGTGATTGTCGGATGAAGAACCGCCAGCTCTTTCGGCTCTGTCTTAGGGCTTCGAGGGCACTTTGTGTTGGTGGAGGAGACTTCTGTCTGTCTCTACAATATTAAGACATTAGAAACGGCCACAGACCTAATACATGGGTTTCAATTAACTGCTACGCAAAACTTGCTTCAATGAGATTGACTGAATTGGAGTGTCTCTATCCTCAAAATCCACCTAGACCCTCAGCCTTCATCACCATCCCTAATACCCCTTTAACTAAGCCAGTGAGCATACCTGGGTTGCCCATGTACCCTGCACCCGGATTGCCATTTCCATCTCTCCAGATTCCGTCCTCAGCGACACGCCCGAAGAGTTTTGTATTCTGATTCCTATCAATGCATTCCCTCCATTTTTTGCAAATTTCTGGACTGTCAACCATGACATTGACTTCCTGGCTGTGGAACCAGGATTGGGTATCTTGATTCCCGCTCCCCTGTACACCAACGCAGCCATCCACAATCATCAATTTGATGTGGCAGGATCGTGATTTGAACGAGTGATGTATAGGATGATTTTGATCTTTGCCGACGTAATTATATATGTGAAGCAAAGACGTCTCACGTGTATTGGGAGGAAGCGACGCAACAAACGAAGTTGCCACTTGTTCGTTTGTGCCGCCTTGCCCAGGTATCATCTCTCCCAGGTCATTGTATCCAAAGCAGGTGTATATCGTGACCGCAACCCCGCGGTGCAGTGCGTCAGCGAGTTCCGGAAGGAGAGGCGCGGCGTTGAGGTCTGGGGTCTGGATGAAGATGTCTTTCCGCGCATTGCGAATGAGGGATAGCCACGCTTCATTTTGCGGAACGTACGAGTTCTTCGACCCAAATTTTCCGTACGGCGGCCTGGAAACAAGAGCCATTGGGACAGCGCGTGGTGTGTCCGTCACAAGGTACGGTATCATGACCTCGTCGTCGGTGAAATCCGGCCCAGTGGCAGCAGTAGGCTTCTTGGTAGCAAGGTTCAAGACGCGATTGGCCGCTTCGAGGTTACTTTCTCCTTTGGTGGGTTGGTAACTTCCATGGACTCTGAGAACTTCATCGGCGATGCTCATGTCGAAATGGGGGTCATCAGGGGTATGGACAGGCCGTTGAACCGCCTCGGCTAAAGCCGGCGAGCTAATCTGCAATCTCGATTTTGGTGAATCTTTTTGTCCATCTTCTCCGTTGAGATGCATCGTTGTAGCATGCGGCGACAGTGAGTCGGTATTGAGTGGTAGATCGGGTTCTCTCAGTTGTTCATACCAAGTGATAATCGCCGCATCACGAAGGCTTTCCACAATAGGCCCTTCTAGATGAACCATCATTTCCAAGTTGTCGTTGTCAGCCATGTTGTTGCTCATTATAGTGGCAAACTTGCCATCCACAACGCAAAACTTGGAATGAAGTGTGCCCAATGGTATGGTATGCACGTTCATGACCTCAAGGTCCACATGAGGGATATCTTCGGGTGCAGGTAGGCCGAATGATTTGGCCGTGTAGCTTTTTGAACTCATCTTGTGATGAGAGTTGGACAGGTTGGACAGGCCTGCCGCGTCATGCATGAAGTGTGCCCTCACGCGTTGATTTCGCTTTGCAGCTCGCCGGGAGAGCTCCAACAAAGCACCACTGGCCAATTTCTGCGCCAAAGAGGGTGACCAAGCGCAGGTCACAAAGAAGATTTCTCTTTCTGCGGACGCGATCAGGTTCGCACAATGCCGGACAACATCGCCGAGCGGCGCGATGACTGTAAGCGGTATTGTACCATGAGATCCCATGAGCGGAGGAGACACCACTCCTGACTGTGCGTCCGCGTCCAAACAGCCGAGGGCGTCGGCAAAAGCCTGCAAGAACAAAGGGCTTGGTTCTGTTGGTCCCCATTTGCCGCATCGGAATGCGTCGCTTTGCTCCTTTGTAGACGGTGGTTGTCGGCGTGTCTTGGGCTCGCAAGTACAATCTTTTGAATATCGTCCATAGAGGCGATTAATTATGGTGCTAGGCGCTAATGCCGGGTCATTCGCCAATGCTGAACTGACCGTGTTGGGTTCACAACATAAATTCTTAACATGGTCGGACACCATTTTAAGGCCTACAAAAGATAACTGCTTGATGGCGGTGTTTGCATTGTCTACGTACAGGGACAAGGCCTTAATAAGTCTTTCGTGTGTTGACTATTGTCTAGGCCCCCGGTAAATCGGCCGGATAAACGGCCTGGTAAGTCGTCATGGAAAGGCCGATCTGCCTGACTATAGAATTGTGTATAGTGTGGCTTAGAAATGTGGCTTGGTCCTTTTAAAAGTGCCACTACTGCTGCCTTGTTTTTCTGAATTATATATTTAATATGCACTTTTCAAGGAAGGCAGGTAAGTAGACTCCTAATTTTTTCTAGTATAATTTGCTACTTAGTAACGTAAAACAGCGCCACAACATCACGCGCCTGGTATAAGTAAGATGACTGCCCGGCGCGGAACTGGCAGCCCTTTGGGCTGTAGCCGTGAGATGGCGACCGTGCCAAGGTATCAGCAAAACAACTGTAAGAGGTAGCGCCGCTTCGCAACACAAGTCGATGACGAAGGCGTTCCTTCAGACGTGCATGTCGACCGGCGCCAGATGATGGCATCGAGCCCTTCACAGGCGTAAAGATGGGACGACGTTGGAATAAGTGTGGCTTGACCATGCAGTGTAGGAGGGGTAGTTGGAAGAAGCTTTTTGGCGGCAACAGCTCGCCTGACAGATGACTTGCTGTGGCTGAAGACGGTCCATGTGGCTACGCAGCGTGCTACGACACTCCCTATCATAAGCGAACGAGAAGCAATAAAATCAGCGTCGTATCGTCTGACCTGAACTGATCGTTCGATGAGATATGTAGATCGTGCATGTAGCTCATCGGCACATTTGAACGAGGTTTGAAGCTCGATTGTGCGGGCGTAATGATGACGCACCCGCGAACCCCCCGCTCAGGATGCAGGTCCTACTGAGTCCAAAGAGGCTGAAATAAAACCAAATCGACACGCCCCTCGCCCTTCCCCGCCATTCAGCGCACCGATGTACCTTTTTTTGCGAAAGTGAGGGCACCAAGGTTTCCACTCGGGGACTGTGACGTCACTGCGCCACACAAGCTGAAATTTCCTATTTGGGATAAAGAGTAATTACGTAAGCCAGGGCACTCGCTATACCAGTACAAGCACGGGTACTTGAGTGAGGAGATGAGATGCTTGGGAGAGAAACCATCGTAGAGTATGCAATAGCTTTTATATTGTTGATATACACTAGAATTTCAACTCTGCAAGTTTTGCCTCAATTCAGGTGACATTGCCGCCATCCACATCAGCCCGTAGGTCCAGGGCTTACCGATCTCAGTGGAACCTTCCAGCGCCTTCCAGCGCCTTCCAACAGGTTCTAGCGGCTTCTGGCCACTGCTGTTGGCATTGTCCAATTGCTTCGAAATGCAATGGGCTTTGTAAGTCGCCAGCATCTTCAACATGATTCTAGAAGCCAAAACCATGACGAATATCAGCTCCTGCCTGGAGGAGGTCTGCCTCTCCTTCAACTATAAAGAACCAACTTGTTTCCCTTGAAATCCAAATTCTCTTTTCCTCATCACCACACAAAACAAACATTTAACGCCCTTTCTATCCTCTCTCATATGCACACTTTCCGCGTCTCTCCCAGAGTCCCAAGAAACACCAACAACCACACCAACTCAAACAAAATGGCCGCCTTCTTTCCCCGCACCATCTACAACACCGAGGCTTCCTTCACGCCTCTCTTCCGTCTCCTTGACGACTTTGACTCCTACTCGCGCCAGTGCCAGCCCGCTTCCACCACCAACAACCACTGCAAGAAGCAGCAGCAGCAGCACTTTCGCAAGTCCGCCGTCTCCCACTGGCAGCCCAAGTTTGACGTCCGCGAGACCTCGGACGCCTACGAGCTCCACGGCGAGCTGCCCGGCCTCAGCAAGAACGACGTGAGCATCGAGTTCACCGAGCCGCAGACGCTCGTCGTCCGCGGCAAGGTAGAGAGGAACTACACCGCCGGCAGCGCCCCCAACGCCGCCGCTGCTGCGCCGGCACCCGCTGCTGTTGAAGAGCCTCAGCTTGAGGAGCCCGTCTCGCACAAGACCACCGTGGCCGACGAGGACGACGCCAGCATCCAGGAGGAGAGCGGCTTCGAGGTGGTGAGCGAGACTTCCAACACCGCCCCCGCCACGCCCGAGACCGAAGCGGCCGCTGCCGCGGCACCGGTCGACCAGGCCAAGTACTGGCTCACGGAGCGCAGCATCGGCGAGTTCGCCCGCTCCTTCAGCTTCCCCTCCCGCGTCGACCAGGACTCAGTTACCGCGGCCTTCCAGGACGGTATCCTCAGCATCTCTGTGCCCAAGGCCAAGAAGCACGAAACCATCCGCATCGCCATCAACTAAATTTCGAAGTGATGGAATCTCATTACGAACACTGAATCATCATCTGTTCTCTTTCATGTCCTGATTTCTTACATGCCACTTGTTGCATTCCCAGGCGTTGGAATTTGATACTACACATTCATTAATAACTTGCTTGTACACTAGATATAGCGAGAAATACACAAAGTCTTTGACATGAAAAGTCCTCAATAAAGTATGCTCGTGAATGTAGTAAACAATTGTTTTGTTGTATGGCGGTTGACTTACACGGTGGTCACCCCCAGGCTGCACTACCACAAAATATAGCAACGCCGGAAATTCTCTCAGAACACACGGAATGCTCAAAAAGATAGATAAATTACGCACTTCTATTGTCCCCGTCATTTTTTTTGGTGTGTCGATTTGCCTGCTCCCCAGCTACGAGAGTCAAATGGCGCACGTGATCTGGCGTTTGACAATTAGCGTTGCTGCCTGACCTGGCGCGTTCCAACGCGTTATCCCACAACAACGGCTGATTAATTCAAGGAGGAGCCCTCTCCCGGCCTATTCACGGCTCACCTCTACACGGCAAAGCTGATACACACATATAACGATTATTTGAATATGGCTGAGGAATATGATGAAGCTCAAATGGGCGAGGAGGGCCAGATGGGCGGCCCGGGAGCTCCCACTCCCCTCAGTGCTCTTGAAGTAGGACTCTGCCCGGCAAAGGTTCACCGCAGTTGCCGTTCAATGTCACTAATGACTAGTTTCCAGGGAATTGCCGGATTGACGAAGCGAGATATCCAACTGGTCGTCGATGGTGGCTTCAACACTGTCGAGGCCGTGGCGTATACCCCGCGCCGGATGCTGGAACAGATCAAAGGCATTTCGGAACAGAAAGCTACCAAGATTCTCGCCGAAGGTAACTTGTGTGGAAATTCCTAGCTGATGGGCAATGCTAATGGCGTGTAGCTTCGAAGCTTGTCCCCATGGGCTTTACCACCGCGACAGAAATGCACCAGCGACGAAGCGAGCTCATCTCCATCACCACGGGCTCAAAGAACCTCGACACTCTTCTCGCCGGTGGTATCGAGACCGGTTCCGTGACCGAGCTCTTCGGCGAGTTCCGCACCGGCAAGAGCCAAATCTGTCACACCCTCGCTGTGACGTGCCAGCTGCCCTTCGACATGGGCGGCGGCGAGGGCAAGTGCCTGTACATTGACACCGAGGGCACGTTCCGCCCCGTCCGCCTGCTCGCCGTGGCCAACCGCTTCGGGCTCTCGGGCGAGGAGGTGCTCGACAACGTCGCCTACGCGCGCGCTTACAACTCGGACCACCAGCTACAGCTGCTGAACCAGGCGGCGGCCATGATGTGCGAGACGCGCTTCTCGCTGCTCATCGTCGACAGCGCGACTGCGCTCTACCGCACCGACTTCTGCGGCCGCGGCGAGCTGTCCAACCGCCAGACGCACCTGGCCAAGTTCATGCGCACGCTGCAGCGCCTGGCCGACGAGTTCGGCGTGGCGGTGGTGATCACGAACCAAGTCGTGGCGCAGGTGGACGGCGGGCCCAGCGCAATGTTCAACCCGGACCCCAAGAAGCCGATTGGCGGCAACATCATCGCGCACGCGAGCACGACGAGAATCAGCCTGAAGAAGGGTCGCGGGGAGACGCGCATTGCCAAGATTTACGACAGTCCCTGCTTGCCGGAGAGCGATACCCTGTTTGCCATTGGTGAAGATGGTATCGGCGACCCGGCCCCCAAGGATATGGAAAAGGACTGATGAGTGGCGATTGGAACGATATAATTTGCCATTTCATATGTTTTTGCATGGTTTGCTGGCGTTGGCCGTTTTGCTTTCCTTGGGCTTTACAATGATTAGATGTTTTTTGGAGGACTCACATTAGACTGTGCGGCAAATGGCTTTTTTTCTGTAGATATTGCTAACAATTTAATAATGACAGCGAGAATGCATAGTTTCAGTTTTATTTTCGTTACAATTTGTAAAGGTCTTCCTTCAGATTTCAGATGCTAGAGCTGTTGATCGAGGTGGTAGATACCTGAGCCTGAGGTGAGCTCCACAGAAACGAACCAGCGGCGGCTAGTGCGACGGTGAAATTCGCAGCTTTCATAACAGAGCTCCAAAACGCAGCTCTGCGTCGCCAACATTAATTCATAACGGCAAACGCTCCGCATCACCGACCTCACAAACCATCGAACAACTTCATCTCCCTCTATACATTCAACAAGGACGCACGACCCACAACACATGCGCTCCTAGAGCTCCAGGAGGCGAGATGACCTCGGGCGAACCCAAGTTTCTCTTCAAAGAGACTCGCTTGAACCTCGAGCCTCCCGCCGCCGCGTCCATTGTCACGATCCGCGTCCCGTCGCTGTCCGGAAGCACCACCTCGCGCGGCACCGATGGCGCGGCCGAGGACGGTGCGGCTTTCCGCCGCAAGAACCTCGCCAGCGCAACCTCCATCTACCACCGGCAGTGGCACGACGCGCCGCGAAGCTTCCTCTGGCGCGTGCTCGAGGACGGCCACCTGCTGAGCGTGCGCGCCACCGACGTGTGCTGCCGCGGAAGGGCGGCTGACGCGCCGCTGGTGCTCAACTTCCACTTCGCGGTGCCCATCCAGCCGGGCTGCGTCGCCCTGGCCGATCCGCAGGAGCACGACGCGCTCTGCCTGTTCGTGCTCGACACGGCGTCGGCGCTGTACACGTTCACGCTGCGGCCGGACCTCTTCAGGAAGCGCACGGCGGTCGACGCGGGCCTGTCGGAGCTGGCCAAGGTGCAGGCGCCGGCGGGGCTGGGGTTCAAGTACCCGCACCGCATGGTCGCCGTGTCGGCCAACACCCTGCTGGTGACGGTCAACGACGGCGGCATGATTCGCCTGGACCGAAACCAAGCCGACGATGGTATGTTTTGTGATGAGATTGGGGCGCGCTTCATGGGGACAAGTGTTTTGGCTAACGCGAACGCAGGGGGTGTTTGGAAGGAGACCTTTTTCAACGTCCAAGGATGGAAGCAAAACCTCCGAAGCTTGCTCCCTTTCCAGGGCAGCCACACGATCCGATATGGCCGAACCAACATGGAATATAGTGCTGCCACGGCGGTCCAGGTGACATCTCTGGGGTTGGATGGCTGTCTGTTTGCCATTACAGTGTGCCTCGACCATCGCATCCGCATATGGAACATTCAGGACGGCCAGATCTTATTCACGGGAGACCTACTCGGTGCCGACAGATCTCCCCAGGAGATTGGCAAATGGATCTTGGACCCTTCTCAAGCCAACCTGGTGCAGCTCGTTGGACGCAGCCCGGGACGGAGACTATGCGCCACATACTCACCAATTGGGCCGGGCGAATTCAAGTTTTGGAACATTGTTGCAAAGGGGCCGCATATGATTACAGTTGAGGAGCGCTTCCCCAAACTAACCCTTATTCCGGAAACGCCTTCATCGGCCGATGTATGGACACTAGCCGACTTTATACTCGCAACGCCCAAGGATGATAGCGTCCGCCTGTGGACATTGTGGAAGAACAACATGACTTACCGGGTTCAGCGGCTTGACTTGGACAGCACCAATATGTCCCAGGTCTGGCAACAAGGTTGGGAAGGTGTCCATTCTAACGTGGGTTTGCCCCCTGCCGAGCCCTCTGGGCCATGGGACCCAGAAGACGTTACGGAAAAGTGGCTGCAGTTGATCCTGAAACCTGGTCTCTTTACCAAGGCAACGCTCGAAGCAGCGCTCTCCATCTATGAGCAAGGTCTAGGGAAGGCTAGAGAAGGAACCAAGGGACGCGGTCTGGCCGAATCTATATGCTCGGTGCTCGGTGCCGCGGCGTCATTAGAGAGAGGTCCTACCGGTGCTATGGACTATGAGCAGTTTAGATCCTCGAGCGAAACTCAATGGCGCCGCTTCTACAGGCTTCTTATCGAGCTTGATAAGCAACGCGGTGAAGCCATCACCCTGGCACTCGATCCGGAGTCCGACATGGCTTGGGTTGTCTGCGCCGATCTTGTTTCGGCCATCAGAGAGTGCAGCGACTTGGAACGCATTTACCACAACCTCAAGGCTCCTGATCAGGACAGGCAGCGTGAGGCTGTTTTGATCAACTCGGCGCTGTCATTTGTGGACGGATTCTCGGACAGCTATCGGCAGCTCTGTAACGCGGCTCTACGACCCGAACTATTTGAACAATCTCAAAAAACGGACCTAGAGCGCATTCAGTTCTTCTCCGACAAGGCCGGATTCTGGCGTGGCATTACCGATGAAGATTGCACACAGATTGTCGACGATCTGGGTCAAAACTTCAACATGGTTACCGATGACCTGTACAATGAGGTCCTCGATTTACTCGCAACCCCCGCTGCAATGAAGGGACGGAAGCCCAACAATCCAGTTACCGAGTTTGGTCGGAGACTCGTCATGGCAGCCACACAGGATTGCCTGACCATGCAGTGGAGAGTGTGTCTGAGCCAGCTTATCCTTCTTGTTCATATGGAATACGAGTTCGACGACGAGGAAGATGCTCTCCATCACCGAGTAGACGTCGGCAGCGTATTCCGAGGCTTGATTGCCGCCCTTCGCCGCTTAGAGCTGTTGAGGCATCTATCCCAAACAGAACTTTCCGTACCCCTATATAGACCAGATAGAGGTATCTCGCCCAAGAAGAGCGGCGATGACACGCAAGTCGTCACGGCCCTGGAAGCCAATGTCGGCCACCTTCTTGGCTTCAACGCGACGAACGCGCCTCTCAGCAAGAGCCTCTCCGAGATTGCGGCCTCCCTATGCGCCCCGGATAGCGATATCGAAGTATCGCCGGCCCTGATCCAGTGCTCGCTTATGAAGCGGCAACGGGCAGATCTGGCTAATACTCTCACCCCTTTCTGCAACGAAGATCCGTTCTCGGTGTATGTTCAGGGCCGCGTGAGTCTGGCTTTGAAAGACTACAATAGCGCGGCAAGCTTCTTCAGGAGGGCTGCCGTCGGCATGAGTAAGTCTTGCAGTGCGATTCTGCGTGTACGGTACGTGTACTAATCCTTCCAGGCACCGAGAACGTCGAGCTTGACCAGCACAGTGGTGGCTTGCTAGACAACACAGAATGGGCCTTGTTCAATAGCGGTCTGCCTCGCTACTACTCGCACATCGTCGCGCTCTACGATGGCCAAAAGGCATACTCCTACGTTATTGAGTTTGCGCGCCTCGCCATGCAATTCACATCTGCGCGCCCCAGTCCCGAATCCGTCAAGGCCGAGATGCTTACGCGGCAATTCAGCGCCGCGCTCGCCACCTGCCAGTTCGAGCTTGCCCACACCACCCTACTCTCCATCAAGGACCAGGCCCTGCGCTCCTCCAGCCTGCGCCTCCTCGTGGACAAGATGTGCGAGACGTGCCACAACAGCGAGCTCGTGGCGCTGCCGTTTCCTGGCATGCAGCAGGAGGTCGATGAGTTCCTGGCCAAGCGCTGCCGCAGCGCCGTCGACGTGGTGCGCGGCGCCCACTACCACCAAGTGCTGTACGCGTGGCGCATCAAGCGCCAGAACATGCGCGGCGCCGCGTGGGTGCTGCTCGACCGCATCCAGAAGCTCAAGCTCGCCGGCGAGGCCGACAAGATCACCGGCGACGACGTGCTGGACACCCCCGTCACGCGGCAGTACCTGCTACTCATCAACGCCCTCAGCTGCGTCGATCCCAAGCAGGCCTGGGTCTTTGATGAGGGTGTGGCCGGCGCCGTGGACGAGGCCACGGGGCTGCCGAGGAAGCGCGCGGTCGTTTCGCTCGCGGACGTGCGCAAGCAGTACCAGGACGAGCTGGATAGGATCGCGGCCATTCAGAATAACCAGTTTGGCTTTTCGGCGGATGATGTCATGGATCTTGCATGAGCGGATACCTGAAAATCTCGGAGGAGTAAAAGGGGAAACGAGGAGGTCGCAAATTTAATGGATCTTGTGGTTTTGTAGATTTGACAACTTTAGTTTCTTTTTCTTTCTGTATCGGTTGTGTATTTGGACCCTGGTTAGGTAGTTATGATCAAGTTGCGCACCGGAAGAAAGTGTGGCGACGGATTTCTGTGTACAGTCTCATCCTCATTCGTGTGTTTAAAGTGAATCTGTGTTCTTTTTATATGTCTTTATGTAGGGATATATCAGTCCAAATGGACGTCTCCTGTTTCCCCCCATAGCCCCCAATAACGCCGGTACGTATGCTAAGCAAGCAGAAGCAGGATTCAAATCAAGGAAAAGGGAAGGCTAGTAATTAGAACATGAAAGTATGGCGAGCAAGGCAGAGGTCGGACCTCCCCACGTCTACGCCTCCGCGATCATAGCAGGGGCGTCGGGTGGATGGGCGGCCAGCGCGTGGCTATTCTGCTCGACGACTTGTTGGTCGGGGGCCTGGCGGTAGAGGATAATTTCGGACTGCTTAAAGTACCGGCGGGCGTCTGGTCAAATGTCAGTATTCCGCAGTTGTATTCAAAAAGGTTGGAAAGGGGAAAGGAGGAGGTGGGCCTCAAGGGGCTTCCTTCGTACCTTCGTCGATGAGGACGAGACTGAGGTAATACCGCGTGGAAAACTTCTTGTTGACATCGCGGAAGGTGGGCGTGAGGTCGAAGCCGCCGAGGAAGAGGCGGATGGGGATGATCTCGCCGCGCGAGGGGGAGCCGTCCATGATCTCGAAGCGGACGAGGGTCTCGCTCTCGTTGTACTGGTTGGGGGCGGCGCCGGTGGTCTCGCGGCGGATGATGGAGAGCTCCATGTGCTTGATCTTGAGGCGGACGAGGAGGAAGTAGATGCGGCCGACGATGACGTCCTTGAGGTGGTACTTGCTCTTGCTGTACTCGAACTCGATGTGGAGGCAGTCCTCGATGCCGACGTCCATCTTGATGCTGCTGTTGATCTCGGGCGGGATGCGGTAGCTGTAGACCCAGATGTCCTTCTCGCGGATGACGTCGGCCATGCGGCGCGAGACGGTGACGCGCACGAAGTAGCGCAGCTTGACGTTGATGCCGTTGTACGACTCGTACTGCTTCTCGACGTTCTTGAAGTTGAAGTCGAACGTCTGCGGGTGCTGCAGCTCGCCGGGCGCGGCAAGCTCCTGGTTGAGCGAGAGGAACTCGTAGTGGTTGCCGCGGTCAAAGAACATTTCTGTATGCCACGCATGGCTCGCCGGTTAGCTCAGGTCAAAAGGCCGCAACGGGCACCGGGTTTGGGCAGCTGCCGCGCGACAAGCCCGCGGAACTTCGGGGGTTTGGCGACGTACCAATCGTGCCAATGAATTGCACCTTGATGCCTGTGTGCTCGAGGCGCTTGCCGTCCTTGGGTCGGATCGTCACGCCGCCCCGGACCGACTCGCCGTCCATGTACAGCGGCGCCTTTTCGCGGCGGTTCTTGTCGAGCTTGACGTCGACCATGGACCGGTCGTCGGCGGCCTCGAGGACGACGTCAATATCGACGGGCGTGGAGAAAAAGTACGACATGTTTGGAGGATGATGCTTCTCCCGTGCGGCGGGCGCAGGGTTCGGAGATATTGTCGTTGTGGCTGCTTGGGCAAACGGAGCTGCGAGTCGTGAGGCTCGGAGGGGCGAGAGGTTATAGCTGGGGGCACTTTTGGCTGGTGGAAGCTGTCTGGAGGGACTGATGTCGTTCGTTGCATACTGCGGCTCCTACTGTGGGGCCTCGGCGGAGCTGACGTATTGTCGGCCTGGCCCAAATGCAAAGATGCGCCAAAACGTTGGAGAATGAATGAATGTAAGGAGAGGATCTATTATTTCAGTCAATGCAAGAGCCGTATAAATCAATCCATTGCCAAAGGCACTTGAGAGTAGTACAATGTTCGTCAGATCCCGGCCTGTGCATCCAATTCTTTGACAACTTGGCCCTTTGCAATGACATCTCTGAGTTGGTATTTAATTGCCTCTTCTGGCATCAGACTTAGACTCCCATCTAGCTCTATGAACCGAATCAATCATCAACAAATGCCTTCGCCTCGCCCATGATGTTCTCAAACTGTCCAGTATTTCGTGACTTGAAGATCACGTGGCTCTTCCGCCCCGCCGCCAGCAATTGCTTTCCTCTCAACATGGCGGAGTGGGTCACCTCGCCCGGCTCGGCTCGGGGAAACATCGGTACTGCCATTTTTGCCCTCACGTGCACCGAGCCCTAGAACTTTTCTACCCACAACGATTTCGCTAAACATTTCCGCTGTGTGTCCCGCCGCCCAGTCTCTAGATACCCTCAACCTCACGCCCAATAACCCCCATCAAATACCGGCAGGATGAAGTACATTCATTCCCAGGAGCTCCTGGAGATTCCCCAGGGTGGTAAGTGAACGAATTGTCAATTTTGGTGCTCGGCATCCGGAGCAGGAGGAAGCTTGGACGACGGGACGACAAGGAAAAAAGTTTGAGGACGTCTACCGAATTTGCGATTCAATGGCCGACAGCATCCACGATTTTCACGACGAAACTATATCACTCGCGACGATTCTAGGTGAAGAAATTGTCGACAAATTTGCGACTTGGGAGGAAATCTACGACGTCGGACCAGCTGCAACTCCTCAAACTTTCTTCCGCGTCCTCGTCAACTACGCCATAGTCCTCGTCTACCTTCTACCCGGCTGCTAAAGCCGAAACGCACAAACTCCAAGCTTGCATGAGTTCGTTTTCGCTGACCTTTAACCTCGCGTCACAGTCAAGGTCAACATCAAGACCCGCATCGTCACCGTCGAGGGCCCCCGCGGCAAGCTGGTCAAGAACCTGGGCCATCTCGCCGTCAACTTCGGCCACCCCTCCAAGAACACCATCTCGATCGAGATTCACCACGGCAACCGCAAAAATGTTGCCACTCTGCGGACCGTCAAGTCGATCATCAACAACATGATCGTCGGTGTCACAAAGGGCTTCAAGTACAAGATGCGCTACGTCTACGCGCATTTTCCCATCAACGTCAACGTCGACAAGAGCAAGGAGACCGGCCTCTGGGAGGTTGAGATCCGCAACTTCATTGGCGAGAAGATTGTCCGCCGCGTGGTCATGGCCGAGGGTGTCGATGTCACCATCTCGACCGCTCAGAAGGATGAGCTCGTTCTCTCCGGAAACTCCATCGAGAACGTCTCGCAAAGTGCTGCCGACATTCAGCAGATCTGCAAGGTCCGGAACAAGGACATCCGTAAGGTAAGATTTTTTTTCCTCAACGGAGGGCAGGGTTGTGAAGGCGAGATTATGGTTCGCCGGTATCCCGGACATACCGGCGACCACTCCATCTCTCCCACTCACTCGTCGACTCTTCATCTCGAAATTGTGTTGGATCCTTGACTAACAACATTTCTAGTTCTTGGACGGTCTGTACGTTTCCGAGAAGGGCAACGTTGTTGAGGAGTAAATTATGGACACGGATTCTTGTTTCTTTTGCGTTTCTGGGTCTTACAGGAGAGGCGAAGGTTTACACTTGCATGTCATGTAGCATTGGGCTGCATACAAAAATACAAAAGCAAAACAAAATAATCTAACGTCTATTCACGACTGCATAATCTGTGCACCCAGGCGACGCGAGGATCAACATGGCAGCCTATTGTGAGGGCGACGAGTTGATGTTGGTACTCACTATAAGCAAAAGTTTATTGGGGCCAGGGTTGTGGGAAAGAAAATCTTTTAACATTAGGTACAGAAGGCTATCTTTGACCGAGACAAGGCTCGACATCCAAAGGCTCGTTCTCTTTTTCCAAATTCTATCAAATCGTCAAGTCGTATCCACCGAATTCAAACGTAAAGGTATGTTCCGGCAGGGGCAAGCGGCAAGAATCAGCAAACCACCCAATTTCATCCTATATATGTGTCATGGCGTCATTGCACTCTTTCCACCTCATCTTCCATGCTTCATTTTAATTAAAACATCAAATATAGACAATCAAACAACCCAACGCCATTTGAAACACGAGCGAGAAACAAAATGAAAAAGTCAACGCAAATGCAAGTCATCCTATCCAGGTCGAGCCTGGTATATGCGAGCATTTGAAAAGTCTTCAATGCAGGGTCCCGGTGCCACGCGTGGATAAGACCGCCGCCGGGAGGCAGCCGTCACAGCCTCGAAGAGACGGGCTATTCATGGCGAGACTCCGAACGGCCCGTGTAAGCGGACCTCGCGATTCCCATGCGGCTGTCGACGCGGCTGCGACTGTCGACGCGGCTGCGACTGTCGAGCCGGCTGCGGCTGTCGACGCGGCTACGACTATCCCGGCTGGTCCTCGAGCGGGCGGTGCGCACCGTCCGCGCCGTCCGCGCCGTTCGCGCCGTTCTCGCCGTTCTCGCCGTCCTGCGACCGGAGCTGGCGCTGCTGCCAGTGATGCCGCTGTAGTCGGAGTAGCTGTAGTAGGAGTCGGTGTAGCGCGAGGTGCCCTTGCGCGACGGCTCCTTCTTGCCCTTCTTCTTCATGTTGAGCAGGGCCAACAGAGTTGCGGCGCCGGAGGCGATGCCGAGCCACCAGGCGCCGCTGCTGGATTTCTTCTCGCTGCGGCGGTCGCTGACGGACGAGGGCCGCCCGCCGCCGCCGCCGCCGCCGAAGCCGAACCAGCCGGAGTGGCGGTCGCGGCGCGAGTGGGTGGAGGTGCTGTAGTCGTCGTACTGGTCGACCTTTTCGCGCTTCTTGCCGAATATGGCGAGGAAGAGGCCGCGGGCGATGCAGCAGAAGCAGAGGAGGATGAGGAGGCCCGCGGCGGCGAGGGAGCCGATGACGATGCCGGCGATGGCGCCGCCGCTCAGCTTGTTGTTGGCGGTGCCGCCGGGCGCGGCGCCATCCGGGTCTTGCGTGGCCGTGGCCGTGTGGCTACTGCTGGTTGAAGTTGTCGGCGTCCCGGTGATGACGCCGCCGTTGCCGTCGGTGGTGCGGACGCCGGTACCGGTGATGGTGGTGGTGCCGGTGACGCGGTACGGAGCCGAGTACTGAGTCGTCACGACGCCGTTGCTGGTGACGACGACGGTGGTGGGCTCGCCGTAGCCGGGCTTGGCGGAGCACTGGCCGCGGTAGGCGCAGGTCTGCCAGCCGGCACAGCAGATCTCGCCGCAGGCGGCCCACTCGGGCCGCTGGGGCACGCAGTCGACGCCGGCGGTGGGCGCGGGCGGTGGGATGAACCAGGTCAGGATGGTGCTGGTGTAGGTGCGCGTCTCGGTCCAGGTGGTGGTGTAGAGCGGCGAGGCGACGGCGCCGTCGGCGATGCAGGTGGCGACGTCGTTGGAGAGCGTGGTGCAGTGCTCGCCGGAGCCGCAGCAGTACTGCGAGTTGGCGCCGCAGTAGCTGGCGCACGTCCGGCCGACCAGGTAGGCGTACCGGGCGTCGTGGAGGATGTCGCCGCGCGGGTACGGCGAGGCGGCGACGAGCGAGACGGAGGAGGAGGAGAGGAGGAGGAGGCCGAGACGGCCGAGGGCCGAGAGCGATGATGGTCGTGTCCGCCGTGATGCGGAGACGGCGGAATGAGGAATGTGAGTCCCCATTGTGTCGTTGGGGGGTCTGCCCGAAGCAGAGACTTGAAGGGAGAGACGCTCGCTTCGTGTGGTTGTTCTTGTCTCTCTTTTTTTTTTGCCCTCACTCTCCTGGGCCTCTGTTCGTTCCTGGCGCTGGAATGCGGGAGGGCGGGCCGGCGCGCAGGTCAGTGACGCACAGAGTCAGTGCCGGTATAGTGGATTGGATGCTTGGAATTGACACTGTGAGGATGATGCCAACGATGCAAGACGGGTAGGAAAAATCCAACGTCTGCACAACGTATAGACGAATAAACTCTCTAGTTTAGCTGCAGGCTGTTAGAGAGAGAGAAAAATTGAAGAGGGAAAAAAAAACAAACCATCTACCGTAAACGTCGGGCGTCATGCATAATGACTTTTAAGAAGGTTGGGGCTCTTGCGCTAACACCATGCTTGGTGCAGTGGTTCCCAGCCTCCCGCCCCAAAAACCACCAGCCCCTCCATTTCTCGAAACCAAGGCCTAACCAGCCAAGGCAGTTCAGCACCGACTTTATTATTATTGTTTTGATTATCAACCACATATACCTAATAATTAGCATTGTGTCTCGTTGATTTTTTCCTTCTTTTGTTCCTGCATTCATCCTGCCGATCCCTGTCTAGCGCCGAGTCGGATCCAGGAACCAGGGTCATTGACGGTGAGGCCCTGAGCCACCTCGATTTTAGTGCTACGTTGCTGACCTCGGCCATTGTTCTGGTGTTTGATTATACCACCTACAACCGACAATACGTAGCCAAGGCGCCTGCACCTCGTATTTGCGCCTTTTTTTCTTCTACCAAAAATGCACGGCATTCGTAACCTGCCAGCACAACAGTCAATTCTACATCATTCTTCAAGGAAATCAACTCGCTTCTGTGGAAAAAAGGCAGCCATCTCCACCTGGCAATCTTGGGCTCTCACAGTCGCGCCCAATGATGGGTCAATGCTGGACAAGACATGAGTGGCTCTGTCTTTGTCGCCCAAGAATGTAGTACCCAATCCCGTGCCTGGTTCAGCGGTCTTTGCCACTCTGGTAGGCCATCGTATCCCTCCTTCCGTTCGTGGCCGGCCCGTGTCAGGTCACCCTCGCGGTAGTGGGCTGCATGTCTTGATCGGCGCTGCCTACCCTAGAGTGAGACCCTGAATAAGCGCTGCTTAAGCGTTCACGCGTTCACGCGTTCTCAACGCCATATTTTGGCTTCATTGGGAAGAGCTGGCTTGTATTTGTCTTATTGGTTCGATATGCTGGTTTATGCAGGCGTCGGTTTGTCGCGCAAGCAATGCTGAACCTGTTTATTGCGCTACTGTGTGTACTCCCCCATCGCCCACAATCTGTACACCGCTAAACAGTCACCGACCCTCGGCCACGAGCTGATGGCATCACATCGGTGGGCACCAGGCTCGATAGGCCATCCATGGCTTGCCATTCCAGTCCCCAGAAGGAGAGTTGCATCCACCCAGGTCGGTGAGCTCCTTGATGCCGCCCACGCACCCAGCATCAGTATACATGTAGACTGTCTCCATCCATTAGCCATGCATATACGTGTTCATCAACAAAAAAAGTACTGACGGTTGCATCCTTTGATATTCGTCCACTGCGAAATGGAAAGCACACCCTCTTGTTCCAGTTTGTGGCAGCCCTGAGGCTCGCCGAAGTTGTGCTGCGCAAGGTCGGTCATGCACACTCGGACGTTGCCTAGCCTTTTGCCAGGCCCGTGGTTGGCACATTCATCGTTGCCAAACAGGTAGAACTGAGTGACAGGCGCGAGGTGGTCGGGGCACTCTTGATAGTCTGCCATGGCCGGACCGATGAGGGCGGCCAAGCCGGAAGCGAACAGAAAGCGGACACGCATGATTGTTGTGAATGCTATTGCCATGGGCAGCGTCTCGTCGAGAATCGACGCTTATTTATACGTTTTACACTCGGAGAACATTTCAAGTTTCCGCCGACTTGCAGATATAAGCCGAACGCACACAGGTAAATGGCGAGAGCATGGTAACATCGCAATCCTGAAGGATGACCCCTCCGCAGGATGGGCGATGCCGACTGGTCAGATCGTTGAATTCGGACATGAGCCGTCGATGGCTGGTTGGGGAATACAGGCGAGACACTTGGTGTCATTTCCCGGCCAATTGCAAATTTCGTGCATATTATCCGATTTTATTCTCCGTTCTGGAAGCATTTGAGTTCGGCTCGGATCAGAACCTCGCGAACCAGTTCGAGTGGCTGGAATCCGCACAGCCACACTTTGCACCATCATCCTCAGCTGGTGTGGGGGTTCCTCTGTGGCTTGACATGAACCGCATGCTTCCGTCCCGCTGGCTGGCTGGCTTGCTGGGGCGTAGCGCTTGAACTCTCTCCATGGAAGGTAACAGGCTACATCATCACTGGTCATAAAACCTCACCTTTTCCCGTCGGCGTCTCTGGCCATCCACCCCCATCACCCCAATCCGCCTGCCGAGACCACCCGATTGTACTTTCCTCCCACCTCAACCTTCCCTTCCCTTTCCCCTACTCCTTCCGCCGCGACGCGCCCGAGTCACCATGTCGCTCGACCCGCCGACCTACCTAGCTTCCCTCCAGAGCAACATCCGCCAGCGTCCCATTCCCTGGGAGGGAGCGGTCCGCGCAGGCACCCTCACCGAGAGCCAACACGCCAAGATCCGCGCCGTCGACAAGGCCAAGAAACCTGAGCAGCGCAAGGAGATTGTCGAGGCTGACCTCGATAGCTACCGACTGCTCTTCGTCGGCGGCAATGGCCAGGCCAGCGTTCTTGAGACGGCCGCCAAGCAGGCAAACGTCATCCAGTACATCCTTGTCCTGCTTGCCGACGTCTTGGATGGTACGTTGATACCTTGAGCCGCAGAGCTCCATCGGGAAGTTGCGGACATGTTAAAATGTCCCGGACTTTTCTGCTGTCCTGCAGCCTCCATCCTATCATCTACATCTAGTAACATTGACCTCTTTTTTGGTATTCTTTAGCTGTCCCATCCCTAGCCAAAGCTCTCTTCAAGAACCCCGAGCCATACACGCACTTCCTACCACTTCTTCACTCCAATACCACCGAAGACCACATTCCTTTGCTCACCTCTCACGCATTGACGACGCTGATGGCTCTGTCGCGCGACGAGTCCGAGGCGACCCTCCGGTCTTTGCCTGTCCTCTTTACATACATCTCGGGTTTGGCGAAGAGCACCGATGCTGGCCTGCAAGACATTGCCGTTCAGGAATACTCGACCCTGCTCAACGGCCACTCCTCTCGCGAACAGTTTTGGAACCAGCGCAGCGAGACGATTGCGCCACTCATCAAAATTCTTCACAGTGCCGTGGGTGTCGCCAACTCGGGCAACGCATCAGCTACCCTGTGGAGTGGAAGCACCAATGGCCGCACCGCGGGTGTCGAAGGCTCCGTTGGTGGCGGGGTTGGCCTGCAGCTGCTGTACCACGTTTTGTTGGTTATGTGGCAGATGAGCTTTGAGGCTGATGAGATTGGTGACGATCTTAACAAGTAAGTCACCCCATTTTATAAGCTAGATGTACACTCAAACCCTGACTCACACCCTCTTTCAGCGAGTACGACATTGTTCTCCTTTATACACACCTTCTGCGACTATCCCCTAAGGAGAAGACGAGCCGATTGATTCTCTCGACACTGTACAACCTGCTAGTCAAGAACCAGACGTCACTGCTGCCTACGGCTGTCCTCGCACGCCTGCCTCCTCTGCTGGATACGCTCGGCGGCCGCCATCTCAGTGATGTCGACCTGCTTGATGATCTTCAAAACCTCAAGGACATGCTCGAGGAATACACCAAGACCAAGACGACGTTTGATGAATACGTAGCTGAGGTGCAGACGGGCCACCTGCGCTGGTCACCGCCGCACCGAAGTCAGGTATTCTGGGCAGAAAATGCACGAAAGATTTTGGACCACCAGAACGGCGAGATTCCCCGTCAACTAGCCGAGATTATGAAGAAACCATGGGACAACGACAAGCAAGTGCTAGCGATTGCGTGCAACGACGTCGGCTGCCTGGTAAAGGAAGTACCAGAGAAGAGATGGCAGCTGGAAAAGGCTGGCCTCAAGACGAGAATCATGGAGCTTATGCAGTCAGAAGATGAGAATGTGCGATGGGAGAGCTTGCGAGCGTTGGGAGGCTGGCTCAAATACAGTTTCGAGCAGGCGGCTTAGGAGAGCAGCTCGGACGAGGACGAGTAACTGTCGATGGCAGAGGATAGATTTAGCACAGCGGATAAGCACAGCGAACCATGGTTGTATGTGCCGTGTTTTGAGTTTGTTTAATATCAGCAATGCTTAGTTGCAGACGCGTGAGGTCAATCATTGATTGCATGTACAATGGACTGCGTGTTGGCATCGAAGAATGATGGCGAGGTCTTTGTGTTTTACGTGAATCTACTTGATGGATGTGCTTTAGCCGTGCCTGCCTCATATGAAGCATGTCATCCTGTAGGCATTTACATGGACGGAGTGTCTCTTGCATGATGAGCTGGGCGAGCATTATTGGCACTTCACAGCAGATTGGGTAACAGTTTGGTAATGAGGTTTCCCTTCAGCTACCATCTATAGTGGGCTCAGTGGGCGATTTCGCAACAGAAGCGCTGGACCGACTAACCTACAGCGGTCCAACCGCCTAAAAATGGCTCCTGCTTCTGCTGTCGCCAGGTTCCGCTATCGATATCGGAGGCCCTTCGCTCAAGTCCGGGGGTACCCGAGCCCCACCAGAGCTTTGACTTGTTACGTACCAGGAACTGATAAAGGTCCAATTCATGAAAACTCCCAGATTCTTTCTCGCCGTGGAGACGAGCCGCATTCTTCTTTTCTCCTCTAACATCCGTCTTCTTGTATCTTCTTGTGGTGTTTGTGTATTTTTCAGCGCAGAACTTTGCAGAACTTCGCCGCTCTCCTCAATTGACTCGCCAACTTCTCCTGCCGACAAACACATCCACACACACGCACATCATGAGGGGCATCACCATGCTTGCGCGGGCTCGTCCTGCCACCGCCGTCAGCCGCCTCACCACCTCCCGCGTCGGTGCCGTGCGCTACGGCTCCGGTGCGGCGGCCGGTGGTGATCTGAAGAAGACGCCGCTGTACGACTTCCACGTCGCGCGGGGGGGCAAGATGGTACCGTTTGCCGGCTACCACATGCCGGTACAGTACGGCAACCTGTCGCTCGCCGACTCGCACCACTTCACGCGCGACCACGCGTCCATCTTTGACGTGTCGCACATGGTGCAGCACATCTTCAAGGGCCCCAACGCGGCGGCCTTCCTCGAGCGCGTGACGCCGTCGGCGTGGGCCACGCAGGGCCATATGCAGAGCAAGCTGACGACGCTCCTGTGGCCCGGGACCGGCGGCATCGTCGACGACACGGTCATCACGCGCCTCGGCAAGGATGAGTACTACGTCGTGACCAACGGCGCGTGCCTCGACAAGGACACCAAGTACATTGACGAGCAGCTCGGCCAGTTCGGCGGCGGCGTCGAGTGGACGCGCCTGGACAACTCGGGCCTCTTTGCGCTGCAGGGCCCGCAGGCGGCCGAGATCCTCGAGCAGGTGCTGGACCGGGAGTACGCCGACGTCGACCTCAAGGGCCTGTACTTTGGCAACGCCGTGTGGGCGCAGCTGAAGCTCGCCGACGGCAGCTCGACGCACCCGGTGCTCATCTCGCGCGGCGGCTACACCGGTGAGGACGGCTTCGAGGTGTCGTTTGACGGCACGCGGTACCCGGCCTTTGACACGACCACGCCCGCGGTGGAGGCGCTCCTGGCGGCGGCCGGGCCCGAGCGGCTGCAGATGGCCGGCCTCGGCGCGCGCGACTCGCTGCGCCTCGAGGCCGGCATGTGCCTGTATGGGCACGACCTGGACGACGCGACGACACCGGTGGAGGCGGGCCTCAGCTGGATCATCCCCAAGGAGCGGCGACGGGCGGACGCGGGCTTCCACGGCGCCGAGGTGCTGGTGCCGCAGATGACGCCGCGCAGCAAGGGCGGCGCGGGCGTGCAGCGGCGCCGGGTCGGGTTCGTGGTGGAGGGCGCGCCGGCGCGCGAGGGCGCGACGGTGGAGAAGGACGGCGAGCGCATCGGCGGCATCACGTCGGGCGTGCCCAGCCCGACGCTGGGCAAGAACATTGCCATGGGCTACGTCAAGGACGGCCAGCACAAGGCGGGCACCGAGGTGGACGTGGTGGTCCGCGGGCGCAAGAGGAAGGCCGTCGTGGCCAAGATGCCCTTTATCCAGACCAACTACTGGAAGGGCGATGCTTGAGCTGCGCGAAGCCAAGAAAAGCAAACTAAATCATGGTTTTCCTTTGTTCATCAATTGACGTTTTTTTTTTTTTTTGGGTTATTCGTTTTGCTCTTTTCAACATGATAGCTTCGACGGGCCAGAGATTTAGTCATTAGCTTTCAATATGGTACTCTTTATAGGACTGGCGTCATTCTTTGATATGGGGATGATACCCACGGGCGTTGGCGGCGCGACGAGCTCTCGGCGGAAGAGGGCTGGAGATGCGTTAGATACCAGGTTTCTTAGGCGTTTTTGCAATGCCATTTTGAGGACGAGTCGACTTGACTCGGCATATATGAATTACGGAGTACACAGCATACTGATCGATGTTGAGGCAACACAGCTTGGTTGGGAAGAGGTCGCCAAGCACGGCCGCTGACGAAGCGGAAGCCAATTTTCCGGCAATCAAAAGTTGAAAGAAAGAAATGCGTCGGCCAGGCACAGGTGACAGGGTGGCTCGTCAAAGAAAAAGCAATATTTGAGACCACGTACGACTCAATGTTGGAGGCTGGCTCTCCAAAAGACTTGGCGTCGCTGGGCTAATCAATGCGCGGGGGAACGAGACCGAACCAGATCGATCTTGAGCCATGGCAACTTTGCTCAACCAATTGGCTGGCTGGCGACTTTGAATCTTGTGATTAGTGGCAGCGTCGACACCACCCTAAGGGATCTCGGCTGCAGCTGCATTTCTCGACGCTCTGCCAAGTTTTTTTCCGTTTACTTTCTTTCTTTTTCTTCCAGATTTGCCGATTGTAGACCGCCAAAGCGCCCTCGGCGCCCTCGACATGTTACGCGCCTTCTGAACACGATGGTACATACATACATACATACGTACATACTGCCATTTGACAACCCCGTTGCGCCCTCTGGCGCCCACCGAACATCTCACAACCCCGTTCAAGCGAGACAGCTCCAGTTAGCGTCGCGTTAGTCTGGCGTCCGCGGTCGCCGGCGGCCTTGTTGGAGGGGGGCATCTAGAGATTCATCAGGGACAGCTTGCTCAGGCAGTTCGCGTCTGGTCAAACGGCCAATGAATGGGCTGGTACTGCATGATGCAGGCGGAGTGATGATCCCCACGGATCATTCTCGACTCATAATGAGCCTCCCACACACGCACGCGTTTCGGCTTGCTCCAGAAAAAAAAAAAGAATTCCTGGATTCCGAAGACCTTGGAGACTCTCCAATTCCGTGTCCATATTTTGCCGTGGAGACGGCCGGCGGCCAAGTGACCTACATACATACCACCCCTCCCAGTCTCACTAAAAATAAGCAGCCGGGCTGAGGTTGTCGATGCTTATCAGCCAGCACCACCCCGTTTCTCTCGTTTCTCTTTGCCTTGATTTTTCTGATTTATTCAAGCAAGGGAAGAAGGGATTGCTGCTTTCTATAAAACACCTCACTTGAACAAGACATGCTCTCTTCGGTTCGCGCAGGCGCGCGTCGTCTTCCTCGCCATGTGAGCCGGCTCCAGGCTGTCCGGCCCCTGGCGACAGCCTCGTCGTCGGTGTTCCCCAACGAGCCTCCGAAGCCGGCCGTCCAGACCGCGATTCCAGGGCCGCGATCCAAAGCGGCGCTGGCGAAGCTGGAAAAGGTCTTTGACACGAGGAGCATGAATTTCGTGGCCGACTATGACAAGTGCCACGGAAATTAGTGAGCGAGCGCGACTGGCTGCCAATTGGCGTGGGTGCCGTGAGCCTGGCTAACAGTCTGTGTCTACAGCATTGTCGACCACGATGGCAACGTCCTCCTAGACGCGTGAGTATCTGATCGATTTCATGTCAAAAACGCTCGGAGCAATTGACTCATCATCACCACCCAGGTTCGCCCAAATTGCCTCCATCCCTCTTGGCTACAACAATCCGCACCTGCTCGAGGTCGCCGACACCCCGGAGATGCGCAGCGCCATCGTCAACCGCCCGGCCCTCGGCGCCTTCCCATCCTCCGAGTGGGCGGACATCCTCGAGACGGGCCTGCTCAAGGCCGCGCCCAAGGGCCTCAGCCAGGTGCTCACCTCGATGACGGGCTCCGATGCCAACGAGTTGGCCTTCAAGGCCGCCTTCATCTGGCGGCGCACGCAGGAGCGCGGCGGCGCTGACTTCACCGCCGAGGAGCTCGCCTCCGTCATGAAGAACGAGGCGCCCGGCGCGCCGCGGTACTCGATCCTCTCCTTCGAGGGCGGCTTCCACGGGCGCCTCTTCGGCAGCCTGAGCACCACCCGCAGCAAGGCCATCCACAAGCTGGACATTCCCGCCTTTGACTGGCCCGCCGCGCCGTTCCCGCGCCTGAAATACCCACTGGAGGAGCACGCGGCGGAGAACGCCGCCGAGGAGGCCCGCTGCCTCGCCGAGACGGAGCGGCTGCTGGACACCTGGCCGCAGCCCGTCGCCGCGCTCATCGTGGAGCCGATCCAGTCCGAGGGCGGCGACAACCACGCCTCGCCCTCCTTCTTCCAGGCGCTGCGCAAGGCCACCGCCGCGCGCGGCGTGCTCATGATCGTCGACGAGGTGCAGACCGGCGTCGGCGCCACCGGCCGCTTCTGGGCGCACGAGCACTGGGACCTGCCCACGCCGCCGGACATGGTGACCTTTTCGAAGAAGGCGCAGGCGGCCGGCTTCTATTACAAAGACGCGGCACTGCGCCCGGACCGGCCGTACCGGCAGTACAACACGTGGATGGGCGACCCTGCGCGCGCGCTGCTGTTCCGCGGCATCCACGAGGAGGTGACGCGGCTGGGGCTGGTGGAGCGCACGGCGCGCGTCGGGCGGTACTTGTGGGAGGGGCTGGAGGGGCTGGCGAGGCGGCATCCGGGGGAGGTTCAGAACCTGCGCGGCAAGGAGAGGGGCACGTTCATCGCGTTTGATAGCCCGAGAAGGGAGGAGGTGCTGGCGAGGGCGCGGGCGGGCGGCCTTAACATTGGGGCGAGCGGCGACAGGGCGATCCGGCTGCGGCCGATGCTGGTGTTTGAGGAGAAGCACGGTGAGTGAGATGGACGCGGACGACCTCTGGCTGATGATCGACTATATGCTGACTTTTTTGGTTCTAGCGGACATTTTGCTTGACATCTTGGAGAATGCGATCAAGAAGTGAAGGTGAGGTCCGTTTATTAGGGATGCGCAGAACAAGGACAAGAAAAGTCTACCAATTGACTGCGACAAGAACGGAAAATCGAACGAAGAGAGAAATGTTTAAAGTCTTACGAGGGGAATGATTGAACTGCAACCTAGGCGGCAGTAGACGCAATGACATCAAGTACTTCGGTACTCGCTGCTTACAAGCATATACGTTGACAAGTTTCCAACAGTAGCATAGTTTTATTCAACTATTCGAAATACCTTGTGGTTACCTTGCCGTCCCATCGACTCGAGCCTGTGCCCCCCCATTTCAGATTCAACATTTCCCTCTTCTTTAGTTGGGCTTCCCGCCGAGAGTTGGGTAGTTGTAGGTGCACGACACGGCGCAGGAGGCCAGGCCGATGAGGTTGCTGGCGGCGCCGCCGCACTGGTTGAGGCATTGGCTCCACTGTTGTACTTGTGAGCTTTGGGTGTGGAGAGAAGAGACAGAGGTGAGAACGTACGTTGGTGACGGTTTGTTTATCGGTGACGACGGTGGTCCTGTTGTTGTCATCGTCGGCTTCGGGGGCATCGTCGGAAGAGGCGCCCTTGACAACGGCATGATGGGGCACGGGGCCGGCGGCGAGGGCGAAGGAGGCAAGGATGGAGGAGAGGAGAGCGATGGCGTACTTCATGGCTGCGGTTGTAGATAAGATGACCTTGTGTGCAAGAGAAAGATAGAACGAGAGTGAGTGAGTGAGTGAGTGAGTGAGTGAGTGAGTGAGTGAGTGAGTGAGTGAGTGTGTGCTGTTAACGAAGGTAGAAGTTAGATTGAAGAAGTTGAGATGAAGATGGGATAGGAGATGGAAACGAGGGAACGCCTGCGACTACTTATAGACTTATAGTCCCTGGTGTGAGGCACTTTTAGACTTATAGTTCTCGGTGTGAGGTTGTCACCGACTACGCCAAGATATGGGATGCATTCCAATACGTGAGGCGTGTTCACTGGGGGAATGGAAATGGGCTACTCGGTGTGAGACATTGAGGAGATCCCTGGATTCGGCCCTGTAGGAGATGAACCACGTTTTTTTCTTCTCCAATGTTTTTCTTTGGGGCTATTGAATATTTTCATGAAGCAGGCCTATTTATTCTTGCATACCACAGTCACGGCTATGTAGCCGAATGTCTAACCAGCGCCGTTCGCGCATACAAACAGACAAGACATATATCAGGGGGTATCGCGGTGCGGGGCCGGGCGGTCGTTGACATGCAGCATCCAACATCTCTATACTTGCCCTCATTAAAGTGTTTCTGCCAGCTTGAAACAGACACAATAGCTTTGCGAGAGCACGTCCGCCACACGTCGCATCTCCGTCGCGTCAAGGCGCGCGTCGTGCTCAAGCACCCGGCCGAGACCTGGGTCACCTCCGGCGAGCGGCAAATTCTAGGCTTGCTAGAAAGTCACCCTAGAATCCGTCCCGTGCGCTTATCCATCTCGTATACATTCCCTGGCATGTTTACTGACACGTGTAGATCAAGCCCAAATCGCGTGAATGAAGGCGAGTCCAACCAAGTGTGGTGACGCGCTGCGAGGGCATCTTGTTCGGCATCGAGCGGCGCTGGCAGTGTGAGGTGCTGGTCTTGTCTCCCATCTATGAGGAAGACACTTGGCTAGCACTCCAAGCTACTTCGCGGCGACAATATTTGGCATGTCCCTCATCAACATCTGATGCAGTCCTGCTCAAAAAAGCCACAGCAATTCACACCGGATTACGGACACCACGTCACCGGAAACAAAGCAACAAGTGATGAGCCATTCGGAACTGACAAGCCCCTACCTGCTGCTGATGCTAAATCGATTTCGTTTGTTATAGAATCTGCCAGCACCATGCCTCCCCTGTGCGACTCCATCGGCTCGCACTACGACATGGTCAAGCGAACCGTCCTCGGCAAGATCGAGCAGCACAACGCTCGCAATATCACCTCGCCGCTCCTACAAAACCCAGATACACAAGTCCTCGATCTCGCCTGCGACACGGGATTTTACACGCGTTTCCTCGTCGAATGGGGCGCCGCGTCCGTCGTCGGCGTGGACCTGTCGCGCGTCATGCTGCCAGCAGCCGCCGCCGCCCGCCTCACCGCGACGCCGTACACCGACCGCGTCGCATTCCGGCTCGGCGACCCGTTCCACATGCCCGACCCCGTCGACAATTCCCATCGTCCGGCAAGCGGGGAGGAGGAGGAAGAAGGGGTTTCGACGTCGTCGCCCTGCATGTGGCTACTCGTCTACGCAAAGGACAAGGAGGAGCTGGCGCGCGGCTTCCGCACCGTCGCCGCGAACCTGCGGGCCGGGGAGGCGTCTTCGTGGGGTTTTTTTTTGGCCCCCCCCCCCGGGGTCGAAGACGTCGCTGCGCTGGCACGCTCCTCCCGCCGCCGCCGCCGGATGCCGACGCCCCGAGCGGCGTGCGTGGAGCCACCCGGAGCCGCCCCTGGCCGACGGGCAGGGCGCGGTCATGATCGCGAGCGTGCGGCCGTCGCCCGGGGGTCCAGCCCCCGGGGACGCCGGAGCTGCATTTGAGGTCGTTTCACCTGCGCGGGAGCGTGTGGGAGGAGGCGGCGCGGGCGGGCGGCATGAGGGGCCGGCTGGAGTGGGTGGCGTGCGAGGCGCCGGAGGGCATGCATGCCGGAGGAGTCGGAGGCGTGGCGCGCGTGGTGTCGGGGGCCGGAGATGGCGGCGCTGGTCGTGTACAAGGACCGAGTCGGGCAGCGATTTCGTGCAGATGGGCAGTATGGCTCAAGATATTGGTTACGTAACTGTGCCTGCTGTTCATGCATCGATCTCGAGTGAGTAGGACATATGGATCAAGTCATTAGTTACGTAAACGTGGCTATTTATGCATCGATCTCGCAGGTAGTTCGCTATACATACAACGCATTGATATTGGTAGGGGTTACTCCGTACTCTGTGCAGAATTTTGCCTAGGAAGTAATTATAACATTTGACGAGTATAGGTAGAAAAGCTATGTAGACTTGAAAGATCGTTTCTAGTTTATAAAAAAGATGGACTTCATTTTTAAACTCTTTATTTGTAAGTCGTTGCTATAGCTACTTTTTGTTCGTGGCGGAAACGATCCGCGCCACACACCGCCACGGTGCCTGGCTGCAGAATTTTAGGTGTGGCGCTTGCCGATCTGATCCGAGACCTTTGACAACAACCCCTACCACGATAGTTGAATCACGCATTGAACAATGCTGCCGAGTCGATATTATTGCGTAAAAATTTCCTAAAAGCACCATAAATGCAAACAACCTGCCATCGAATGCGACATGCCTCTGAATCGCTTGGATGCCCGCTCGCGGACGGGAAGCGGGCCTCGGGGGGGCGTTGGTACCTGGAATGACTCGATACGGAGACTCCGTCCTGCAGCTTTTCATGCACGATTTTTTTGATTGCGGCCCCGGAAAACGGATCCATCGTCTGCCATTACTCACTCATTCTCCCCGCGTGGTCTTTTCGTCTTTTGCCATGTCATAATTGATTCATCCTCCTCTCTCTCCCTCTCTCTCCCCCTCTCTCCCCGTTCCATGCCTTCCGTGGTCCTCTTCTCCGTCCTCGTCGCCTGTCCAAACCGTCCTCTCCTGCCGAACAAACCATGAAGGGCGACGACGACAACACACCCGCCGCCGCGGTGGAACCTCGACCGTCCTCCCCTGGCTCTGGCTCCGAGAAGCAACATCCGCAGCCCCATGACGAGGAGCTCGGCTGCAAGCCCGCCAGCTCCCACGCCGCCGGCACCAGCAGCGAGTCGACGCAGCGCGGGCTCAAGTCGCGGCACGCGCAGATGATCGCGCTCGGGGGCTCCATCGGCACCGGCCTGTTCGTCGGCTCCGGGCAGGGCCTGCGGATGGGCGGGCCGGCGCTGCTGCTGGCCTGCTACGCCATCATCACGCTGCTGCTGTACGGCGTGGCCGCCGGCGTCGGCGAGGTCAGCGCGTACCTGCCCGTGCGCGGCTCCGGCGTCGCCTACTACGGCCACCGCTTCGTCTCCCGCTCGCTCGGCTTCACCCTCGGCTGGCTCTACTGGTACATCTTCTCGCTCGGCATCGCCGGCGAGATCACCATCACCACCATCGTCATCCAGTACTGGCCCTCGCCCGTGCCCACCGCCGCCTGGTACACCCTCATCGCCGTCGTCATCGTCGCCTGCAACTTCTTCCCCGTCGCCGTCTACGGCGAGGCCGAGTTCTGGTTCGCCTCCACCAAGGTCATCGCCATCATCGGCCTGCTGATCCTCACCGTCGTCCTCTTCTTCGGCGGCGGGCCCGCCCACGAGCCTCTCTACTTCTCCAACTGGACGGCCGGCGCCGGCCCGGTCAACACCTACCTCGTCGACGGCGGCGTCGGCCGCCTCTGCGCGTTCGTCGGCACCCTCACCTTCTCCGTGTACGCCTTCATCTTCGCGCCGGAGATGCTCGTCGCCACCGCCGGCGAGATGCAGTCGCCGCGGCGCAACATGCCGCGCGCCACCAAGCGCTACTTCTGGCGCCTCGTCGTCTTCTACCTGCTCGGCGTGCTGGCCATCGGCGTGCTGGTCCGCGGCGACAACCCGGGCCTGCTCTCCCCGGGCAACACCGCGGCCGCCTCGCCCTGGGCGCTCGGCATCAAGGAGGCCGGCATCCCGGTGCTCGACTCCGTCATCAACGCCGTCATCGTGCTCTCCGCCTGGTCCACGGGCAACTCGTTTCTATACATCTCCAGCCGCGCGCTCTACTCGCTGGCGCTCTCGGGCAACGCCCCGCGCATTTTTGCCCGCTGCACCAGGCACGGCATCCCGCACTACGCCACGGCGCTGAGCGCGTGCTTCGCGGCCCTGGCCTACATGAACCTCGGGAGCACGGGCTCCGTCGTGTTCAACTGGCTCGTCAACATCGTCAACACTGGCGCGTTCCAGAGCTGGATATGCTGCTGCTTCATCTACGTGCGCTTCTACAAGGCCACGCGCCTGCAGAACGTGACCGTCGCCAACGGCCAGCTCCCATATCGCTCCAGGTTCCAGCCATATGCGGCTTGGATAAGTGGCGTTGTCTTTGCCGTGTTGCTGTTGCTCAACGGGTTCAAGGTCTTTGTCAAGGGCTACTGGGACACGCCGACGTTTATCACGTCGTATATCGGCATTGTCATTTTCGCTGTGTTGTTCCTCGGGCACAAATTTACCATTGGTCGAAATGACCCGTGGATGGTGCCCTTGGACGAGATGGATCTTCACTCGGGCATGGACGATGTCATGGCAGCCGAGTTGCCGCCACCACCGCCTATCAAATGGTACACGGCGTGGAGAGTCTTGTTTGAGTAGATGTCATGGCTACTGCACTCAGCAGACCGTTGTATATATAGACACGCATCAGCCGGCGTTTGGGTTGCTAAAAAGAAACTTGTACGATTTTGCATGAAAGTTTGCGCTCTCGCGTCCTGGAAGAGAAGCAGTGCGATACAACATCCGACACTTCGCATGCGACCCTGTAGAGCACGTGTACCGGTATTGCGAAACCCTCGAAACATCATCTACGGTCAGCCTCGCTGTAGGAAGAGGCTGAGATGGGTTGTGGAGGCCAAAAAAAATAGAAAAGCCCTTGCTTGGAGCAGAGATGTAGCCACGAAAAACCATGGGAGACCACCACACGTAAACGCAGCGTAGTCCCCCTCAAACGAGGGGCAGATATTCCTCTGGCAACTAAGAGACCCAAAATGCATGACGTGTTCTATCGGGATAGCAGAAGGCGCGTCGGTGTCGCTGAGCGGATAACTCGCGAGGTCTTTGTCGTTGCGTGGAGAGGAAAAGAAGAAAAAGAGTAAGAATTGCGACGAGAAAATTGCCAGGTGAAGGAAAGTCCAGAGTGGGGCGCACGTACGTACAGTATGTGAGTACAGTATCTAGCAGCAGAGACACAGTGCTGCTCCCCATTCAACCTCAGATGCAGGTACAACGACTTGCTGCAGATTGTCTGTATCCGGTTACAATTTCCGACACGAGGCTTGCTGCAGATACAAGGATCGGTGGATTCTCATGGGTGGATTCGCCTCAGTTCCGCTCCGAAGGAGTACTGCCCGCCGTCAATTGACACAACGGCAAGCCACGCTGTCGAGACTGGCGATGAAGTCTGGCTATTGCCGAGTGATAGTCATGTCTGGCCATTTATTGGAACGAACACAAACTATTTCCTCGAGGTCTTCAATAACGGACACGAATTTTACTACTTTGTATCGTCCTTCGCCCATCTCGTAGACAGGGCTGTAGCCATTGAGCTTCTGGTACAGGGCGCGGTTCCTGAAGAATCGGTCAAAAGACCACTTACACGCCTTTCTAGCTCTGCAGAGAGAAGCGCTGGTTTATATACGGCTGCGACCCGGATCAGTTATTGGAACTGGACTGTGGCCTCGGCCGATAACAACAACAGCCAGAAGATGGCGACGTCGTTGACACGACTCGCCGAGCTTCCTCGGCCGCGGAACTCATTGGATGGGCAGCTAATCAATAACCCTCTCGCCATCTATCAGAAAGTTTTGTTAGGGCCGTTGGTATGGACGGAAAATACGAATCCCCAGACTCTCGTCTCGCTTCGGGCCGAGTCAAGGTTCTCGCACAGTTGCTGCTCATCGATATTGGATGAAAGCAACGATACCAACGAGGCTTTTTTGTCTGTTATCTTCGGTCCCCAAAATGGCACCCAAGGTAAGCTATTGGATGCACAAGTAGGACTTGAACACCCAGAGACCATCTTCCATGCTATCACCATCGGCACCGCGTCAACAACCGCTGCCTGATTTCAACACTGTCTCCTCATCATGCGTCTCACAGGCTTTGAATTATCTGGATGGTGAGAGCTGCGTTGGGAGATACTCGTAATTTGGCATCAACTATGAGAGTAATGATATGCTTAAGGGCAACGGTCCGAACTTGACCAGCCTCGGACACTACTACGGCTATAATTAGGGGCAGTGGCGCTGATTTGGGTTGATGGTTGACTTTTCTTCTGGAATTGATTGGTCTGTACATCCTGCCTTTTTTTTTTCTGCTGTAAATATCTTCTTTACATGGGTCTTGGAATTATAGAGTAGCCTCGGTGAGTCTTGGTCTTGTCCGCGTAGTAGAAGCTACTTTATTGTCCGTTATTGGAAGTTGTAGCAGCGCATTAGAATGTAAGCATGGATCTACTTCGAGGCAAATTCATTGTCGCGTGCTACTTTACCAGTTTTGTTGTCCCTGGTTGGGCGAGTCCGTCTAGTGCATCGCAGGGGCCAATCTCCCCGATCGTAGTAGGGGTCTAGTTGCAAGTTAGGATAGCACTACTTGGTAGTTTTTCTATGGTGTATTTGAGGGCCTTGTATGAAAATCGATTTTTTGTTTTGTATATATTATCCTGAATTTCTTCTGGAGTAATGGAGCGAGATGGGGTCTTGCGGTGATCTGGACGATACATGACGGCTGAGATGTGCGGGAAGAATTTCGAAGAGTAAATAAATGCTTTATTTTTTCTTTCCCTCTTTCTTTTTGTTTGAAAAAAAAAAAAAATTCTAGACCACTGTGTATGAAAAAGAAGATATGCTTACTTTTCTTGACGCCTGTTCTATGGCGGGAGTACCATCACTGAGTGCCAGAGTATGAGCGAAATACATGCTTGACCCCTCACCGTGGAATATTCTCGACTGTGTTTAATTCAATATCATGTAAAATAATTTCTCTATAATTTTTCGTATTTTTATCATTATTCACATTCGCAGCCCTGCCCCCTTTGCCGCAACACCTCTACTCTCCTCTACTACCAGCGGTCAGCTTCTCCTCCACACACCCACTTCCCCTCCGCATGACGTCCACTCACCACCCAAGAAAGCAACCACACAGAGCCACCAACATCCAGCAGCCGTCCACCGACCATCCCATCTGCAGCCCATCATCAACTCGCACACTTGCTGGTGGCGCTACCCTGCTGGCCGCTTCCCGCAGCGAGCTGCAGCACGTGTGGCTGTCAGCGACCCAAGATTGGTCCTGCCAGATAGAGTACATGGCATCATGGTGCAGCTGGTCGGGCGCGTTTGTTGTCACCAGGCAGTCGAGTCACCAGGCAAGGCAAATACACGCAACACAAGGCCAGCGCAACCAAGTCCAACCATGATGAATCGGCCTTTCAAGGCATTGCGAATTCGGGGTCCGTTCATTTATATTCACCAGTCCAGCCGCAAAAATGGCCCTCGAATCCTCGAACCCTGAGACCCCAGGACCCCATCTCGAACCAACGCACAATCCGCCAGAAACGACATAGCGTCTAGGGTCTAGCGATCTCCGCCACCGTCAATCAGGTTCGTCCTAGTACCAGTACTATTCCAACACTCGAAACACTGTCTCTAAAGAAGTGACCTCGACCCACTTGAAAGCTTCTTGATGATCTGATTTGCGCCAGCATACTGCACAGCTCATTGAATCCCTCATCAACACCAGCCAACAATCGCCAGATAGTCGTTGGTTCAATCCCCACGCCACGAACCATCTCGCCCCGAGCCTTCATCATCTCCTGCGACGTGACATGCTGTGCGACTAGACTGACACGCTCTCCTGGCTTGCCACCATGCTCCCCGCGGCTCTAACGGCGCGGCTTCCCATGCTGCTAGCATTGGCCGCTTCTGTCTTGGCTGCGCCCGGGCTCAAAGTGATTGATATCAATCAAGACACGCCAGCCTCTGGCGAGCAGCCCCGAAAGCTCACCGGACGATTTTTACACATTACAGGTTTGCTTCTCTGTTCCCAGCACCGGCTAAACAGCGCCACTAACAGCCGGTCAGACTTCCATCCCGACCAGTTTTACAAACTTCACTCCGACATCGACAAGAGCTGTCACAAAGGCAAGGGACTCGCCGGCAAGTACGGCGCCGAGGTCTCTGACTGCGACTCCCCGATATCCCTCGCCAATAACACCCTCGACTGGGTCCGCGACAATCTCCGCGACCAAATCGACTTTGTCATCTGGACTGGTGATAGCGCCCGCCATGACAATGACGAGGACCACCCTCGCAACTCAGAGCAGGTCCTAGGTACCAATCGCATTGTTGCTGAGAAAATGTTTGAGACCTTTGCGACCGACACACCGCTTGGCCCTGGTCTTGAGCTACCCATTGTGCCTACGTTTGGCAACAATGATTTCCTCCCCCACAACATCATGGTCCCCGGTCCCAACCGCTGGTTCGTAGACTATGCAGATATTTGGGCCCCATTCATCCCCGAGGAGCAGCGCCATCAATTCGAATACGGTGGATGGTTCTACACCGAGGTTGTTCCCAACAAGCTTGTCGTTTTCAGTCTCAACACCATGTTCTTCTTCGACCGAAATGCCGCCGTCGATGGCTGTGCTCTTATCTCGGAGCCTGGGTATAAGCACATGGAATGGCTGCGTGTACAGTTCCAACGACTGCGCGCCACCGGCATGAAGGCTATCCTCATGGGCCATGTTCCACCCGCACGAACCAACAACAAGCAAAACTGGGATGAGACGTGCTGGCAGCGCTACACCCTTTGGCTTAAGCAGTACCGCGATGTCGTGATCGGCTCGCTCTTTGGCCACATGAACATTGACCATTTTGTCTTGCAAGACACCAACGATCTCGACGAGGACGCCATTTTCGCCAAGGGCGACGTCAACTTTCGCCAGAGCATGGACCTCGGCACCGATAAAGAGATCGGCATTACCGGTAAAGCCAATTATCTCCAGGACATCCGCCAGCAATGGTCCAAGCTGCCCACTTCTGCAGGGCATGCCACTGATAAGGATGCTGAAACCTTGGAAGTAGACCAGGATGACGAAGAGGACGAGTACGATATTGAAACCATCTTTGGTAGGAAGAAGGGCAAAGGCAAGAAAAAGAAAGGAGGCAAGAAGAAGAAGGGCCTTAAGAAAATTGGCGGCAAGTACGCCGAGCGATATCAGATCTCCATGATCGGGCCCAGCGTCATCCCCAATTACTTTCCCACAATGCGCGTGTATGAGTACAACATTACAGGCATCGAAGACAACCCCGTGTGGAAAGACGTGCACGGCACGCCGTCCACGATGCAAGGCACCGAGCTGCAGCAGGCGCAAGAACTTGTTTTTTCGTCAGAAGAGTTGAAGCGCCGCGGGAGTGACAAGCCCACTATGACTGAGCCCGAGTTTGAGGCGCTGTTTCCCGACCTGTTCCAGGAAGACGACAGCGTACACGACGCCGGCAAGAAAAAGAAGAAGAAGAGAAAGGGCCCCGGCCCGCCGTCGCTCGTCGTACCGCCCGGACCCGACGCCGACTCGCCACCCGGACCGGCATACATGCCGCAGACGCTCTCGTGGGTGGCCTTTACGCAGTACTACGCCAACCTCACGCGCATCAACAACGAGGCCGAGCACAAGGGCGAGCACCCGGTCAACCCGATGCACTTCGAGGTCGAGTACGACACGCGCGACGACAAGGACGGGTACCGGCTCAAGGACCTGACGGTACGGGAGATGCTCAAGCTGGCGCATAGCATCGGCGCGGACGCTGGTAACGACAATGCCGTCCTGGCCCAGGTTGATGCCGCGGCGCTGGGAGACGACGATGATGAAGGCTGTGCGGAGTATGACGAGGAAGGTGGCGATGTGGATGGGTTGGGCAAGAAGAAGAAAGGCAAGGGGAAAAAGGGCAAGAAGGGCAAGGACAAGAAGAACAAGCTGTGGATTGAGTTTCTGCGACGTGCGTTCGTGGGCACCGTGGATGACGACGAGTTGGAGGATCTCTGAAGCCTGGTCATTTCTGCATCCCTCCTCTCTTGCATTCTTCTTTCATTTCTGTTGCATTCCTCTTGTGTCATTTTTCTTTCTTCTTCTTTTTCTTTCCTTTTATTCAGCTGGCATATTGTGATTTAGCGTTCATCATGATCGGGAGGGTTCTTGGATACAGGATGGGAAGGAATACTGGCTGGGTTACAGGATGGCGTGGCACCTTGGACGATTTGCATGACTATACTTCATATTGAAAAGAATGGCAGAGCAGTTCAATCAGTCATCGACGCTACCCAAGTAGTATGTATATATACATGTTTCAAACATTTTCATCCTCATTAATCAAGAGTCCGCTGCATTCGACTCTTGCTGCAGGCCCCATGCCCAGGTATCGGGCTAGATAAGTAAAAACAAGTATAGCGAGTGATGTGTACAGAGAATTTAAAAAGACGAAAATGCAAAAACGCCTAGACTTCCCTCAAAAGGGTATGCATATTTCGGATGTTGAATGTCGAGGGCACGTGGTACTTGTGTAATGTTGATCGTGCGAGTGGTATGAAGAAGATTCGCGTCCCGCACGAATTGACGTTGACAGCACCAGGCTGAGGTTGTCAATGAGACGGGTGTTCATGTGCGGTCATGTATGCGTCGCACGAGCATCGCAGACGGTAATTTCCGCGCTGGTGCGAATTATTGCGAGTCGGGGCTGACAACGTTGACGGCCGGAATAGCGAGGGGTCCCTGGCTGGAGGATCGCTTGACCAAGGCCGGTCGCGTTGCCAACTTGGCGTACCATGGCCGCGAAGTCTGTTGCTGAGGGTTGCTGACGCTTCGGTTTCCCGTCGTAGATGAGGTGGCATCGTCGTCACCATCGTCGTTCGCCTTCGCATGGTGGTCGCGGACGACGAGGTAGGTGTCGTCGCCAAAGGCGGGGGGGTCATCCTCGAGGCCCATCTCGTGGAACACAGAGGTGCGTCCCTTTCGGATGTTGCTGGCGCGGACGGCAAAGGGCGGCAGGCGCAGACCGGCGCCCTCGCGCAGACGATCTGAGGTGATGTGCGAGTTGAACTTGGGACGCACCGGGATCTTGAGGCTGTTGTTGGCAGCGGCCGGGGCCGGGGCCGGGGAGGGGCTGGGGCCGGAAGGCGGGGGAGGGGCCAAGGAAATGGTCGTCATTTTTGGGGTTGAGAAGATTGCGAGGAGAGTTGAAGGACTTGAGACAGAATCGAGTTGAGAAATGTGTTGACCGAGGTGAAATTGAGTCGCGTTGTCTTTGGATGGGTATGGTAGAAAGTTGACAGGATGCAGTAAGTGAAGGTACTGTGTATTAAAAGATATAATGAAGCCAACGGTGAAATGTAGCTCCTGCTTGAAACTCGGACACAAAAGGGACGTAAACAGGATAGACACAAGGGAATGAATTGGAAGAGATGAAGCTGCTGGAGAGAGGTAAGAAGTATGTTGCAGGACCTGTGGCGTAAGGTGAGGTGAGGATGGACGGGAATAAAAGGCGCTGAAGGACAGGAAGGCCCCCCCCAACTAACTAACTATGTACATAGGTACCTCCCTTACAAGTTTAGTAGGCTAGCCTCCCACCGGCTTTCCTCTTTTTGCTCTTTCACGTCTCCAGGTACCATCCTGGGTCCAGCACTTGCACAGTAACTACCTACCTAGCACTCAACCCGAAAGCCCCCTCCCCTATCAAGTACGAATACAGGCCGTGCCAACCAATTCAAGGAGCCCCAATTCTTCTGGGCCGTGGCGTTGCGGAGACGGCAAGGCAAGGCAAGGTAGGCATGGGAGGGGATTCCTAGCGGTCTTGGCTTGCGCAAAGTGCCCTCTCTAGGCACGCTAAAATCTCGTCCAAAACTGGGAAACAGGATTTTCTTGGTTCAGGAAGACGTCGCATCGTCCCCAGAACTGAAAAGTCTGTTTCCTTCTCATCACTAATACGGATTTTGTAGGAAGCAGTGGTAAGGATGGCCGACCGCACTGTTTAGGTTACCCACGGCCGAACAAACGAAACAGCCCAAACAGCTTTGGCTCTCCCGCTACGCTTTCGTCTTGTCCATCTCACAGAAGGCGAGAGCGGCGAAGAAGACATACACATGAGGAAACAGGGGCTCCAGTGGGCACGCCTGCTCGTATGACCTCACAGCGGCCGCACTGCACGCCATGGCTTCCCGGTACGTTAGATGGGGCTTTGACGGCGGGCTAACTCATCGCCCGAATTCTTCCCAGCCCAGCGAAGTAAGAGGAAACTCTTCTACAGCATTCGGGTCTTGATACGGCTTGACAGAACAGGCCAGCAGCTCAGTATTCTGTGTTTCGCCCAAGATGTGCCTTGACTATTAGAAACGGCATGCGAGGGGAGCCTGTGCAGCACTATCTCGCCACCATCTCACAGGCTCCCTCCCAGATGAACCCGTTGTTACTTCGGATCAGACATCACCGACCGGTCTGTGCATTAACCGCACCTAACAACCCGATCGGAGACGGGCTAATGAGGCAAATCAAGCCGGCATCCAGCTGCTTCCGGCACACATGAAATTTGACTGCAAGTGAAACGAACCAAAACAAGAACCAGCGTTGATCCCTGCCACGAAGAGCTGAGGGTTCGCTTCTGCTTCTGCACGCGGTCGTTACGAACTTTTTGCGCCGCACCAGGCTCTGATCGCCCGAACGCCACCCTCTACTCCAGTGGAGGATCGACACGCCAGCCCAGCACCCTTTCATGCTATCAGTCGCCGCAAAACCGACTCTGCCCGCCTGGCCTTGCAATTACTCTCATGGCTTATTCTGATGTTTCTCACAATTACTTCTCCTACTCTTACAATTTTCCTGCGCAAGACATTATCAACATGTTCATTTGTTCCCCGCGCGCGGCAAACGGACTCGCGGTGTGACGTCATAGGGATTCAAAGCAACTTTTTACGCGGGACCTAAATTGTAGGGCTGTCACTGAGTAACCAGGTACCTGCTGCGCCTACCATTCAGGGACCAACTCACTGCAGCCTCAGTGGCACAATCGAACAGCCATCCTCTCGGAACGGCAGCCGCACGCTTGCCAGATCAAACCTAGCTGTCCTCACTTTTTCAGCAACTAATCATTCGCAGAAGGGCCGATGCAGGAAATACGAAGGGGCATCCCCACCGAAAACCAGGGAAAATACGCCTGCCAAGCGCGGGCCTTGTCAGCAGCTCAAAGGAGGAAAAAGGGTGCAGCCCAGTCTTTTCTGTGGACATGGGATTTATAGTCGCCTTCAGCATGGCCAATTCTTTTCTGCATCCCGTTTCTCCAGCTGAAAACAGCAAGAAGCGAGCGAGTCAAGCCCGTCGCGTGCCGTGGCGCACTGGAGCCCAGTCAGTCACTCGGCCGAACCACTCCAGGGTCCTCTTCTGCCAAGATGTTTGAATCGTTTCCAAAGACATTTAACAGAAACCAACGAGTCGAGCCTGCATACTGGTAATTATATACGTTGATAAAATATGCTTGCCATCTTTAACATGCAATCATTATGCTGCGTTGTGCGTTTATTATGGGCCGCTCGACTTCTATGACTAAATGCAACAGTTAAAGTACAGGCAAAGACGCGCTCGACTATGCTCTTGTGAATACAAAAGTAGACAAGATAAAAGAAACCAAGCTCCTCAGTCGTTTCAAAATCCCAGTACTGTATAGTCGCGCGGCGGCGTGGACACCCATGGCGGCTCGGCCATCAGATCCATGGTGAACGGCACCCGCGCCTCGGCTGGGAGCGGCATGGTCGGTCCGTCCCCCATGAGCGCTTGGCGGATGCCGACCTCCTTGCCGATGAAGACGAGCGCGCGCAGGGCGACGTCCTTGTGCTCCTGGGGGGTGGACGGCACGTGGGCGACGAGGAAGAGCGGGAAGACGAGCTTCATGGCGTCGAAGAGCACGTGCGGGCTCTTGAGCACCGTGGTGCGCATCAGCGGCGCCATGGCGGCGGGCAGGCTGTCGATGACGGCCTGGGCGCTCTCGTTGACGCGCTGCAGCGAGCTGCGGCGGTGCGCGAGCAGCTCGTCGAGCGACACAGGACACGGCGCGTAGTGCGTCAGCAGGTTGCACAGCATCTGCATCTGGTGGTGGCTCCTGATGACGGCCGCGCAGCGGACGTTGCGCATGTACACGTCCATGGTCTTGTTCGGGTGCTGATGGCAGCACGCTTCCGGCGCCGGCGGCACAGCGTTCCGCAGGTACTCGGCAAAGGTCTCGTCGGCGTCGAGTAGGGCCTGCCGCAGATCGAGGTAGTCGTCCGAGGCGCCGCGGAAGTCGGCGCCGCGGAGGTGCCGCATGACACGCGACTGCACGTCGCAGACGCGCGCAACGTACTGTGCGATGCGCAGCGTCAGCTCCTCGCCCTCGAACAGGCCGCTCTCGCAGATGCCTAGCCACTCGTCCGTCTCCGCCGGGCACGCCGTGTTAAGGATGAGCGCTTGCAGCTGGACAATGTTGAACGCGGGCCAGAAGGCGGTTCGGCCCGCGGCGGTGCGCAGCGGCGCGCTGCCCCGGGCCTGTAGGATGACGTAGAGCCCACGCGCGTGCAGCTGCCACGCGTTGACCGGCTGCTGCCGGCCAAGCGTGCCGGCGAGCACCTCGTGGTTGGCGAGCACCCAGACAGCCGCGAGGATGTCGTCACGGCAGGCACCGCCGGGCGCCGCCAGCGCACGGTTCACGGCCCGCAGTGCCTTGCCCATGTACACGGCCAGCTCGCGGCGGGACTCGGCGCGGCGGGCGCAGGCCACCTCGGTCGGATACCGCACGTTGGTCACGTAGGTGCCAGCGAAGACGTGCGCCGCCCAGAGGAGCGGCCCGCCGCGGCTGGCGGTCGCGTAGGCAGCGCGCAGGAAGTCCATGGTCGAGTAGACGTCGAGCAGCAGCGGCACCGACTGCGCCGTCCAGTGCTCGGTGACCTGCCGCCCGAGCGTCATGAGCGGAGGAGCATCAACGAAGCCGGGGCGCGTGACGAGCACCCCGCTGGTCTCGGCGGCGGCGGAGGCTTCAGACGACGAAGAGGCGGCCGACGCCCCGACTGCGTTCCGCTTCTTTCCGTGCCGCCGCTTGAGCGTGGACGGGTCGGCGTTGCGGAACACGAGCGCCTGCTGGTCCCGGTAGCCGGGGCACACAGCGCCGTACTTGGTGCATCGCTGGCAGGCCGGCCTGGCCAGGTCGCACTATAAGTTGGTGAGCTAATGATGCCGTCAAAGAAAAGCTGCCGCGGCAACATGGGACTGGGACTCCCGCTCCCGCTCCATAGACACACCTTGACGCGCCTCTGTCGGCAGAGGTGGCAGTCCAAGCTTGGCCTGCCGGTGTTGGGCATGGCGGCGTGTGCCTACCTCCTACTTGCCCTCCGCCGCTCAACAGGCCGTGCAGCTCGCCCTGTGTGGATGAAAAGAAGGCACCACCTCGACCGGGGGTTTTCTCGCGGATCCGAATAGTACCAGCCGCCCTCTCTCACCGGCCGCGCAAAACGGTCCCGAGAATCCGTCGCGAGGGTCGTGCAACCCGAGGGGGGTCTTGACGCTGTCCAACCCCGCCAAGCGGGCAAGTATGAGCGTTCGTCAGATGCGGCAACAAGCCCGTCGTGTATAGTGCAGAAAGCTAGGAAGTGGCCTTTTGGGGTGGGAAGAGAGGCGCGTTGGAGAGGGCGAAGAAGAGCGATGGTGATGAGAAAAGGGTACACGTAGCCTAATGGTTTGTTGCGGCAGCCGTGCACAGCCGACCCCAGGTGTGTGTGTGTGTGTGTGGACTTGTTACAATGCCTGCCTCACGCGCTTGGCCTGCGAGTTTATTAGCCGAACCGCAATGACAATCATGGCGATAAAACCGGTCCCAATTATTTCATTGCGTCGCGGTCATCAATTGGACTAATTTCGGTACTTCTAGGCGTTGCTGCTTTACGTTTTCCTCATAGCCCCCGTGCTGCTGTCGCGGGAGGCAATGCACCGCGATGAAGTTGACAAGTTGATAACGGCATTCATTACATTTGTTCCTTGTTCCTATTACAAGCACCAGACAAATAACGAACCGGAAAGAATGAGCGGCAATCATCAGTCATGGTATTAATATTCCAGCTGTTATGTGGGTATCATCTCCCTCGCCTAAAACAAAACAAAATGATATGCGTTGCCCAATGCTATAACTGCTTTTCTGTTTTGTGGTTGCATTAACGAGACGAAGAAAAATACTTGCAGTATTAAAAAATGAATCCTGCCAATTGACGCTTGCCCATGTATCAAGACTATACAAAAAAAAACAATGTTGGTTAATTCCCCCAATGCAACGCCGTATATGTTAATCCGCAAAGAATCGAAAAAAATGTGCGTATGAATGGAAATAAGAACAAGGCGATGGCTATCACATCGCTACATGATATGAAAGAATTAATGTAGGTCGTAAGTTTTTAGCCTCCGAGCTTACGAAAGCCCTCAACATTCAGCAGCGGGACTTCCATGTCGCGAAGTCGATCGACGCCTTCGTCTGTACGTCGATCGACAAAGCTGTTGCACTCATTCACAACCTGCGTCCACTCCGCTAGCGCTTGGCCAGAGTAGACGGCGTTGCGGACAAACGCGCCAGCCGGCTTGCTTGGTCTCGCCTCTTCGGGCACAAAGTAGCCTGTGTTGGGCGTCGCCGTGCGCGTCGCGTCGCTCTCCTCGCTCGGGCTCGAGACACCAGTGCGCGTCGCTGGGCTGTCAATTGCCTGCAGCGGCTCCGCAAGGGAAAGCCTGCGTGTGCTTTCCTCGAGTGGCGAGGAAAGAGGCGTCGCATTCTTGGCGCGATCAATCAAGCCAGGCTGTGATGAGCTCGACACTTGGCGGAGCGCATCCAGCGGCACCGGACGCTTTGCACAGACCGGGCCATTCAGACGGTATTGCGCGGGGCCGGGAAGCTGCGGCAGAGTCAGGACACGCTCACGGCTGGGACCATTCTGCTGCTGCCAGGCTAGGATGAACTTGAAGATGAACCCTGGCTCGTCCGTTAGAGGTGTCGAGCAGCGAGATTCCGTATCCGATGTCGCAGAGCTTCCACCAATCTGAAACATCTTTCGCGATTGTGTGTATGACTGCGTGGATGGACGAGAGCGTGTGGAAGCCGTATCGCGCCCTCCCGGCTGTAGTCCGTCAGAGGAATGACTCTTGAGCAGACCGGCGGGGTTGGGCGTGTCGGCCGCGGACGCCACATTAGTAAATGACAGCACTTTTCCAAACAGCGACCAACGCTTCTTTGGGTCGCCCTGAGCATGCTGGGACGAGTCAAAATAGTCACTCATGGCTGCCAGGTCGGTACCGGAAGGCGTCCTGGCAAACGTATCCAGTCCCATGACGAGACCGGGCTGAGGTGCATGTACCTCTTGCCGAATAATGATGAATCGCTTTCCCACCGTTGGCGACATTGGATTGGACGACGGTCTTGCGCGGCCTGTCTCGTCGGCCGTTTCCCTGAGAAAGAGGTAGTGGCTCCAGACAGATCCGAGACGCTTGGCTGCGAGGCGGAAAACGGCAATATCAACATCGCTAGGAGATCCATCGTAGCGACAGATTCTCCAGCACAAGAGTCGATGGTAGTAGGCGCGCACCATCGGGCACCAGTTGTTGAAGAAGGAGTTGAACGTCTCTTCCGTAAGCAGCCAGTCAAAACAGAGCTCGGCTTTGCGCGACGGCTGCTTTGCGGCGACATTCCAGATGGTGTAGAGGAACGACAGAGCACGCACTTCCGACATGGTGTTCATCGAGCTCATGACACGCTTAAATACTTCAATCCAAAATGTCCAGTCGATGCACGAGGCCACATTCTCCCTCGCCTCGTACTGGTCATAAATGACCAATACCTCTTCCAGAAAGTCGCACAAGGTAAAGCAGGCCGAGCTGTTGAACTTGGAGGTCCGCTGCGTGGCCGCTTTCAACAGGGCAGTAAACGTTTCGGCGAATGTGGCCTTGGCGCTGGCAAAGTCGGGAAAGTCGTCCAGTAAGATATCCTTGAGCAGAGCGACGAGCCTATTCTCAGCCATACCCTTCATCAAGTTCGATGGGGGCAGAGGCATCGCCATGGCTGACGCATCCGCACCATGGAATGAGTCCACGAGTGGCGGGGGGTATGCTGCCTGGCCAAGAGCGGCTTGGCGATGAATGGTGGAGTCTATCATGGACAGGAGCTGCGCCTGGACGAAGACAAATCCCGGTGCGCGGGCTTTGAATGCCAATGGTAAATCAGGAAGGAGAAACTGGTCCGTAAGTACGTGGAAGTATTTGCAGAAGATGAAAAACAAGTCAGTATCTCGGCCCTTCCATCTTGAAACCCAAGGGCCGGTCCAAGGGATTCTAGCCACCAGGACAGACATTTTGGGAACCTGCTTAAGGTAATTCCAGGCAGCTCGCGGGGTGGTCCACGCATATGGGCTGAGTTTGGGAGGAAAGAGAGCAGCCATGTCTTCGCCATCGCCATTGTCGCATCGTGGCAGGCCAAACTCATCTGCTGCTCTGCGGATCAGCTCCGGCGTGAGACCCCACAGACGCATCAAAATGTCGGCAACGCCAGGGGCGAAGAAGAAGGCATACGCGCATGTTTTTCCGGCAAAGTTGACCAAAGTGAGGGGCGCATGCCGCAACGACATCTTTTCCACCACAAGTGACATTTGACGGATTAGGTTACCAACAAACATGGTTCGCACGCTATGCTCAGCAGTCTCGTCGAGAAGCATGGAGTTCTGAGAGTCAAACGAGGAGCTGGTCCATGATCGCGAGCGCACCTTGTCAGTAGGGCATCGATCAACCAGAGGTTGGAAAGCGGGCGTAGCGCGTCGCCACTCCGGTCGCATCATTACCATGGTGGCAGCCTCGAGCAGAATCGGACGATCGACTCCAGGGATTGGTTGGTTGGCTTGGGAGTCGAGCATGTCAAGAATGACATTCCACCACTTGTTGAGGATGACGGCTCGACGGTCGATATCTTCAGGCTGCAACTTTTTGGTGGATGGGTGATGCATGGTGGAGCGGAGAAAGGGCAACAAAACGGTCTGGATTTGGGCGATGCGTTGGGTCATTTGCTTGAGCGTGAAGCTCTTAAATTCGAGCTCAAGCGTCTTGAAAGACGACCACAGGCTGTCGCGAACCTGCGGCGTCATTTCGTTGGACGAATCATCCGTAATGGGAGTTGCGTTGCTCCTTTCCGAGCTTGTTGACTGCGAAGTACGGCTGGCCACGCTTTGGGGCCCAGTTTGACTCAGGCTGGCAGCTGACGAGGCGCAGCTGTCAGAATCGGCACCCCAGTCCTGAACGACAGTGACCAGGGTCGAGAGTTTGGGCTTGGGTTTGAAAAAAAAGGCCCCTGTCCTGCTGGAGCTCAAGGTGGCAGGTTTTTGAGCGTCAACCTCATCTTCCGACCGTGCAGTCAATTCGGGGGGGTTGGCCTGGACTGGGGGCTGGGACTTCCTTAAAGTGCCTTTGGGCGCAGCCTTGGGTGTCTTGTCCGACGATGCATTGTCCGTTGGTGGTGGACCCGTGATTTTGGGAGATGGAGTGCGAGAGATCCAGGAACGTCGCGCAAAGTTGGCGAAAGTGTCGGTGGCAGACTGACTGCGCTCCTTCAGCGACGGGTGGCGCGCCATTGCAGCATCCTTCGCCAACGGGGGCTCTAGATACTGCGCGGGTTGAGCATTATCCTCCTTGTTCGGTCTGAAGCTCGGTAGCCAAGATTTAGGGCGGCTTGTGCTCCTGGATCTAGAAAGACCACGCCTAAATCGGTTGGCCGGCTGCTCGGGTTCTAGATTTGATATCGCGCTTGTGCTTGTGCTTGTGCTTGCCTTTATGCTTGTACTTGTTGCGGGTGTGATGACCGGGGACGAATCGAGTGTAAGCGAGGGTGGTGTTCCGGGAAGCGAAAGCTTGGCATCCAGGTCGTGAATGGCATCGAAGGATGGAATCTCAAAGGATTCAAAGGACGGCAGCCTAGGAAGCTCCTTGTTGAGTGCGGGTGAATTAGGCGGCAGGGGCGGACGGCTCGTGAAGGATAACTGGAATTCTGGTGACGAGTTGGAGCGTGGGAAGTGGGCGGTAGAAATAGAAAGCGAGCTGGCGGCGGGAGCCATGGCAGGCTGGTCGATGGTACCTCGTAGCTCGTCAGAGTAGGTATGCAAAGCCAATCTGTGTGATGGGTTTAGACTTTGCGCGGTGTCGACCGGTAGGTCGTCCACGGCTTGGCGGATTGCGACGCTGAGCAGCAAACAGCTTCAGCTGCGGAGACCTGGGCGGGATCTCGGCGTAATGACGGCCGTGACGAAAGATTAGGCGTAGCTAAACATTACCAAAGACCGAATTGGGTTGTGATTTTGTCTTGTGCAGTTGCGCAAACGAGCAACTGGGCTGCGGGCGGACAAGTTCAAACGGCGGTTGGGGGGGGGGGGGGGCGCTTGCAGGCGGGATGCAACAAGTCACCGTACAAGGAAGGGCGGGGAGAATGCGGATGCCGTATTGTTGTAAAATCGGAGAATAGAAATAATTGGTGTATAGGATTCGGAAATAAAAAGAAAAAGAAAAGACGGGGGAAGGGCAAGCGAACGGTAGCCCAAGAGAGGTAGGACGAGAGACTTGTCGTGCGGAAATGTGGTTTTTTTCTGGAGCTGGGAGCGGCGAGGTAGGTAGTCCAGCCAGTCTGCGATTGGTATTATACACAAGTGCGGACTAAAGCGAGACAGAGGCTGTGGAATGCGCACGAGGAGCAATCGAAGATGGTATTTCGATTGGTTTGGTTTGGTCGGGGGTTAGAAGGAGGAAAGAAAATGGGCGAGGCCACGGGGGGAACCTGAGGCTGGTGGTAGGTGAGGCTGTCGCGCGGCAGATGGGACGAGGTTGACTTGACTTGACGGTGAGTGGCAGCTACGATGGATGGCGACAAGCACAGCCACAGCGGTAGCAAAGAACCAATTGAAAACGAAGGTGCGGGTAAAGGAGAATAGAGAAGCCAAAGGAAGAGAACAATGAAGGATGAAGAGGAAAAAAATTAACGACCACAAGGCCTGACACAGAAGATGGACCAAAAAACGTCACAGGCCAGATCAAAGGAGGAGAAAGCGGGGATTGCGTCTTTGCACGGGCATCGGCTAGTTAGCTCGTCTCGTTCATGACTGAATGGTTAATTTACAGGGAGGCCTTGTTCCTGCAAAGGAGGCGGCGATGCTCTGCAGATTGCAGACGCAAATTCGTAATCCCAGTTACGGAGTACGACCAAAGTTACCAGCTCCAGCAGCATCGGGCGCCCGAGTCAACCTGGGATGTTGGCATGGGAGGGGCCTTTGTATGCAGGGGAACGCCCACAGCCAGTCAATTCCGGCGCACGAGCAAAGCCTGGCGGTCGGTACCTCCGTACTGTAACTAGAGGATCGGACCCCTTGCTGAGCCCTTCGTCATGTCACTTGCCACCAGTCAAAAAAGATTTGTTCTACAAAATACGGACACATGGCCCCCAACACTCACATCCGTTGGCGCTGAGAGCAGGGCGGCTCTAGAGGCGGCGTTTAACTATCGGGGGCAGCAAGTTACATACAATCTGTACTCCGGAGAAATTACATGGCCAGGTCCCCGCCGCCTCCATCAAAGAACAAAGGGGAGAGCACACACTTGATTATCATCGGCCTCCTCCAAGACGCCTGGCTGAACCCCCAATCGCAAAGGGTGGACGGCCCAGCGAACCGCACCAGATGTATCCGTACTAACTGTGTAGATCATGGTAATCTGCTCAGCGCAAACCATGGGCTTTTTCTGGGCATCCTGCCCGCCACCATCCATCAAATACCCTTTTTAGTGTGTACCTCTTTGGGCAAAGCCTCACGGAGAGATTGTATTAGTTATTATATAGGGCGTCTTTTGGCGGCCCCTGCTCAGCTAGACCAGACCACCTTACTGATATTAGCAGTGGGTGGCGGCCCAGTGGGGGAGATGATCAACTAACCAGCTGCTGGTAATATCGACCGGGACGAGCAAAATATAGGCATTAGTTAGCTCGATTTATTAGGAGCGCAGGTTTATTACAATGCACAGCTCATCCGTTTACTGCATGCTGCTGCGTGTCCGGAGCCGATGGTTGCAGCATCGCCGCTGATCTCGTCGGCCGACCATTCCATTCATCCGCAGGCCGAGCCAGGACCTACCTTGTTGTCAACTTGTCAAGCTGCAACGCCATTTCAGCATGGACATTTTTATATGTAACCGCCGAATTTGTGCCTTGTGGAGGCATCTTGGCCTCTGGCCATCTCTGCGCTGTCACCTGGCGCCTAAAAGAGACCACACTTTGGCCGCTTGCTGCGGACAATCATGCATGCAGGGGGGGCTGAACGCAGCTGGACAAGCACCTTTGCCATATTTTTTTTTTGCGGAGAAGGCCTCTTCCGTCCCATCCGCGCAGTACTAATCATGGGGCCATTCTTCAATACTAGGTTTTTCTCTTGGGCTTCTTTCCTTCTCCATGCCCAAACCGCCGTTTCAACCGATTAATTAGAGTTGTCGGTGCTCGTTGCATCTCCAGCACTTTCAAACAGCCACCCGGCCAAGTGTTCGAACACCTGCCAAATCAAACCTCCTTCGCCCTGGTGTTCTCCTAGCTTGGTTCTGTGTCTCTGCTGTTGGCAATCCAAATTAACTAGGCAAGGCTAACAGTTACGATACTACTGCTAATAATGGGCCTGGTACACACGACTTCGGTAACCGACATGCTTTTCAAGCGGCCAAGTGGCGTCGTCCATCCCGTCGCCCTGGGCCTATCTATCTCTCGTTCTTCTCCCGGGGCTAAATCGGTGGTTGCGAGCTCGTCGCAATCTAACCGAGTGGTGCCAATACGTCACAGCCAAGGCTAGCTTTTGCCTCTGTCATTCGACTCATTCCCCATCCCAGCCACATGAGCATGTGACTGTGTTCAACTTGATTGGAATCTGCACCGACAGCAGACAGCAGACCAGATGACTATGGGTGAACAGGGGGAACAAGGTACATATATATTGATGCAACCTCGCCAAAGACACAACATGGTGCGAGCGTGACGGAATACGGGCATATGTCCCTAATGAGCCGATCTCTTGAACACTACGAATTAGCTGTTGACAATAACCTGAGCAGTGCGTCTCACGACGGCAACAAAGGGAGAAGGAACGCCGTTGTGAAGCGACACAGACATCATAGCGCCACAGCACGCGGCGCCATGCTACGAGGAAGTTGTGCCACACTTGCATTGAAGCAAGAAGCAGGTTGCGGGTCGCTGAGTACGTCTTTGTCAGGCCAAAAGACACGAGCAATTAGAGGCGGTAAAAATTCCACGCTTGATCGGGTTGCAGCTTATCTATCAAGGCGAAGGCTGGTTGCGGTCTGAAGCAACCTGAGAAGCTGGCGCTTACACATCACTGAGAAGGGCTTGTAGGCACCGACAAGGACGAGATGATCGCCACAGGCTGGTCCTGAAAGAGACGAAAAGTGCAAAACTTCAACGATGAAGAAAAAAAAATAGATTAGAATGTAACATATATACAAGGCGACAACGTCAAGAACCGATCCATAACACAGTACAGAGTGGACGGTATCGCCAAGTCGCATGAGACACGGCCCAAACGTTAGCATTCACCAAGCTTCACCAAATGCTGACAAACCTGCTGTGGCTGCGGCAGCACCCTTAATAATGTCATTAAGCTGGCGCAGCTGTAAGAGGGGACGCACAGCAGCTTTGCCGCTGGAGAAAGAAGCCAGAGTTGCAAATAGCAAGGAAACGCGGAAATCATATTACCTCCAATTTCTACGGATTACCGCCCAATCAATTCGTATCATGAGTCTGTCGTGAAACACGGAGCTTCTTGGGGCGACGGCATCTTGCGGCGGTGGTGCCGGAGCTGCTGGGTTGGGGGTTCCGCAGCAAAGTATTGTACATACGTACATACCCAAAACGGCAGCGCCGCCACGGAACCGCCACGGGGGGGCAGCGTTGGGGGTTTCTTGGGGGGTTTTGGGGGGCTTTACAGGTGCCGACCACCAACACGCTGCGCTGCGGCTTTTGCTCGCTTCACGTCGCCTGCCCGCCGGTGCGTCATAGCCCCCCCTTCCTCTCCAGAGCTCAGTAGGCGAGCGGCCAAAAGGGCCGTGAATGCGTTTCGTCTGACAGGAGATCTGACACGGCTTGTTTACGTTAGCTCATCCAGGACATGTAAGAATAATGTGTCAAGCTGTATTGGGGGGCTGACGAATTGGTTGACGGCAATTCCTTTGCAAGAAACAATTCCCAACATGCTAACTGCCTACTAGGTACGTTCAACTGCCCTTTGTAAGAGCTATGTCAGCCAATGGTAGCCAGCACCGTCGCAAAATTGTATCCGGATGGAGCCGTAAAGTCACCGAGGGATAATGTTCTTCTTGTCGTCGAGGTAGTGTCATCGTCACAGACAGAGTTGTAACTCGGGTATTCTGACCTCTTGCCCGCAGTGGAGTTTGACGTAAATGTTGGGGCGAGATATCACAACCAAAACGACGCATCAGGCGCCAGCCAGATCCTATCAACCCTGGTCCAAGCTCTGGGAAATCTCTCAATCCCTCAAAATACAATCAGCCAGCCCTCCGTAGCGTGAGAGAAAAAAACCTCTCTTACGGCGATAGTGATGACACTCCCACTCCCTCATCCTGCTGCCCCGCCAATCCGGTGCCCCCATCGGTATTTGAGCCCGCTTTTTCCTTACACAGCACGACCAGACAAACTTCAAGCTCGTCAACCTTTTTCCTTACTCCTTCTTCTACTCTTCATCTTCATCCTCATCTCGTCCTCCTCGATCTCGCGCTTGTGCTGCCTGATCCTGCCACACTCCTATTCCTATACCCTACCGCATCCCCATACACCACAGCCATCATGTCTGGTCCTGTGTAAGTCTTTCCCCTCGTCTTGCTGCTATCTGCTTCTTATCTCGACTACCCCACCACCCCGCCGTCAAGCTGTTTGGACAACGCTCAATTTCCCGCACTCGGTATTTGCGCACATCGCCAGATTTTCTTTGGTGTTTTGCTTCTCCGCTGGGTTTTGCCATATCCCCCTGCTTTATGGCGTTGCTGAGTAGATTCGTGGCCTCCTATCCCCTTGAATCGCCCGCTCACTGCTGAGCCGTAGTGCTCGACTCGCCAACATCAAGCTCGGCTCCAATAAAGGCGGCAGCTCCTCCTCTGCTTCCACCGTCTCCGATACGTCTCGTTCTGTGCGAAATGCTAACAATGCTCCAAGCGCGGATCTCGGCCTCATTGGCCTTGCTGTCATGTAAGTTTTGACCGTTTCCGGATCCCCCGGCGTGCCCCTCCAAGTTGGCTAACCGTGTTGTCCAGGGGACAGAACCTGATTCTCAACATGGCCGACCACGGCTTTACCATCTGCGCCTTCAACCGAACCGTCTCCAAGGTCGACCGCTTCCTGGAAAACGAGGCCAAGGACAAGTCCATTGTTGGCGCCCACTCCGTTGAGGAGTTCGTCTCCAAGCTCAAGACCCCCCGCCGCGTCATGCTCCTCGTCCAGGCCGGCCAGGCTGTCGATGACTGGATCGAGAAGCTCCTACCCCTCCTGGAGAAGGGCGACATCATCATTGATGGTGGCAACTCGCACTTCCCCGACTCCAACCGCCGCACCCAGTACCTCACCAGCAAGGGCCTTCGCTTCGTCGGCTCCGGTGTTTCCGGTGGTGAGGAGGGTGCCCGCTACGGCCCCTCCATCATGCCCGGTGGTGACGAGGAAGCTTGGCCTCACATCAAGGACATCTTCCAGGGCATCTCTGCCAAGTCTGACGGCGAGGCCTGCTGCGAGTGGGTCGGTGACGAGGGTGCTGGCCACTACGTCAAGATGGTTCACAACGGTATTGAGTACGGTGATATGCAGCTCATCTGCGAGGTAAGATGCGCCACAAAGTGCAGTTAACTTCCCGTCTAACAATCTCAGGCCTACGACATCATGAAGCGTGCCCTCGGTCTCACTAACAAGGAGATTGGTGATGTCTTTGCCAAGTGGAACAAGGGTGTTCTCGACTCTTTCCTCATTGAGATCACTCGCGACATCATGTACTTCAACGACGATGATGGCACTGCCCTTGTCGAGAAGATCCTCGACAAGGCCGGCCAGAAGGGCACTGGCAAGTGGACTGCTGTCAACGCCCTTGACCTCGGCATGCCCGTCACTCTCATTGCTGAGGCTGTCCTCGCCCGCTGCTTGTCTGGCATCAAGGAGGAGCGTGCGGTTGCCTCTACCAAGCTGCAGTACGTTTCGCGCAACAGCGGCAAGTTCGAGGGCAACAAGGAGCAGTTCCTTGATGACCTCGAGCAGGCTCTCTACGCCTCCAAGATTATCTCGTATGCCCAGGGCTTCATGCTGATGCAGGAGGTACGTTCCACCCGCTCAATCTACCCCATTAACACCATCTAACACATCCTAGGCTGCCAAGGAGTACGGCTGGAAGCTGAACAAGCCCTCTATTGCCCTCATGTGGCGTGGTGGCTGCATCATCCGCTCCGTCTTCCTCAAGGACATCACCGCCGCCTACCGCAAGGACAACGACCTCGCCAACCTCCTTTTCGACGACTTCTTCAACAAGGCCATCCACAAGGCTCAACCCGGCTGGAGAGACGTCGTCGCCCAGGCTGCTCAGCTTGGTATCCCCACCCCCGCCTTCTCTACCGCCCTGTCGTGGTTCGACGGCTACCGCACCAAGGACCTGCCCGCCAACCTGCTCCAGGCCCAGCGCGATTACTTTGGCGCCCACACCTTCCACATCAAGCCCGAGGCTGCCAACGCCAAGTACGAGGCTGGCAAGGACATTCACGTCAACTGGACCGGCCGTGGTGGTAACGTTTCTGCTTCCACCTACCAGGCTTAAGCGGATGTTGAATTGGAGTCGCAAAAATCGATGAAATAATATAGTAGAGAATGATGAAAGCTGGTTTTTCTGACATTTATTGAATTAATATACAAAAATCGTCTACGTGATTCTTGCGTGCAAATCGTTCCACTTGATGGAAAATGTCACCTTAGTTGCATGCACCATTATCCATGGGAGTGCGGATTTCGGGTGTTTGGTAATACTAAGGTATTCAATCTTGGCACGATGAAATTTTCCTTCAGCAATTGGAGCACCGAGTAAGAAGCCCACTGCTGTACACACTAATGCCGTACTTGGATATCACATTCGTCCTCACGCAACACATCACTGCCGCTGATGGGGCAGGCAGTGTCTACGAGACATCAAAGAGGTTTCTTTCGCTCGTCAATGCATTCCGATCGACAGCGTTCGTGTCCCCTCGCGCAAGTCGATTCGCGTGTCGATGTCTTGCATGGAGCCGATCGGCCGCTGTGTTGTACGGATCAAGGCTCGCCAAGAAGGAAGAATACCTCTACCGCGAATGGCAAAGGTCCATCGAACGTGGCGGGAAGCATGAGCGCAAAGAAATTGACCTGATGTGGTGATACAGAAGGAGGAAGGAAAGAGAAAAGTGAAGCTCGAAGGCTGCGTGGGTTTTTAGCTTGGAAAGTTTTGGCGGCCCGCTCTGGCTGGGTCAGCGGTAGAACATAATTCCGCAGCTGTCAGTTACCCTGTAGCCGCTGATCTTTCTAATGAGTGCAGAAGGGGAATCGGTCGGGAAACAAGAGCGCGTGGGATTTGAGGTCTTCCTCTCTGCGATGTATGCTCTCTTGAAGGGATCGAAGTCAAGGTCCAACGGTTGTGTTTATGCTATGCTGTAATCCATGTGTCCCTGTCCGCGCTCCCAATTTCTGACGTGCCCTGTATAATTTACTCCTTTTCCTTCTACACGTCACAATGAAACGGACAATCCGCGCACTTCAATGTCGCCCTCACATGCTGCTTCATTCGAAACGACCAGCAGTTTTGTGTTTTCTAATAATTGCGGATATCTGAACGAAGCATGGCCACCGAGAGCCTGGCGGCGGAAAGTGACGGCCCCGTCAACAAAGGAGAACTTCCACCGCGTTCCAAATGCGACGCCCATTGAAGAAGAGCTTCTTCCGGGGCACAAGGCAGAAAACTACTATTCCGTCACGATAGACGAGACCCTGAATTCGCGGTATCGTATTATCTGCAAACTTGGTAGTGCAGTTGGGTCGACGGTCTGGCTGGCCAAAGACGCCAAGTACGACCACCCCGGACGTTATTTTCGATTTACACCATGTTTTTAATCATTTTGCTGATGGAGGATTTAGAACGTCCCGATATGGAGCTGTAGAAGTCTGCACTCGGACTACAGGCGGCGCAGTTCCCGCGTAAGCTAGTCGAGAGATCGCCGTGGTCGAGTGCCTCAAGACAGCTCCTGTTCAAGAGCACCCGGGCCGACATGATGTTCGCACGGCTCTAGACTCTTTCACCTCAACGGTTCTTCATGGGCCTCATACGTGTCTTGTCTATGCACCTCAGGGAATAACTTTCACCGAACTCCGCGAGTACTTACCGAACAACAAGCTATCGAAACGGATGCTGTAGAGCAGCGTCCAAGTTCTTCTGATCGCGATGGATTATCTGCATGAAAATGGCGTTGTTCATACCGGTGAGTTCATATTCACTGGTCCGGCGCCTGTAGTGGTTCCAGCGGTTTCAGTTGCCTCCTGCTAACACCAGTAGATATCTCTCCCAATAATATCCTTGTTGGTGTAACCGATGATACGCCATTCTCTCAACTAGAGAATGACTAACAGGCACGCCCTGTTGCAAGGAAGGTCCTCCCCGATAGAACAATTTACATGGCGCGCCCAGTGCCTCGGACAAACGAGCAGCCTATGCTGTCTGATATGGGCTCAGCAAGATTCGGCCAGGAGACTTTCAATGGCGACATTATGCCCGACGTCTACAGAGCCCTGGAGGTTATTCTAAGTATGGAGTGGTCCTCCAAAGTTGACCTGTGGTCGGTTGGAGCCATGGTAAGTTTTTGTCCCTCACAAACAGTGGTGATCTACTAACATCAGTATAGCTTTGGGATCTTTTGGAAGGGAAGATACTGTTTCACGCGAAGACGGACGGTGTTCTTGATGATGAGCAACACTTGGCGGAAATGGTGTCTCGAATTTGCAACCCACCGCCCGAGTTTCTTTGCGACGCAGTGAAATCTGCGCGAGGTTCTTCGACGATGCGGGTGAGCCTTGTCCCATCACAGCATAATTTGCATACATCAACTACTAATTTATGATAGGCAATTGAAAACTCAATTCCTATCCCTAACTAGTCCGTGGAGGATTGCATCACCTAGGTTCAAGGGGGGGACAGAGAGCTACTGCTTACATTTGTGCGCAGGGTGCTTTGTTGGCTGCCTGAGAAGAGGCTGACAGCCGAGGAGATGGCATATGATGATTTTCTCATGAAAGCATACTTTGCCGCACATTCGAAAGGTTAATACAGGCTAGTTTGAAGTTATGGTCTAAGTGTGGTGCTATTACTGTCATTGGCTCAATCTGTTTTTCTGTTGTCGTCATCATCTTGGGGAAGGATGCGCCACAGGGCACCAAGCACGCCTTCGATCCCTCGCGATATAGGGCTGAGATAGATCTTTAAAATCTAGAAAAGACTAACCCGGGCTTAAAAAACCCTATTATCTTTCTACTAGTAGTTACTATAGACTAACCTTACTACTATAATATATTATAGACTTATAGGATAATATAGGTACTAGTAGATAGTTTATTCTATAATATAATAAAGTATTAACTTTATTAGACTTTAATAAATCCATTTTTAATAAAAAGAATATTCTTTAAAATATTATTATTATTTTACTCTAATTAAGTTTAACCTATTTAGTTCTCCTATAAGTTTAATAAAAAGAGGAAAAACTAAGCCTTAATAAAAAACCCCTACTTTAGTATTAGAGTTGGAAACATTTAATAAACTAGTATTTAATAATAAATATTATAATAAATATAAAAAAAGAAAGAATAAACATATATAAGTAATAATATTAAGAATCTAATACTTTGATTATTATTCCCTCTAATATATGTTAGTTTTATTCTAATAGTTAATATAATATTCTTATAATAGTCTTCCTAATAAACCCTCTTATAGGCTTTAACTAGTAAGATAATGATTAAGTAAGGGTCTATAGTGTATAGTTGAATTATAAAGCCTCTAAGGAGTAGAAAGAGTATAATAATTCTATATAATAGTTAATATTAGAGGAAGGATTTAACTTTAATTTTATTAGTAGTAATAAAGATTAAACGTTTTCTTTTCTTATTAAAGAAAGAGAGGTACTTAAAGACTATATACAGTATTATAGAGTTAGTAGTATATTATTTATAGAAGTATAATAGGAAGTAATAGGTAATTAAAGGATAAAGATATAGAGTTATATAAATTATTTTCCTTAGTTTAATACTCTAGTAGGTTAATAAAAGTTTTAAATAGTACCCTTTTTTATACTTAAATACTCTATTTTTAAGCCTTCTAACTTTACCTCTATATATTATAAATCTCTATATTAAATCTAGTTAAATAAATCTTTATAATTTTATTAAATATATATGTTAAGGACTGGCCCTACGGCTACTGCGAGTAGGCGTCGATATGAGGTTAAATTGAATCTCTTACGGAGGAAGAGACAGGGAGGTTGTGACGAAGTGGCTACTATACATAAGGGGGAGTCCCCCCCCTATCGGCCCCGTGCCTCAGGCCACCAGGCTATCAGTCTAGCTGGGCTGTGGCCCAAGCTCTCACAGTATTATAGAGTTAGTATTATATTATTTATAAAAGTATAATAGGAAGTAATAGGTAATTAAAGGATAAAGATATAGAGTTATATAAATTATTTTCCTTAGTTTAATACTCTAGTAGGTTAATAAAAGTTTTAAATAGTACCCTTTTTTATACTTAAATACTCTATTTTTAAGCCTTCTAACTTTACCTCTATATATTATAAATCTCTATATTAAATCTAATTAAATGAATCTTTATAATTTTATTAAATATATAGTCTTTAATACTTTATTCTAAAGTTCTTTTCTTAAAATATTAAACATTAAAGTTAAAAGTTAAAAAGTACTTTTATTATACTAGTAAATTCACCCCTACTTAAAAAAAACTACATTTTAAACTTCTAATAGGTATTCTAAAGACTATATATCTTAAAATAAAAAATAAAGCTATAAAAGATAATTAGGTCTTTTAAATAAATTAATTAGGTTTAAATTACTATTTATTTAAGCAGTGGTTACTTAGTTATTTAGGTTATAAAGCTATATACCTTTATGTGTAATTTAGTGGGGAAGTACGGAGTACTGAACCGAGTGAAACTTTTATTAACCCACTATACTCCGTAGATGGAGCGACATTATCACAAGATAGAATAATGATTTAATTCAGGAGAATTATTGGTGGGGCTACTAAAGCTATCTTTTAATTCGCAAGGGCTATAGCTGCAGAGCTTTGTTGAAAAGCCCGCGCTGTATCAATGACGCCGGCCCTTATACAACTTCGTCAAAGAACAGTTTCGAATTGGATCGTGACAGCCATACTCTGGAGTACCTCCGAGAGACTATTCCTTAATTACCAAAGCACCGGAAAGATTCAATATTATCATTCCAGCGGCCGGGCAAGTCCGGTAGATTGGCATAACCAGGGTACCTAAAATCTATTGCCTCACCGAAGCAGCGTCCTTCCCTACAAATAAATTGTTAGCATATGCCAAGTCCGCTTGTTTAGTTGTGTCAAGGATGGACTCACTTATAGAAGCGGCAAATTCCAACTGCCTCATCTGGTTGAAGGGAGGATACTTTGTCACGCACCCCTGAGGGTAGATCGACTTCATAGATGTTAGGGCCAAGTGACGAATTCAGCTGACTCTAGCCACACGGCATCAACATACTGCATTGACTGATGGGTGCTGGAACAGTGATACATGGAGGTCCAAAGTAAGTTTGATCGCAGAATAAAACACCCGGCTGCTGCTCTTCTATAGCTGGAGCGGCAATAGCTTTGGCTGAGAGACAGGCAGTGAGAACAAATTTGGCTGTCTTCATTTTGAAGTGATTGTAGTATAATAAAATGGAGAATGTTGTCTGCAGATATTCGTCGTAAAATGTTAGAATATTGAAGAGATGATTGCCGATTTTAAGGGGGGCCTACTGATCAATATATAGTCTTTACGAGATATCATTTCATAATCTTGTCTCTTAACTTGTAATTTCTTGTTTTCGCACTTTGCCTCACAATGTAGTAAGAGACTGCACAATATGACATAGCACATCGAGACGCGGCTCGTCGAGACAAGCATACAGCCCCCCAGCTGAAACAACACAAAACAAGCAAAAAGTAACATTCTAGTCGATTCATCCCTAGCAAATCATGCGCATGCCGGACTCCACGTCCGATGGCTCCGCGATGTAGATCCAGGCATATTCACTACCTTCTTCGAGCCCGCTGCAGTCGGTGGTAGTGCAGTTACAGAACCCAGAGCCACAGTGCCGGTCGCCGCGATCCGTCTCCTCCCAGCACTTCCTCCGCGGCGAGAGCTCATCATACGCGCCACTACGGGTGGACGGGCTCAAACAGCACCATGACCTGCGGCGCCAGGCCCCCGGCGTCCTCCCGGAGCGCCACTCTTTTTGCCTCGCGACGCAGGGCTCGCGATTTGTGGCAACCCGGCCGGGTTGGTTTCGCGCACTGGACGTGCTTTCCAGGGTTGGCAATGCTGTCGGCGCCTTGTATTCAGCTGGCTTTTGTTCCGGTCCGCAAGATGTCGCAGTCTCCAGTGATGCGTCAGACGGCGCTAGTACTTCGGCGAGCTTTATCTTGCTGGGGCTATGTCGTGGTGGGCAAGACTGTATCAGTAGCACTGCTAGCCTGTACGACGGCGCGGGAGCATCGCGAGCGAGTCTGGCGAGCAGAGACGTTGCTCGGGAATTTTCTCAGTAGTTTCTCTGAGATGGCAGCGAGAACTTCAGGTGGTAGGTATCGGCTCTTGCGCGCTGGGGGCAGCCACGATGGCCTTTCCGGCGGAGCAGCAACGGGCTCCTCTGCCATAGCAGCTGATTCGATAGCTGGCTTTTCTTCGATGGCCCAGAGAATCGCAGAATTTGGTATGATCGGAGATTGACTTGCTGTTTTTGGCGTGGCGTCAGTTTTTGCAGGTTCTTGTCGGCTGACCTCGCAGTGGGTGCTGACCACAACTGGCCACCTGAGGTGCCATGAGAGCTTCACAAATAACAAAACAACAAAAAACATCATTAATTTTACTTTTAGCTCCCTACGAGGCGGCAGGAGTGTCGCACGACTATTATAGGCTTCCGTTCTGTACTATTAGAAGCTACGCTAAATTCTAAATAGACTTATTAAATACTTGATCTAATCTAGACTAAAGGATTAAAGAGAATTAATATAATCTAAGAATATAATAGAAAGATAAATAAGTATATAAAGAAAAAAGTTTCTTATAAATAGTTAAACTAAATCTTTATTAATTAATCTAAATAATAGTTTAAGATCCTATTCTGCCTAAATCTTTTATGATTCTTTTACTACTGAGTTTATTATCGCCGCGTTTCATTTATTGGCCATTTTTAGCGCTAGTCTCAGTACGGCGCCCAACCACAAGGCTGAGGACAAGATGGGGGGATGCATGGCTGATCTAGTTGTGCGGCGCATCTGATCATGGTCTTGACAACGACAAGTTCCCTTTTAGGTTTGTACATCAGTACATGATGCACGAAGACGCGTCTGGCCCTTAAACAGAGTTGAGTAACCCTCACTTATAGTCTTTTGTTGCCTGACCGACGACTTTGTGCGTTCACGTGAACTGGGCTATATACACCTTCCAGTCCACCCGTCATCATCCATCCACCCGTCCAACATATCCATCCATCATCATCCACCGCTGTCGACGATAGCGCAGACAACGCAGACACCGCAGACACCGCAGACAACGAAGACATCGAAGACACCGCAGACAACGAAGACAACGAAGACAACGAAGACAACGAGGATAACGCAGACAACGTCGACAACGCAGACGACATCGACAACACGTCAATAAATCCACACAGCCCGCTCGACCGCGATGACGCCCAAGTCACTGCACGAGATGGCCACCGCCGTCGCGACCAAGAACATCCGGTCCATAGTCAGCGTCGGCTACATGTCATACCCCTCAGTCCGCCACATCCTGGCCAAGATCGAGGACGCGCGGCAGCTGCGCCAGATCGAACTCAACTGCCCGCAGCTGCAGGGCGAGACCGCCGAGCTGTGGCTGCGCCTCATCGAGCGCGACTTCCCACTCGAGCTGCGCGCCCACGCCTACATGCCCAAGCACGCCGACCGCTGGTTCAAGGTGTGGGAGCGCTACAAGGCCGACCACGACCGCTCGCTGCACGCGTCGGAGGAGCAGCTGCGCGCCGCCCTCTCCGGCCTCCGCGAGGATAAGGAAGGCAAGAAGAGCAGGATCGTGGAGGGCCGCTTCCTGCCGTCGGACGCGACGAGGCCGAGGAGGCGTCCTCTGGGTCCCAAGGACGGGAGCACGAGCGTGCTGAGCTTCGGAGGCGGGAGTCGGACGAAGACGCTGACGGGCGCGGGGGTGATGCGCAAGGCGCGACGCGAGGCGCGAGAGGTGCGCAATATCCAGGGCGCCCTGTCCCGGTCGGTCGTCGCGCCCATCCGCCTCCTGGAGAAGCAGCACCTGACGACGAGATCGCCGGCGGCGACGATATCACAGCCACCGCCCGGCATGGTGCGCGAGCACCGCATCGCCGCGCAGCCCGCGTATCGCACACCAGAGGCTGAGGCGTCCGAGAAGCGCGCCGAGGAGCTGGCCAGGAAGCGCGCCGAGGCTGTGATCGCGGAGCACGCCAAGCACGCTGCCTACATCACCGACTCGGAGGAGGAAGATGACTGGGACAACGGTGATGATGATTACCACCGCCAGCCTGCAAAGCGGCCCTCCGCGGCCGCCTCGGCACCGAGCAATACCGCCGCCGCCAAGCCGCCACCCCCCGCGCCAGGTCGCAAGGTCCCCGGCTCTGGTGGCAACATGTTCCAGCGCAAGTTCGGCGCCGGCAAAGGCACCCTCAAAGCGCCGCCGCCTCCCCAGCCGCTGCGCCGCGTCACCACCACAACCACTGCCGCGGCAGCGTCGTCGTCGTCGCCGCCGCCCTCCGCGGGCAGAAAACGCACCGCCGGCGCGGCCAACCTCGACGAGCCCACCACCAGCCCGTCGTCCGCGTCCAAGCGTCCGGCCATCAGCAGCAGTACTTCCCAGGTCCTGCCCAGGGAACCCAGCCCCCCCGCGGACTTTGCCAGGGGCCTGTCGCCTACCAAGCCCGAGGCCCCGAAGCTGCTCCCGCGCAAGAAGAAGCCCGTCAGCGTCTTCATGAAGCGTCCCGTCAAGCGCACTTGAATGGATGATGACGGCACAGCACGCCCACACCACAACCTACAACAGCGTGTACGATGTACGATAACTGTACAATACAATACAAAACTTGATTTGCATAGCGAATGTTGGAATCTGGATCTGGGAATCAGAAGCGTTTCTCCCGGCGGTTTTCTTTTTGGACTTTTGATCTTGAATCCTCCCTCAAGTCTTGAGCGGTCCTTGTTTTTTTTTTTTTTTTTTTTTTTTTTTTTTTGAACTGGCATCAAAGACCAGCGAAATACCATGTTGTCTTGCAGCGTGTCTGTTTAACCGTCGAGCGATTTCTTTCTTTGGATTTGCACCGAATACATAGCGTCAGCCTTTTGGCAGGTTTTTGTCTTTTTGGCGTGCTCTTGGCCGCCCAGCGATATCTTTCGTGTTAACGCATGGCATATACTTATCAGCGTGATGGAATTTTTGGTCTTTTTACGTCTCCTTTAAGGTGACTAGCAATGTTTCTGCTTCCAGATGGAGCATTCGGGATAACATAATTATATATCACAGCGAATCGATTACGTTTCGTCTCTCACTTGATTCTCTCTTATAACCTGAAAAACGTACTTGCTTGTATTTTTATTATTATTGAAACTTCTGACTGTCTATCCTCCGCACCCGAAAAGGATGAAAAATGCGTTCGTTGTTCGTTCGTCCTCGACCTTCTCCCTTATAGTGTGTATAAATTTGCTAATGTTCATGGCCCAATGCCAGGGGAGTGTTTCCCCTTTGTTTCTGATATGCTTATTCTCTCGTCGCTCGGAGGGAAATTCGGTAGAGATGGGCAAGGGCCTCTCTATTGGCAGCCGCCACGGAGGGCCAGGACGAGATGCAGCGTGTCGCCGCCCTTAAGGTCGTAGTCGGCCGCGGTCTTGTCGTCGGTCCTGTCCGTTGCGTCAGCTGGGGGCCACAAAACGTCATTCGTCGCCGGAAAAAGAAAAATTGCCATACATTTGCTTGCCGCCGTAGATGAGGCGTTGCTGTACGGGTGGAATGCCTTCCTTCTCTTCGACCTTTTCCTTGATCTGCGAGACCTAGTTGTTCCACGGGCATCGTGAGCACACGCCCGCTGGGCCCGATCCAAAATTCTGCAAGCCTTGCTGCAACGACGGGACAACGCACCTTGTACCCGGGCTCAATGTCCAGCTCAATCTCCTTGCCGGTCAGTGTTCGCACCCTGACAGTCGCACAACGTAGGTTAGTGGCTGGGTGGCGGGATGCTTGCAGGGTTGGCGGCTGGGTGATGCCAGCTCTTACTTGATCAACATGGTGGGCGACTGTGTGTTTCTATATGTGCGACGGAAAGGAAGGGGTGATTTTGACCCGTTTTGGCGCAGGAAGAGTATGTAGAGTGTAAACAGGCCAGAGAGGTTGACGGTTGGAGGTTTGCGCAAACGGCGGGACCGTCATCGTGGTGAAGGCGGGACAACCCATGGTGGGGTAGCTTGGAAGGGTAACCGCGTGCTGCTGCCTGCGTCACGACGGGCAAATACAGCATCACCGGGCAAAAGGGATTTTTGAATAAAGTGTTGGCCTTATTAGCACTGGGGATTAATTAATTAGAAATGCAGGAACAATACGGTTCTGTGAGTAGCGGCTACGTTCAGAGGCAACATTAGAATTCCTTTCATCCATATATTGCTATAATACAACTCCATACGTTTCACAAATACAGTGGAGATTTAAGTTGGTAGAGACCTGCCTTCGGGCCCGTTCTCTTGTCTCTTTGCCCACGAGTCTACCTTGAGCGCTTACTTCTTCTCATCCGTCTCGAACACGTTCAGGCCGAGGCCATCAGCGTCGAGCATCAGCCTGTTCTTGGAGCCGGACTCGTTCATCTGCTGGGCGATAAGGCGCGCGTTCTCAATCTTCTTGAGCTCGACGTAGGACTTGCTCTTCTTGATGGCGTCGCCAATCAGCTCGGCCGAGCGGGCCTCACCCTGCGCCTTGACGACCATGGCCTGCTTCTCCTGGCGGGCCTTGTCGACGACGAAGGCGGCGCGCTGGGCGTCTTGCTGGGCGACCTGCTTGGCCTCGACGGCGGCGGTGAACTCGGGCGAGAAGGCGAGATGCTGCGCGGGGGGTTACGGATTAGCAGGAGTGCATGGAGACGAGGTAGGAGGTGGACGTACAGTTAGCGAGACGTCGTCGAGCAGAATGTTGAAGCGGGCCGCGCGGCGCGACAGGTTCTCGCGAACGAGCTTGGCGACCATCTCACGCTGCGTGATCAGCTGGCTGGCGTTGAACTGGGCCACGACGCTCTTGAGCACCTCGTTGACGATGGACGGCAGCACGCGCTCGTCGTAGTCGGTGCCAAGCGTGCGGTAGATTTGCGGCAGCGCCTCGACCTGCGGGCGCGAGAGCACACGGCAGGTGATGTTGACCATCTGCAGGTCCTTGGTGCCCGTCAGTGAGGCGACGTTGCGCGGCTTGGCTCGGACGTCGTATACGACGGGCGTCTCGAACCACGGGATGTTGATGTGCGTTCCTGCGTAACACGCTTCGTCAGCATATACTTCCCTCTGCCTTGTGCGGAATCTTCTCCCGCATAATACATGCAACGCTGTCGGTATCTTTGTTCTATGGGAAGGGGGGGGGGGGGGCGGCCGGAGAGCCTCTTGTACTTGATAGCCCGGTGGCCACCGTCGACGTTGAACAGCGCGTTGGACAGCACCATGGCGCCGCCAATCAGCAGCGCGCCGCCGAGCAGCGCGGGGCCGCCGCCGCGCGGCATCTGAGGGCGTCCGCGTCCGCCCATACCACCCGAGGTCTGCCGCATCTGGCGCAGGCGGCGCATGGCCTCCTCCTGCCAGTTGTTCGACATGACTTGGTTGTTGGGATGTCGGTTCGGCCGGAAGCGGTGGGTATCACGACGGGGAATTGAAAGGAGGATATGCGGGTGGCGAGAAATCGATGCCCAGCTCCCGCTGCGTAGATTGTCAATGGAGGATGGGGATTTGGGATGGCAAGGCTCGCGCGGAGTTTTGGAGAGAAGGCGAGCTTGACGGCGGCGATGGAGCTTTGAACGCCTGAGGGCGAAGGAAAATGGGGCCGAATTGCTGTCGTTGGTTGGCTGGATAGGAGCGATCTAACCGCATTGGGTTCACCGTGACCACTTCAAGCGAACAGCATCGAGAATTGCCAGGAGAAAAGGAAAATAAAATCAAGAAAATTTGCTGAAGAAAATGTCATTAGCTAAAATGTATATTCTGTATTCTGTTTGTGCTCCGAGTAAATTATTGTTCAAATATGGAGTAGCCAGTTCACTGGTTCCAGATCGTTGCTCCATATAGCGCAGCTTGTTGCATAACCTATGTTGTACATACATTCTGGAAAGTCAAAACAAATGCCAGATCTGTTTATCTTCAAAATCCAATGGCAATGGACGAATAATCAATCTCAGGCTTCCGCGTATACCCAGTCAACATCCTAAAGCCAGACCGGCATCCCCGGCCCTCCTCCATTACATCGTGAACTCCCTTCAGGCACTTGCCCGCCTCTCTCATCGACTCTCCTGCTGTCACCGTGTCGACCAGGCGCAGCTCGCCCGCCACCTTCTCCATCTCACAACGCAGCAGCCAGCGCTCCCAGCTCCAGCCGCCGACAATGCTGCACACGGCCGCAACGCTTGCGGCGCTGCCCATGGTCATGGCCTCCATCTGGCGCACCTGCGCCGCCTCGTCTCGTCTCCCCTCCAAACCAGACGCGGCGGGCAGCTTGTAAAAGCTTCGATGGGCTCCCATCGGCAGGCAGATCCAGGCACGGCGCGTGTCGGTGAAGCCGGCGCGCGCAAGCCGCCTCAGCCACAGCTTGGATGGGCTCGGGTCGTACCCAAGAGTCTTTAGGGTGAAGCCAAACTCAACGCTCTTTGCCAGGCCAAGAGGACCAGCATTCATGATGTCGGAGTCGAGGATGGAAAACTCGAGATAGCCGCCAGGCTTCAGGACACGCATACACTCACGCATGCACGTCTCCCATTCGTCTTCACCATTTTCGCCGACAAACTTGAGGATGCTGTGGAGCTCGCGGGCTGAAATGAGATCGAAATGGTTGTCGGGGAATGGAAGACGGTTGAATTTTTCTACGGCAACCTGACGGTGATTCGGAGGTCCCCGGATGTTGGCGTTGGACAGTTGACGGATAGCCTTGGTCGTGACTGTGTAAATCTTGGTGTTGGGGTACTGAAGAGCACAATGCCAGGCCCAATCGCCAGTAGCCTGCCCACCGAGATCAAGGATGCGAGCCCTGTTGCGTGTCTTGCCATCTTGGTTCATAGTTGCCAGAGAGATTCTAGCCAGACGCTTGGTGATGGGAGCGCGAATGAGCCGTCCACCGTTGAGAAACTTGAGAGCAGCGACGTGCCAAGACGGCATGGCAATCTGGTTCATGGCTTCCAGCTCCTTTTCTCTTCGAATTTTCTCAGGGTCGTCTGTCAAGTTGAGGTCACCTCGCACCACGTTGGCGCTAAGACGCTTCTTGGCCGATTGAGGAACCACGCTTAGCTGGTACTTGCCCAGGAGCTGGTTAATATGAATCTCACGGAGGCCGACACGTTGACCCTGGAGAGCCTCAAACCGTGGGAGTTGGTGAACGAACACATCTGAGCCTTGTGTGCGCACTATGTAGTCTTGGAATGCACGGTAGTACGCAGACTCTTGGCGAAGAAGCTTGGAGGGTAGACGTTTGGCCTGAACTGTAGGCAGAATGTGGGAAAATCGCACAACTTTCTTTTGCGATTCCTCATTCTCTTTTTCTTCAGGTTCCTCCGTATCCGTATCAATGTCTTCGGCAATGGTCTGGAGAGCACGGTTGTCAGTCTCATCCACACCTTTGAGATAGGATCGCTGAGCCAAGAGCCAGAGTTCGGTGCGGTCAAAATTGGACAGGGCAGCTTTTTGTTGCTTCCGGGCGTAGCCGGCATCATAGTCGGCCACAATTTCGGTAGGAACGGGAGCCTCCTCGACGTCGGGGGATGAGGGAGCCACATCAGCCTTGTTGAATTCGGACGCCTTGGGGGTAGGGAGGATTGGGCGAGCAGTTGGCATATCATCCTCAACACCATCGTTATCGTCGTGAATCTCAACAAATTGCTCTACAGGCTCCGAAGAACATCCGTGAAGGCGATAGAAGCCCTCTGCCGAGTCCGGTCGACTGGGAACAGGTGGAATGTCCGAGTCAAGGTTCCACGGGCAGCGATAGAATTGCTCTGCAGTTGTCGAGGTAGGCGGGGCCATGCCGCCCGGAGACTGACTTGGCAGATGCCATGTGTGGCGTGATCTTGGGGACAGGCCAGAGAAGAAACCAGCAGGGGAAGGAATGTCCAATTTACTCAGCTCCAAGAGCGACTGGCGGGTGGCAGTCGAAGTGCGGGGACGAGGCTGTAACAGGTCGGTAATTAAACGCAACGGAAGCTCTTGGCTTTGCGAAATGGACTGCATCTGTGTGGTCTCCAAGGGCTGTGAAGCTTCTTCCTCGGGTTCGGAATCGTTGGATGACAGTGTGTGCAGAGTGGCAAGTGCTCCAGGCTGCAGTCGCACACCGGCCCATTTCTCTTCCTCGGGAGCCTGATCATTGCCAATTATGGGTGTAGGCGGAGAGCTCATCGCGGCGAGCTGCTCAGATGTCAAGCTGCCATCCAGAGAGGGTGGCGCGGATGGCACGTGGAGAGCCTGCTGATGTCCCATGAAGCTGATTTGGGCCGGGGACATGGGTAGCTGCGCCGACGGTGTCAGCGGAAGTGGTGATGCGATCTTCTTGAACTCATCGACAGCAGGCCAGTCCTCGATTTGGCTTGAAGGAATAACCAAACGTTGCGGGAACTTGGGCGCCCCTTCGGTCGACGGCAGACTCTTGGCGACAGACACGCTTCTGTGCAAGTAGCTCCGGGGTAGGTCGTCTTCTTGGTCAGAAACGTCATAAATATCCTCAAACTCGGTATTGTCTGTCGCGACGCTAACACGATTCCACGGGTTGGAAGACGTCATTGGAGAGGTGTCGCCGGAAACTGTGGACGGAGATGATGGAAGAATTGGAGCGGAGAGAAAGTTGACACCGCGGGGGGTTGGAAAGTGGTCACTCTGGGGTGTAAACCAGGCATGGGACGTGACTTGCGGATTCTCGCAAGGCATTTCGATTTGACCATCATCGCTGTCCTCCTCTAAAATAGGATTAAGTTGCCTCTTTTGCCTTCGACCCAGCGAAGGCTCGGCGGGCTGGTAGCTGCCGTTTTGGTTGGTCCGGAGAATTTGGGCCATGGCGCATGTGTACTATGCTATACCAGATAGCGGACACGGATGAACTCGTCTCGTGACACCGAGACGAAGGAGACAAAGAGAAATCGCAGAATGGTATCGTGGAGTAATGATCCGGCGACCGGCGCCAGGTAGGACAAGTAGAACGATGGGCTGCTTCGATCAACGAAGCGTCTAGTAACAGGGCAACACAAACGCAAACAAAAAGAAGAAAAAATCTACAGATATTAAACTGAGGACAAAGAAGCGAAGATGCAAGACCGAAAGGGCTGCCATCCTGGTCGGGGGGGAGTGGCCGACTTAAGCACTCTTGCACAACCCATTAGGCGCCGATGGAGCGGGCAGCAAGTTCCTGCGGTGGCAACCATCATGGGGTCGGTTGCATGCGAGATGGGGAACCATTCGGTCGCAGCAACGTCAGCGCATGTTGAGGTGTGTGAGCCAGAGCAAAGGAGCACCAAGACTTGACCGGGGCAGATGGGATGGTGTGGCTCGACGCTGGGGCATGCGTCACGAAGCGGCCAATGGACGAGGCTGTCGAAGCGCCTGACTCTGGTGATGGGTGTGGGAACCGTGGGATGAAGTTGAGAGCCACAACTGGGCTCGACTTTTGACAACAGGGGTCTTGGTGATGCGGCTGCAAGGGAATGGAGGAGGTGTGCATGCGTGTGGCCAATGAAGGGTGTCTTGAGGGAGCCCGGGCGCTTAATTTTGCTCGGCCATGGTTGATTATTGGGCGGGGTTCGTCATCGGTGAGGCAGGCCCCAGTTGGACTGGGAGTCGAAATGGAGCTAGAAGGAAGGACGACGTATTACAGATTAGCCAGAAATGGAATCAGCCTTGGAAAAAAGATCGATGAACTCGTCGCACAATGCGGCTCAATCATTGCATTGCCGCCTGTGGGCATGGAGTAGTAGCTTGGGGGCCACGCTCGCGCCGTCATTGCCCATCCATAGTCGCCGACTTGATATTTGACATATTTAACGGGTTAAGACAAGTTGGTGTCTTGACATAGATGGCTGTAATGGAAAGGCTGGGAGTTGAAGGAACGGCATGGTCTTGGCGGTGTTGAAGGATGCGGTAGGAGTTGTCTGTTTGCTTGTACTGTAGGTGGTGAAAGTCGAAGTGGCAGTGGAGAGCGTCTTAAATTCAAGGGTGACTATCGGTGCACTCGGTGTAAAGAAACCACAAGTATATATTCGGAGAAAAAAAAAAGAAAAGAAACAAGAATCCAACTCTACATTCAGAATGTCTAAGTATGCTCAAGATAGACAGTGGAGTAATGATTTTATATTCTTGTGTGTGCGAGCTAGTACCACTTCCAAGTACACAACCTCCATCCTGCACACAACGCAGTGATACCGTGCGAGGGTGTTCCGAACAGTAGCACAAAGTCCGTTCATAATATCAAGACTATCTGACTACATGCTTCCAGCCATCCGGTATCACACCCCTCCCGTTCTTGCACCCTCGCCCGTTGTGGCCATGGCATGTTGCTACACCAACCAGCAATGCAGCCACCCACGGCCATGCCTCCAACCCGCTGCCACATCACCATTAATCGCCACCGTGCTTTTCGTTTCATTCGGCCTTTGCAAGTTCTTGCCCTGCTTGAGAATTGCGACTCTTGGGCTTATTCTTCTTATTCTTCGGCCCCCACCACCCCGGCCGCACCCTATAAAACGGGTTACGCTTATCGAGAGCCTCCTCGTCTTGGTGGGGTCCCTCCTCCTCGGTATCATGGGAATCCTCCTTCTCGTCGACAGCTCTGACAGCGGGCTTTTCATTCTCGGGCATCCGGGCTTTAAGTGGGTAAACGTTGGGGACAGCGGCTTCGCCGCGTGCAACGGCGCCATCGGGCTTCTCGGCGACGGGGACTGGAAGGAGGGGTCCAGCGAGGGCGCCAGCGACCAGGGAAAGAAGAACGGTGGTGGTTGTGAGCTTCATTTTGCCAGAAAATGAGTGTGAATGGAAAGTAGAGATGACGAGTAGAATGTGTTGTTTGATGGTGAGATAAAATTCCCGTTTTTAAGATCGTATCTGCGTCTATTTATACTTGGCAATAGAGACATGTCCGGGCTGCTTGAGGCACGCGAGAACCGGCTGTTTCGGTAGCATCCAGAACGCCCATTTAGACATGAAACTCAGTATCAGTGTGAATGGCGCAGGTGCAACTCTGAGATACCTCACTTGAACATTTGCCAGGTTGTGAAGGTTGCTGGCATCACAATATATGAAGCAGCTGGCGCGCGCCTGGAGCTGCCCCTTTGCTCGCGCTATTGTGGATGGCTTAAAATAGTGAACTAAACTATGTGACTCTGGACACTTGATTCCCTCCGATGCCTTTGTTTTTGGATTTTGTTGGTACTTGCGTACGTATTGACTTTCCATCAGGAAGGAATACGACAGACTGTACAATGGCTTCGTTTGACCAGCGACTGGGTACTCAAAACAAAAATGTTACTGCTGAGCAGAATTCGGGCCACAGCACGACACAGTTGCCAAAGACTTTCAAGATTTCAATAAATTTGACGTCATTGAGAACATAATGGTTTTTTTTTGCCGCCGGAACATATTTCTAATTTTGCTATAAATGTTTTTACAGGTGGTAGTTGTCCGCGCTTCATCACAATTTTGTAGCACTACCAGAACCTATTTCTATGTATCACAGGCTCTGAAAGACTCAAACCAATTTAGGACAAATACAGCGAGAGCTGCAGAGTTCACTTTAAATAGAACAGCTAGTGAATTTTCTGTACTAATACGCAGTGCAACTTCGGGTCGTCACAACTCTCCTCCGAAGGCTGCCCCACGTTGACAGCTGCGCTGCCCCTCCAAAAGCTGATTTTACCCCGCGATGGTCGTCGTCGAGGCGAACAAAACTTGCTGCAACAAACCATCGACAACCCAAGACCCTGCCTAAACCGACACAATGGCAGACACAGAGCAAGTAGAAGCGCCCCTGGAACCCCAGGGACGAGTTGTAACATACTGCGGAGGTATGTCCCCCCGACCGACGCAGCACCGAGCGTCAAAGTCACGCGCTCAAGTTCTAACAAAGCATCTCAACAGTCTGTACTCTGCCCCCCGAAGTACGTGCCCCTACCCGACAACGCTCCTCGATCGACACGAATGAAAGGAGTAGCTTGTTAATCGCTCAAGTTGTCTTTTTTTTAGTACTGCGAATATGGCGGCACGGCAAAGAAGTGCCAAGATTGGCTACAGAGCAACCAGAAGGAAATGTACGACAGGATATGGTCGGCCGGTTCGTCTCTCCTACGTCATACTATGAAGCCCGATGCATGTTATCTGGAAAAGCCGCTTACATACAATGTGTACAACACACAGAGGCCCTTGAGGCTGCCACCGCGTCGCTGTCGGTCGAGGCCCAGAAGCGCGCCGCAAAGGACGCCCAGAAAAAGACGGCCAAGGCCGAGGCCGCCGAGGCCAAGCAGGCCGACAAGCTCGCCAAGAGCGTCGTCACCATCAAGCGCATCGAGCGCAACAAGCGCAAGTTCGTCACGGCCGTCATCGGTCTCGAGACGTTTGGCCTGGACCTGAAAAAGGTATGTCGCTGCTGCACCGATGTAACTCACCGTTGACCATCCTGGGGGGGCTAACGAGAACACCATGTAGTGCGCCAAGGACTTTGGCAAGAAGTTCGCTACTGGCTCGTCTGTGACAAAGGTCCCCAGCGGCGGCGAGGAGATTGTCGTGCAGGGTGACGTGAGCGACGAGCTGGAGGAGTTTATTCTGGAAAAGTACAAGGAGATACCCGAGGACAACATTGAGCTGGTGGACGATAAGAAGAAGAAGAAGGCGGCTGCCAGTTAGCGGCCCGAAATCACGCATGATGAGATCATGTAGGAAAGAGTGACTTCAGAACAAAGCATTAAACATTCCCATTTTGCTATGATGCCAATCCGAACGAACCATGCTGGCCGTGCTGCTTTACCCGAGTAAGGGATTCGAGATCCTTCCACGCAACGCCACGTTATGCCCCCAAAACAAAGATGAAAAATTCAAGAACGCCCATTCAAACCCATTCAAGTACCCATGTATGAAGACAAGCACCTACCTGTACACCGTCCCTCAGGTGCGCTTGCGGAGAACCCTTCCGGAGCTGCTCGTCGTAGGCGCCGTGGCTCTGCTGCTGGCTACACCTTTGCGGATGCTACCCATGACTGATTTCTTCGCCGTCGCCGTGCTCGCCTTGGACGCCACAGGCTTGCGCACAACTGTGCCATTGCTTGCCTCACTCGTTTCACTGTGAGCGCTCACGCGGCGTCCGGTGCGAGTGGCCGGGCGTGAAGGCTGCTGCCTGGCCGGAGCGCCTCGTCGCGTCTTTGCCGCGCTGGCTGGTGGCGCAGCCGTACCTCGCGAGCTGGCGGCAGATGATGTGGTAGTCTTTCTGGTGCTTGCGGCACGTGCGGCCTTGGCCTTTTCCACCATGTTGGAAAGCATAGTTGTAGCAGAAGCCGCAGAGCGCGCACCTCCCACTTTTAAGGGCGAGCCCGGTCGGTTGAGGTACGACCTAGCGGGTGACGCAGGAATCTCGCGGTTGGTGACTCGACAGTTTGATGACGTCGGCGACAAGATTTGTGTCGGACGAAGAGGGTTGTCTTGCATGGCCGCGCGAACGCGCTTTTTCATCGTCTCGCCATCGATTTCGTTTTCCTTGTCTCCACCAGAGATTTCGGTGCTGGGAATGTTAGCGTGTATGAAAAGAAGAGGGCATAATACAACACGTACCTAAACCGTTTATTGTTGCTGCGGGCAGTATTGGGGCGTGAGCTTTGCTTCTGAGCTGTGCTGCGCCCCGGAGGACCATCCTTGGCAGGCACAGGAGGCCGCAGAGCCGCCTGCTCTTGATTGATATACTTGATAAGCAAGTCTCCCATCTTCATTTTGCGTAACGCGGTAGGAATACGGTTAATGCGGATTTCTATTCGCGATCGAAGGCCCTGGGCTTGGAGGTGGTACTGAGCACGAAGTCGTCTGGCTCTCTCAGTGACTACAACATTAGTAAACCTCAAAATACTTTGCAATGAGAGTACGTACTTTCTAGTTGCAGATTCTGGATCAAAGTTTGCTTTTGGTGGAGTGTGATGCCGGCTTTTCTCCTCTTGATGGGACTTCGCTCTGTTGGTGTAGTAGGCTCTTCCTTGACGGGGACCTTGACGCCGCGCTGCCTGGTCGAGGCAGTAGACTGATCGGAGCCTCGCTTCTTTGATCTCGCAGGAGCCATCTTGAACAGTTGAATCTCTCGTGTCGCCGTGTGGTGAAATATTTACAGCGCTGAAATGCAATGCAATGTGTAATGCTGGATGCTGCGTTAGATGCCAGTCGCGCGCCTTGGTACTTACTGATGCCAAAGTAAACAAACGATACAGCTTGGTGGATTATGTCAGCTCGTGGAGTGGTTGGGTGACGGAAGCTAACCAGGTAGAGATACAAGGCCAAGTGCGAAGAGCCCCGCAAATTCAGCGCATGACAAGGTACCCGCTACCAGGTCAATTCAAGCTCCAGGCTGACCATCACTGACGACGGCTGCACCTTGAATTGCTTCCTGACAAGCAATCCAACATCAAGGTAGTTACGCCATCAGCACTGATCGTCGGCCAACTCAATCACCACTTTCCCACAACGGCGGCATTCGAATCAACGAAAAGACGTTAGAACAATTATTAATAAACCGCCAAGATGGTTCTCGAGGCGGTCATGGTTGTCGTTGACAACAGCGAAAGCAGCCGCAATGGAGACTACCAACCTACACGATTCGACTCACAAGTGGATGCGGTCAATGTCCTATTCCAGAGCATCACGCAGGGCAATCCCGAGTCCTCCGTAGGCCTTATGAGCATGGGAGGCAAAGGGCCCGAAGTCCTCGTCACTCTGACGACAGAGCAAGGCAAGATCCTTGATGGTCTGCACCGCACAAAGAAGAAGATTGGCGGCTCGTCACACCTCAAGACGGGTATTCAAGTTGCTGCAGTACGTCTAATCTATTACGCGCGACGGTGGTAGTGGCAGCTGTTCTAATCTATCTCCCACAGCTCGCCCTGAAGCACCGACAAAACCGATCGCAACGTCAACGCATAATAGTCTTCGTTTGCTCGCCCATCGACGAGACCGAGAAGGAGCTCAAGACCCTGGCTTTCAAGATGAAGAAGGCCAACGTCTCTGTCGACTTTGTCCTGTTCGGCGATCTCGACGACGACGACACAAAGAACAAACTCGAACTGTTCAACGAGGCCGTCAAGAGCAGCGAGGGCTCCCACTTTGTTGTCATCCCGCCTAGCAGCAAGCTGCTAAGCGACCAGCTCGTGTCCAGTGCGATCCTGCTCGGCGAGAACGCCGGAAGCGGCGGCGGCGGCGGCATGGGCGACGGCAACGAAGAGTTCGAGTTTGGCTTCGACCCCGCGCTGGAGCCCGAGCTGGCGCTCGCGCTGCGTATGAGCATGGAGGAAGAGAAGGCGAGGCAAGAAAAGCGCGCGCGCGAGGAGGAAGAGGCTGCCACCAAGGCATCTATGGAGAGTGTCGCGGAGGAAGGCAAGGGCAGTGGGAGCGGCAAGGCTAAGAAGGATGACGGCGACAAGATGGATACGTCTTGAAGACCTGGGGCGCTGTATATTAGACAGAAGTTTTAGAGGAGTTTCTAACCAAAACAGACATCATTAGAATCCTCATGTTATGAGTAACCTTGGGCATTCCGCGTATTTCTCATTCGTCATATTCATATATACATCCCAAGCTTGCGCCACGCCTCAGCGGCTGTTGATCTCTCTAATGTATGATAGCAGCTTACGGTCAAATAGGTCACACCGCACCGGCATCTCTAGTGAGTAAAACGGGTTCTTCATGACGTAGTCGGCGTAGAGGTCGTATATCCGCCTGATGGTGACGTCGACATTGGTCTGCGTCGTGTCCGTGAAGAGAAGGAACTTGGTGCCCGTCATGGTGTTGAAGCACTGCATGCGAAAGTTCTCCGTCTCGAGTACCTCGAGCCCCGACGATGGCTCCGGCCTGCTGGGCACGCCCCCAGGCGCAGTTGGCGGTGCGACGGGCTTGATGGGGTTGAGCCTGGCTGTGATGGCGTGGACACTTTGGAGTTTGCGGTCAGCGAGCGGACGGGCTGGCTGGCTGCGGGCCGGCTGGCCGCGGGCCGGGCGGTTTTGATTATCAGTACTTACCCGTGAAAGGTGCCCGCGAGGACGAGGTAGTCGTTTGTGCTGATCTTTTGTAGGCCCGTCTCGTGGAAGATCTTGTTGTAGATTAAGCCACCGGCCTTGTTGATGATGATGAGTGCAAACACGGTCCTGCAGTGGTCAGCGGATGTGACTCTTCACATTTCGGACAGACACATACATTTTTCTGGTGTATAGTATGGCCCCCTGTGTTTGATCACTTTGTCCTCTCTCAGTTTACTCGCCAGCTCTGATGAAGCGATTGAGCGGTCCGCGCCCCTCCTCCAGCTGGTTTCCTGAACCACAACTACAACCACGACCGAGGTGCCACGTCTAAGAGTTCCGAGTGCAGGGTTTCTTGAAATACCGCTCAATTGTACTGAGTATGCAAAAAATGCGCTTTTCGTTGCTGGTATCAGGAGGGCATATATGAATGATGATGAGCAGGGGGGAGTCCAATTGTCGGCTGCCACGCCGCTGGTCTGGTTAGGCCGTTCCAGCGCTTGGCCCCACTAAAACGCATCTCGAACTTCGCCAGGCAGCTGAGCAATCCAACCAAAGGCTCTAGCGCAGTTTCTTGCAACTCATCATTTTCCATCTCCCACGCAGACCTTGCGCCTCTCCACCACGGCGCTGTTCGATCCCGCATCTCCTCAATATATATCTATAACACGAATCGAGCGACTGCGAGTTTCCTGCCGCCAACCTCTCTCGCCTCCCTGCGCGCGCGCGCGTGACCGGATCCCCCCAACAGCCCGCCGCACCGGCACAGCAACGTCGCCATGTCCAACAAAATGTCGCGGCCCAAGCCGCCGCCTCCGGGTAACGAGGAGGCCTCGGCGACGCTGAACCTCGGCGAGTTCCAAAACGTCGACACCCTGACGTTGTCGGAGGCGTCGCTCGTCCTGAACGCGCTGGTCGCGAAGCGTCGCAACGACCGCAAAAACGTCAATGAGACCGAGTACGCGTTCTGCCTGGAAAACACACCATGGACGCATAGGGCACCGTGGGAGGTGCCTTGTGTGATGTGAAGGAATTGTGCTAATCTTACTTCTTCTCTTCTTTCTTCCCGGGATGGCAGGATGCTGAACCAGACCCTCAACTACCTTGACCACTTTGCGCGGTTCACGCAAAAGGAAAACGTCGAGGCCGTCGAACGGCTCCTCAGCGCGCACAAGGACCTGGCCAAGTTTGAGCGTGCCCAGCTGGGTATGGGCTTACTCCCCCTCCCTGGCGTTGTTATCGCCAATTCTTCCTCCCCCTTTCCTCCTAGTATTTGCAAAAAAGAGTTGCCGTGTCTAACACGAACGGGCAGGATCGCTGTGCTGCGAAAACGCCGACGAGGCCAAGACGCTGATCCCCTCGCTCGCCGACAAGATCAAAGACGAGGACCTGCAGGACCTCCTCGCGGAAATCTCCAAGCTGCAAAACCGGTAAGCGCCCGGCGCCCCTGAGGCGTACTTGGTGGAACGGGTACGCAAACGATTGGGGGCCAGTTGCCCTTGCAGATATGCGAGTCGGCAAGGCCTGTGGGGGTTGTCAAGAACACCTGGAGGTATAGAATCGCTTTTTTTCTTTCTTTTTCACATTTCTGGCGTAAAAGGACAAAAACACCGACTACGGGATAGCAACGGCGTTTGATTCGTTTTTCTTTTTCGATACCGGGGGGAAGAGTATGGGACTATCTGTAGGTTTAGACTGCTATTTCTTCTCCCTTCACCTGGGGAGGATGAGGAACAAAGGAAGACCAAGTCTCGCGAGGTTTTTTTGATTATGATAAAAAGACAGACAAAAATATAGCAAGATTTCCGTCTACCAAACCACCAGCCCTTTCCCCATCCCCGACATTCCCTCTGTCCCCGCTGGGGAGGAGCGTTCCGCCCGCCCGACTACCTTCTGGGAGGATGGATCTCCCCGGACAGCACCTTATACTGGTTCCATTGGTTGATGTAGGTCGGCCGGCCGTTGTGTCTTGGCAGGTGGTTGAGCGTGGCGTGCGGATCGGAGCTGGGGCGCTGCTTAACCACCCCGACGACCCGCGCGGCGCCGCCGCCGCCCACGCGTCTCGGACTGTCCTGGCGGACCCTGGCGCCGGCCGCCGCGGCCACGGGCGTGCTGGGCAGCTCGACGACGTGGACCCCGCGGCCGTCCATCTCGAACGTGTCGGGGTGGTGTGGCGGCAGCGGCGAGTTCCTCCTAGCCGGTTGGTCGGCGCGACCTGTGGGGGGGAACCGTGTCAGCGTTTGCTGAGCGAGCCGATCCGTCATCGCGTGCCGGTGCTGCTTACCTCCAAAGGGCGCAAACGGGTCGTAGCCGTATCCTTGCCCCGTTGAAGCTTGGTGGTGGTGCTGCGGCGTCGGATGGGGGGGGAGCGAGGTGGGCGGCGTGGGCCGCCGTCCGAAGATGCTGTCGCGCAGCCTCGACTTGTCGACGGCCGCCACCACCGGAGCGTGGTCGCTCAGGTTGTCGGCGGCCTCCTCCGCCACTCGGTTGTTGCGGCGCCTCTTCCACAGCCAGAGCAGGACGACCAGCAGAGCGGCGGCGCAAACGCCTCCCACCGCGATGCCAGCCACGGCGCCGGTGTTGATGCCGGGGTTCGCGTCTTGGCTTGGCGGCGACGTGCTCGTCGGCAGCGGCTGCGTCTCGACGATGGAGGAGGAGGACGTCGCGTCCGCGCCCAGCTCAGTGGTAGTGGTGAATGATGGCGCCAGAGAGTCCGTGCCGATGCTGGACAGCTCCCGGGTTATGGTCGTGTGCCTCGTCACGGTGACGGTGGAATCGTTGGGGATGGTGCGTGTGACACCAGAGTCGGACTGTGCAGAGAGCCTGCTGGGGGGAGATGACGAAGATGGCGAGCGAGGCGGCGGCGAAGACGATGACGTGGACGACTCTGTGCTCGTCGCGGCCTCGTCCGCGGCTTCATCGGTTGGCACCAGCGAACGCGTGGGATCGGGCCCCATGGTTGGCGAGTCGGAAGTCGACGAAGACGGGGCTGTCGTGGAAGAGGAACTGTTGGTATAGGACGGCCTTGCCGTCGGGGAGGATGACGTCGAGGAGGCGTTGGCACGCTGCGGTGGTGCGTCCGGGCAACGCTTGAGGTGGCAAGGGTCGACGCTGCAGCAGCTGGTTCCGCCGCCACTGCAGCTGTACCACCTTGTGCCGTAAGGGCACTGAATCGCATTTCGGACCGCCATCTTCTCCATGGCTTGCAGTTTGAAACGAGGAGCCGTTGGCTGTTTGGACTTGCGTTGCACAGAGTGAGCAGCAGGTGAGATCGTGTAAGTCGTTTGTGACGCACGCAGAGACGAGTTCAGCTCTGCCCGTTTTTCACATGCATGACAAATTGGATTGTAATTGTGCAGTAAAAATATACAGAAGAGAGAAACGAAAAGAAGGACCAAGTAGCAAGCAGGGCGGGCATCGGCAGAGTGATATATCTAGCCATGGCCGGCTCAGTGGCCCTGACAGCCTCAATGTTGGCTCTCTGCTTACCAGCCACACCCAACACATATTGATGCAGGGGAGAGCGCTAAAATCGTTGTCTCGCGGTCGCGGCCTGATATCCCCCCATCATTCTGCGTGGGTGACCCTGCCTTCGTGCCTGAAGGGCCGCCACATCGGCCGGGTCTTAGATGGCCAAGACCAACAACTACAGATAGGAGTAGGACTCAGCAGCATCATGCAACTTTCTGCTCACCCTCCCTCTGCAAAGAACATGGCAGAGCGCAGGGCGCAAAAACGACCGACGAACGAGAGCAAGCGTCTATTTGCGGAAGCATCTGCCGCCGTGGCGACTCGCCGCTTCCGAGGGGACGGGATGTGCAGAGAGTCGAGCATTTATTACTTAGGCAAAGCGACGATGCATCTTGAAGTAGCCTTCTATTTCGGGGGTTCCGGTTGGTTGCGGCCTTGCCAAGGATGCAAAAGTCATCTCAAAGCCTTCTCTTGCCCTCCCCATATGCCCCCCAACCACCCGCAGCCCTGGGCGGCTACGAACAGCAAGCAAGGCGTCGGGGCAGGCAAGCGAAGAACCTCGGCGCCGCAAGAAGCGTGGCTTGCATACAAACATTCTCGCCGCCCCCAAGAAAAGAAACGGTCGCCCAAGTAGGCCTGCTCTAGTTACGGGGAAGAGGAAAGAAAGGGCCGCGATGGCGATAGCCTGTTGGCCCACACCGTCATTGTCACTGCATGTCCGGTGCATTAGTCGATGTAAAAAAATAAAAAGAGGCAGCGCAGAGTCGCCAAAAAGGGTGGTCAGCCACCAGCCGCCCATGCTGTGCGACCCTCCCTGTTCTCACACCGTACAACTTATTGGTGGCAAATAACGAGAAACAAGGAAAGATGCATGATAATTGTTCTGAAAATAATGCAGATGAAACCAAACTTCCTGTCAAGGACGCCTATATTTTCCCCCGATTTAATACACAAAGAGTCTAACCGCTAGACGCAGACACGCCCTCCCTCCCTCCCCCCCCAAACTTCCTGTCAAGGACGCCTATATTTTCCCCCGATTTAATACACAAAGAGTCTAACCGCTAGACGCAGACCCGCCCCCCCCCCCCCCCCCCCCCCCTGGTGTGCGTTTCATGTCAACATCTCTTCTCCCCTCAAAGCTTCTCCAGCAGCAGCTTACTGCCACTGTTGCCTACCGCCGGCTCCGTCTTCTTCTTGCTGGCAGCCTTCTTTTTGCCTGCCGACTTGTCCGCTTCGGCCGCCTGCTCCTTAGCCTCCTGAGCCGCCTTTTGCTCCGGTGTCTGCTCCTTAGCCGCCTTCTCTAAGAGCTTCTTGTTCTTCTTGAGCGTCTTCCTCACGGCCGCGGCGTCGCTAAAGTCCCCGGCCTCCAGCAGCGCTACGACCACGAAAGAGCTCGGGCCCGTTGCCCAGTCCACAATGTAGTCTGAGATGACGGGGTACAGAATGTTGGAGAAGCCCAAGGCGGGCTCTAGGGGGATAATCTTGCCCGCGGCCTTGTCGAAACGGCCGCCCTGAATAAGGGACTTGAGCATCCGGCCTCCAAAGGGCGTCTTTGAGATGTGAGTCCGAGGCTGAACCTCGTCCTCCGGCACCTCCTCGTTAGGGTTGCCCTTGGCTGCCTGAGCAACAGCTTCTAGGGCGGCAGCTTTGTCGCCAGTGTTGCACAAGAGAATGTCTGCAATGAACTGGCAGCCAAACGCCGTAGACATGAGATCGGCCGGGGCTGTGGCAATAGCCTCGAGAAGATGGGGGGTAAGCGTTGACGCAAGTTCCTGGCGGCGAGCATCTGTGTCCTTCTTACTCGTCGTCTTGCGAATCTCGTGAACTTCGGTGAGGATATCTTGGGCAAATGTGCTGCCGGGTGGGAACAGAGATTTTGACATGCCTTCGAATAGGTACATGAATGCCAGTCTTGCATGTGGATTGTTGACGGCACCGACAATATTATCCACAACCTCCTCGGTCTTCTCCCCGACCAGTTCAGGGAAGATGGACTTAGCGGTGAGCTTGGTATCGTCGATAACGTCGTATGCGGTAAGAATGACCAGGTGGGCATATTGGTCGCCCGCCATGGCCATGAATGTATCCTTGTAGCTCTTGAGCAGCTGCTTTCTGTCCTTTGCGCTACCGTAGGCAAGAAGCAGGCAGACTAATCGTGAACCTGAGCGAGTAAACGCCAAGTTCTTGAGTAAATCGCCGGTCTCATCGCCCTTGATCAGCTCCATAAATTCTTTAAACTCCTCCGAGCCAGGCTCCGTAGCAAGGTAGTACTGGAGCATGGCGTCGTGCAGCATCGTGAAGCCACCCATGCGCTTCTGCACTAGCGTATTGATCATCTCAAGCAGCGACTTCATGATGGGGCCGCGCTTGCTGGGTGTGTCGGCGAGAATCTCTTTGAGGTCAGCCGTCACGGCCTTGTCCTTGGTCAGCTCCTTGAGGGTAAACTCAGGGCCGTACCATTCGCGGAGCAGGAACGCCTTCTGCTGCTTGGTCGCAACTGTGCGGTAGATATCGTCAAGGATCCACGAGGCTTCGGCATGGTTGATCAATTTGCGGACGCGACCGTAAAAGTCGGGAATGATGAGGTCGCGGATCTCGTCGTCGTTTTGCACCAGGAGCTTGCCGATGAAAAACTTGGCGTATCGGCTCTCGGCCAGCTGTGCGTAGCTGCCTTCAAGCTCGCGGGCGATCTGTTTGCGTTGCTCGGAGGTCGCATACTTGATGGCGGTTTGGACGGCGCGGACGGCATCATGCTTCAGAACGAAGTCCTTCATGCGGCCGGTAATAATCGTGAAGAGTTCAGCGACGAGTTGCTGGCGCTCCTCCTTGGGGACGTGAGACTTTCGGCGCAGTCGCTCCCAAATCTTCTTTGTGCGCTGGACTTCGTCGGCGAGCGGCTTGGCCGCCTTGCGCTCGGCCGCAAGCTGCTTCTGTTTGGCGTGCGATTCGCGCGAGGTAAGACCTGAGTGTCCATGTTAACCCAAGTCCTCAATCAACCCAGTTTGTCTGGCATACCTGGCTCAAAAGTCTTCTGGTAGCCCTTGGCCGCAGGCTTGCTCTCTTTGATCTTATCTGAAAGCTGGACGCCACCGTCATCAGAATCAGAAGCGTCGTCAGAGTCGTCCGAGTCTTCAGCAGCTGGCGCAGCCTTCTTGTTGTCTTCGAGACGGGCCTTCTTAGCCATGGCCTTCGGCTTCCCCTTCACTCCCATAGTAGCCTTTCTCTTGCCACCTACAGCGGCAGTTTTTGCAGCCATTTCTAATCAGATTGCTTTTCCTGAGAATTGTTGCGATAAAGCTGGTCGGCTTGGACTTTTTTATAGCGGATCCGGCCTCTGCACCAGAAAAGTTGCAGGCTTTCAGCACTTTCCCAAATTTTTGTCAATCTGCCAGGCGGTGAAGTCACGCTAAGCCTAAATTGCTGCCACGCCAGACCCCGCGGTCCAAAAAGTGCACCAGTTGTTGTTGACTTTTACGCCTTCAAACGTACGGAGGCAGGTCTCTGAACCTACTGCTACGTTGGGAACAAGTTTTTGCACCAAGTGAAAAGAAAAATACCTAATTCCAACCTAGGATAATTTTTTTTTTGGGGGGGGGGGGGGAAAAAAGAGCATTGCTGCTGATGTTAGTAAGCAGTATGCTGGACAATTCACCCACTTCAGGCTTGCGATGGAGGGGCATTCTTTGACAACTGGAATCGCCAATTGCGTTTTGGGGCACCAAGTTCAGCATCATGGGCCGTGAAGAGCAGGTCGAGGAGCGAGAGGTTCTCGACTCCATCTTCCCGGAAGAAATCACAGGTGTGATTTCCTACTGGCTATAGCCCGTTACCCGCTCGAACCCGTCCCTAACCCTGCACAGATGTCTCCGAGACGGAATACAGAATATCCATCGCCCTAGATATCCCCAACCACCCCGAAGATGAGGAGCCTCCCAAGTTCCTCCTCTCCGTCCGCTACCCGGACGAGTACCCCGACGTCGCGCCCGGCCTCGAGATCATGGCCGCCCCCGACGGCGGCGCGACTGAGTTCTTCGACACCGGCGACGACCGCGAGCACCTGCTCGCCAGCGTCGAGGAGACGATCCAGGAGAACATCGGCATGGCCATGATTTTCACCATCGTCTCCGCGCTCAAGGATGCCGCCGAGCAGCTCGTGCAGGAGCGCAAGGACGCCGTCGCCCGCGCCGAGCAAGAGCGCCGCGACGCCGCCGAGCGCGAGGAGAACAAGAAGTTCCAGGGCACGCCGGTGAACCCGGAGACGTTCCTCAAGTGGCGCGAGGGCTTTCTCAAGGAGATGGAGGAGCGGCGCGCGCGCGAGGAGGAGGAGCGCCTGGCGGAGCTGAAGAAGGCAAAGGTCAAGGAGGCCGTCAAGCTGACGGGCCGCCAGCTGTGGGAGCGTGGCCTGGTTGGCAAGGTCGACGAGGGCGATGACGATGACGATGCTCCGGTGGAGGAGATGGATAAACTAGCAGTCGAGGCAGCATAAACATACAACAAACGGAGAACAATAAAAAATCGTAAAATTTAACTTGACACTTCAAGTCTTGAACGTATTGTAGTTCGGTCCGTGACCTCTAGTAGTGCCTATCATTAAAGCCAAGTATTGTGTCGTTACAAAGGCTGCCTCAACGCCGTCTAAATGCGCAATCAAGTCGTTTCGTCCTTTTGTGTATCCGAGCCCTATATGGTCACGTCCAATATTCCTGCTCTCCCGTGCTTTAATCTTTCATCTCCTCATCCTCTTCCTCATCCTCCTCGTCATCACTAGCAACATCCCACTCATCCTCACCCTCCTCGGGTTCTCCAATCTCCTTGTTAATGCTCAGCACCAGCTCGACCGCATGCTCGCCCAGCCTCTCGTCCTCGTACTCCTGGGCCTCAAACAGCTTCAGGCACTGGGCCAGCCAGCGCCGCGACGACTTCCACGTCACCTTGAGGTCCTCCGACGGCTCGGCCGAGCCGTTTGCGACGCCGCGCTTGGCGTCGCGCAGCTTCTCGCCAGCCAGGTACAGCGCCCAGCCGCCGAGGTACCAGGCCTCGATACTCTCGTCGTCGTCGGTGACGAGGCGCTCGAGCACGAACAGCGCGTCCTCCATCATGCCTGTCTCGAGCAGCAGGCGGGCCAGGGAGATGCGCGTCGGGAAGTCGGGCACCGCGGGGTCCTCGGGCCCGAGGTCCTGCCACAGCTCCAGGCCGCGCTTGAGGGCGGCGCGGGCCTCGTCGGTGCGCTCCTGCGAGATGCGCACGTTGGCCACCGTCTGCCACGTCTCGGACGAGCCCGGCGCGATCATCATGGCCTCTGTTATAAGTGCCTCGCATCGCTGCTCAGCGTCCTCCTCCCACGACAAGTCCGTCATGTACACTTCGGTGACCGCGCAGAGCACGCCGCCTAGCTTCTTCTGCTTTTCCTCGTATGCGTTTTGTTGCTCGGGGGTCTTGTTGCTGATGGCGTCGAAGTTTTGGATCTGTTTGCGCAGCGCTGCGGCACCGCGATCGAACCACTTTACGGTATCCTGGCCGCCTTCTTCGCTGAGCTCGGCGAGGAACAGGAACTTTTCGGGGCCGCCGCCGACTTTTTCGTCCATATCGCCATTCTTGTCAATGTTAGCTGCGCGCTCGAAGAGCGAGCGAGCCTCATCGATTTCGCCGTCTTCAATATGTAGTAGAGCGAGGAGGTTCAGGGCTCGCAGTTCGAAGTCACCGCCTGGGCCAGTCGTCGTTAGGGCCTTCTCTGCGAGGCCAATCGCCTCGTCAATGTTGCCGACTTCGAAGAGGGTCTCGACGTCGTCAAGAAGTGTGCCCGCATCGGACTTTCCCTTCTTTTCGGGTCGACTCGGCGCCATCTCTAGAATTTTTTGCTAAAGAAAAAAAAAGGTGTTGCACAAGAGAAGAGTTGTCGAGCTTGCATGGGTCCCCTCAGTTGCACTCTTGGGCTAAAATTTTTGGGTTGCTGCTAATCGATAAGGGGACCTATACCTCAACGGTCGCGGGGTCCTCGTCAGTTATCCCACTTCAGCATGCCGAACGAACCGAGGCAAGACATTTCGTGAATTTAAACGAACATCTTGATTGATTCTTTGTTCTCATTTCAGCTAAATTCTTTATCCCCTACCCCAAGCCGCAACCATGTTCACTGGCATTGTCGAAGATATTGGCGGTATGACCCCTCATTTACACGCCAACAGGGTGTGACTAATTGCGCTCTAGTTATTACACGCCTGGACAAAGATGCCGCCACTGGAAGCGCTGAGATGACGATTACCATCGCGCCCGGGTCATCTCTTCTCAAGGACTGCCGAGATGGTGATTCTATCGCCGTGAACGGCGTATGTTTGACTGTGACATCGTTCAAGGATGACCACTTCAATGTCGGCGTTGCACCGGAGACCCTGCGCATCACCAACCTCGGCGGACTCTCCGAGAGTAGCCGTGTGAATTTGGAACCTGCCGTCCGTGCTGATACCCGCATGGGTGGCCACTTTGTGCAGGGTCATGTCGATACCGTTGCCGAGATTCTGCTTGCCGAACAAGATGGCAACGCCATTACCTTTCGCTTCCAGCCCAAGAACCGGGACATGCTTCGCTACATTGTCTACAAGGGTTTCATTGCGATCGACGGTACCAGCTTGACTGTCACCCAGGTCAACGACAAAGAAGGCTGGTTCCAGATTATGCTCATCTCCTACTCTCAAGAAAAGGTTATTCTGAGTAAGAAGGTGGCTGGTGACAGTGTTAATATTGAGGTCGACATGATGGCCAAGTATGCTGAAAAGTCGCTTGCGGGTATCCTCGGCTCTGGCTCCGGTGAATCAATCCCGCTGCTGGAGAAGATTGTCGAGAGGATCGTCGAGAGCAAGCTGAAGCAATAGCTTTCTGACACGACACTAAGCATTTTAGCATGAACGAGCCAATATATCTATATGCCTACAATTTCAGCACTCTCTTTTCCTGCTACAGAAAGTGCTCCTGGCGGCAACACTCCTGGCGTCGACTGTAGCAAATCGAACACGACCCAGCCACAACAGAAATAGTAAAGAGAAATGTACATTTGATAATTTGAAAACTTAGTGAAATCAAATCTGGCTATCTTGCTGCCTTTTATGAGAAAGTATCGTATTTCGTTATAGATGTTGGTTGAGTGCACGTGAATGCGCGTATATCTGGCGTGCACAAGGCTCCACACGCGTCCTTCCTCCAGCGTCATCTTCAGTCGTGATCGCGCTGGCCGCTATGCGTATTTCAGAGGGGAAGGGAAGACCTTCGCTTACTATCTGTAACGCATAACAAGAAATGGTTTCATCAATAGCACAATCCCAACACTTTCTAGGTCGATACGATGGATGAGGACTGTGCCAATCCCCAGCTTCTCGGCTGGGTCAAGGAGTGGCTCAACCAAGCCCGGGAGCGCAACTCTAAAGGCATCACGACATATAGACGCGCTTACGACGCACTCAAAGCATGCCCCCTCACATTTCAGCACCCTTCAGAGCTTCAGCAGCTCAAAGGCTTTGGCCCTAAACTTTGCGAGCGGCTGGAGGCGAGCCTCAAGAAGCATTGCCAAGAAAACGGGCTACCTATGCCCGAGCATCCGCGAATGAGAAAACAGCGAGCACAGGAAACGGAAGGCGATGCACAGGCTGAAAGCATCAAACCTAAGAAGAAGCGAGCGCAAAAAGCGTACGTGCCGACTCTTCGTTCCGGGGCCTATGCTCTTATCATAGCGCTTGCGACCCTCCCGGAGGACGACTCGACTGGCCTCACCAAGACGGAGCTCATCGAAATCGCACAGTCTTATTGTGATGCATCATTTAGTGCTCCGAGCGATCCCACCAAATTTTACACGGCGTGGAGCTCAATGAAGACTCTGGTGCAAAAGGAAATGGTTTATGAGCGCGGTCGCCCGCTTCGTCGCTATGCACTGACGGACGAGGGCTGGGAAGTTGCGAAGCGTGTAAAACGAGCAAATGGGATGGAAACCGAAGCATCCGGAAGCAACAGTATCACAGGAAATATTCCCTCGCTCCCGCCTCCTGCAGAGAGGACACCGTCACTGTCGCCCGAGCTGGCGGTCATATCCGAAGCTCAACGACTTGTCCGCAACACGGTGCCAGACAGTCCTCAAGCAGCCAACGACAGCTCTATACCCGAATTCTCGTCCATCCGGCTCCCACCCGGTTCCTTCACCGTGCATCTGCTCCTCGACGTGCGCGAAGTCCGGGCCAAGACGGACCGCGACTACATACAAGAGGAGCTCGCCAAGCAGGGCATCAAGGCCATCATGCGCAACCTCGAGGTCGGTGACGCGCAGTGGATTGCCAAGTGCAGCGACGCGTCGCTGCTGGCGCGCCACGGCGCCGAGGGCGATGAGGTGGCCCTCGACTGGATCGTGGAGCGCAAGCGCCTCGACGACCTCATCGGCAGCATCAAGGACGGCCGCTTCCACGAGCAAAAGTTTCGGCTGCGGCGCTGCGGCGCGACGCGCGTCGTCTACATCATAGAGGAGATCGCCATGGACGCCGCTGCGTACAGCCGCTACGAGGAGGCCGTGCAGTCGGCGATTGCGTCGACGCAGGTCGTCAACGGGTACTTTGTGAAGCGGACCGCCAAGATGGACGACACCATCCGCTACCTCGCGCGGCTGACGCGCATGCTCACGGCGCGGTACGAGCGCCACCCTCTGCACATCATCCCGACGAGGGTGCTCACGGCGCAAAACTACGCGCCGCTCCTCGCGCACCTGCGCGCCTCGCAGCCGGACGTCGGCCACTACGTCACGTACGGTGCGTTCGCGTCGCTCGCGTCCAAGTCGGAGACGATGACGCTCAAGGACGTCTTCCTCAAGATGCTCATGACGACGCGCCGCGTCACAGGCGAGCGCGCGCTCGAGATCCAGCGCCGCTGGCGGACCCCGTACGAGTTCGTGGACGCGTACCGGAGCTGCGGCCCCGGCGAGGCCGGCAGAAAGCGCAAGGCGGACCTGGTCTTTACCGAGCTGGGATACCTCGTAGGCAGGAAGAAATTTAGCAAGAGCCTCAGCCAGAGCATCGCCGAGATTTGGGGCGACTATGCTTGAGGGGGGACGCAGGGGACGCAGCTGAGGAGGAGGAAGGCAACTGTGATGTACAGCTGGAGGTTGTCATGTTTGAAGCAGATATGTATTTCTCTAAAAAAAACACTTTGCAACACGCCACGTGCGGGCCCTGTTGTGGTCAATTCCGTCCCGACAACATGTCAAACAAAATCAATAACAAAAAAAAATCATCATCCATGCGCCTCTAGTTTTTCTACCCTTGACGTTTCCCGTACTGCGAGCCAGGGCCACTCCGAGCCTATACATCTTCGGAGGTGGGGTCGCAACCATAAAAGAATCCCTCACATGTTTTCCCTTCTTTTTAAAAAACCAGAAATGATGCGTATTTTCTCATGACAAAAAACCAACAATCATAGCTTCGACTGGGGGGGGGACCGCTTTAGCTCATGCGGTAGTCGCACACGGCCTGGGCGTTGCGGTTGCCGTCGGCGCTCTGGAAGTTGTAGGCGATGTCGATGTCGAGGTCGCGCCTGTTCTTGTTGTTGGGCTTGACCTTGACGTTGCACTGGATCTCCTCGCCCTCCTGGGCGGTGAGGACGTCGGCGAGGTAGAAGACGGTCTGCTTCCAGTGGGTGTACTTTGTGTGCGGGCCGGTGGAGAAGCGGATGGGCTTGTGGCAGGCGGTGAAGTCGATGTCGAACCAGGAGACGAGGGCGTGGATGAAGTCGTCGCGCTTGGCGACGAGGTTGAAGGGGACCTCGAAGGCGAGGTCGGCGACGGTGCAGGTGTACAGGTCCAGGGTGAGGACGGCGGCGGGGTCGGTGACGACGGTCTTGACGTCGACGGTGTCGACCAGGGGTTCGGAGAGGGCCGTCTTCTTCATGGCGGTATAGTCGAAGCCGTAGACATTGTCCCAGACTGTGGTCACGCATGTGTTAGGACTTCATGTTACATGCGAGCAGAAAGAAACGGAGGAGAAAAGCAGCGAGTACGTACATCCGATCTTTTCCTCCTTATAATCGCCATCCTCAATACCGGCAAAGAAGATGGTGGCCTTGTCGGGGAAGATGAGGCCGTCCTTCGCGAGGTAGGTGTCGCGGGCGTAGAGGACGGTGTCGAGCATGGATTCGTACAGCAAGAAGTAGCCCATCCACTCGGAGATGATGATGTCCACCTTGGGGAAGGGTAGCTTGATCTCCTCCATCTTGCCCTGGATGAGGGTAATCTTGTCCGAGAGGCCATTGGCCTCCACAATCTCGCGGGCCTTGAAGATGATGGTCGACATGTCGACGCCGATGACATGCTTGGCGCCGGCCTTGGCGGCGAACCTGTGTTTTCCAGGGTCAGCACAGCGCGCGACGCAATGGGCGACAGGTAGCAGTTCCTTGGCGGAGGGGAGGGCAGAGCTCACATGGAGAGAATGGCGGTACCGCAGCCGACATCGAGAACGACCTTGTCCTTGAAGAGGTGCTTGTTCTGGACGATGGAGTTCATGTAGGATCGGGTGCGAACTTCGTCTTTCTGTCGGGATAGTCAGCTGCGCTGTTGTCCACGGTGCCGATCGAGGACAATTCAAGGGCCACATACCAGCATCTCCTCGTGGATGCCTTGTCGAGCGCAAAAGCCGGTCAGCATATGCAAGTCGCACAAGATCTCCGCGATCCAATCATACCATGGTGGTTGTAGCTGCAAAAGATTACATATTAGCATGCGCATTTCGTCTCATCGCGCCGGCCGCGATCCAAGATCAATAACGCTTACCTGTTGAAGTAGTGCTGCTCGCTGTGCTCCATCGACTTGAGGTTCTGCTCGGCGAGCTCAACGTCCATCTTGTCGGAGCTCATTGTGGCGGTATGGAAAAGTCTTGAACTGAAACAGGCCGCAACGGAGGAGGAGAAGAAAACGAGGCGCAAGAAAACGGCTTTCAGTGACAAGAACCTTCAACGGGGCAGAAGAGCAAGGCGGCGGGGGTGTTGAAAGGCAAAGATGGGCTTTTGTTTTGCGGGCAGAAATAAATTTATCGCGGCCACCGCCTGGCGCTGGGCGACAAACAACAGGAAAAACCCCACCTCGGTTTGCCCCGCCTCAGGTACCGATTTGGGAAACTCTGCATGTTGGGCCGTGCTCGGTCTTTGAATAAATTGTGTATTTACGACAAACAATCTGGATAGAGTGGTTGTACATGTGTCACCATTTATTTTAATTTATTTCACATTTATTCTTCGCCTCTTTTTGGGCGATGTTGTGTTGTTGTGTTGTCATGCCTGCCACCACATCTGATTTTTCTGTTGCGATTCAGGGTCCGTTCCTCTCGGGCACGCCGCAAACAAATAAGTGGCCCTCGAGGTTCAGATCTGTCAAAAAGCATTCATCAACTTAATATGCAGCTTTTAATGGCAATATATTTAAGCAGTATTTTTATGCTATGATCTATTGGTCATACCACGGCCTGTGTCGAGCTTCTGCTCTCTAAATCAGCCCCGCGAAACACCCAAACGCCGTTACATGCAAATCAAACAAAACAAGCCGTGCCGTCTCTTTTGTCTTCCAACATTTTTCCATCACCTCCCAGGCATCTAAACCAGCAAAACACTGTTGATGCAGCCCTCGTTCTCCGGGTTGTTGGTGACCTGCGCGTAGCGACCCCAGACGACCTTGCCGCCCGCCGTGACCAGCCCCAGCTCGCTCACGTTGACCTCGATGACCGTACCCTTGGTCAACACGCCCAGCTGCGTGTACATGGGGTTCTGCGGGTTCTTCTTGACCGCGATGATCGGCAGCTGCACCGTCACGCCGAGCTCCGGGTGCGTCACGTTGGCCTTCTTGTACCGCAAACCCATCGGGCGGATGAAGCGCTCGAACTTGGGGTTGCGCCGCGTGAAGTCCTGCCCGACAAACGTCGGCTTCGTCACCATCCGCTTCCACGCGCGCTGCTGGATCTTCTTGCCCGTCTTGACCACCTTGAACATCTCCTCCTCGCTGATGCCGCGCACCTTGGGCAGGGGCACGCTGAACTTGGCCGCCTTCTCCGCTCGCTTGTTCTTGATGGCGCTGCTCAGCGCCTTGGCGCTCTGCGGGTTCGTCCGGTCCAGCAGGTACGCGGGCATCGGCGTCGACGGCTCCTTCTCGTCGGCCGTCTTGACGTTGCGCTCCTCGTGGGCCTTGATCTGCTTCTTCATCTGGATCTTCTCGTGGTGCCGCTTCTTCTGGTACAGCTTGGCGCGCAGGCCGCGCAGGTTCTGCGCGTCCTGCGAGGCCTTGTGGCCCTCACGGGCCGTCTTCTTGCGCAGACGCTCCTCGTGGTCGAGACGGCGGCCGTGCAGCTTCCGCCATCTCTCCATATACTCGTTCTGAGGCTATTAGGCTGTTAGAATGTCGTTCAATCTTTGAACTTGCATTTCCGACGTACCATATTGTCGGTATTGCGCAATCAATTTACTGGTAACTGGTTGTTGAGCGCGACCGCTTGAACTTTTTGAAAATTCAGAGTGGAGTGAGCTCACAGCAAAAAAAAGTTGGAGGCACCAACCAGGTGGCCCCACCCACCTCCCTCAATGTCGGTGGCGGGAGAGCCCATCTCAAAATTCGCTGGGGCCGGAGCCCGGAGCTACACTAATCCGCCCAGCCGCGCTTCTTGCGGCAAGCTTGTGCTGCCACTGTCCCTTATAACTTTTTAGCTCGTGTGTGTCTGCAAATCGAACCCCGTCACAAGTTCTCCGTGCAGCCGGGGCCGCACTACATCACAATGAGTCGGGCACTCCTCCGCTCCGTCCTGGAGCTCCGGGCCCCTTCACAGCGTCTCTTCGCCTCGCCCGTCTCCTCAATCGCTTCGCCCGTCGCCCCAATCGCCTCGCGCGCCCTCAGCACCATCCCACAACCCCCAGCCGCGAAGCACCCCAAGAACGCCGCCAACCCGTCCGAGAACCAGGCCCGCCCCATCGCCCTGAAGAAGAGCCATCCCTCTTCCCCCCCCACGCCCATCGAGGACTCTGTCCGTAACCTACTCCCCTTCCTCGCCGCGCAGCCCGGCCACTATATCACCGTGCACGTGCACGGCTTCCCCTACCTCGTGCGGGAGGGCGACCAGGTGCGGCTGCCGTTCCGCATGCCCGGCGTGCAGCCCGGCGACGTGCTGCGGCTGAACCGCGCCAGCGTGCTCGGCAGCCGCGACTACACGATGAAGGGCGCGCCGCACATTGACGAGAGCGTCTTTGAGTGCCGCGCGACGGTGCTGGGCACCGAGTCGGAGCCGCTGCGCATCAAGATCAAGAAGAAGAGGAGGACGCGTCGCACGCGCACCGCCACGAGCAAGCACCGGTATACGATTCTCAGGATATCAGAGCTGACCATCAACACTCCGGAGGACATTGAAGGCCAATGAGGCAACAAGAGTTTGACGTGCCGTATGTCCGGTGGCAATCGGCTGTATCATATAGACAAGGCTTCCGAGTCCAGTGTATAACAATTTCAAGCATGTAAAGAAAATCCATCTTGGCATTCTATGTGTGTGCTTTGTAGAGACGAGAACACTGTGTTCATCATTTTGTGCAGAAATCATCGCCAACAGCAATGGTATAGTATAAAGGAGCGCAATTAGAAAAAAAGGAAAAACCCCCCAACTCCAAGCTGAAAATATAGACCGCCATGCTGCGCGCGTGCGGGAAAAGCTAGAAACAAGTAATCATAAAAACACCACCCAAGGATAAGTATAGTTCCCAATTCGTTCAATCTCAAGGCTGTATCGGTTTTTTTTTTTACATTTTTCCAATCATGGCTTTGCGGATGCCTTCCCAGTATGCTCGAGGCCAGACACTGGAGGCTTCCGAGTCGGTGGGAGCGCGTTCGCGGCACTTCATAGCAACGCTCTGGATGATGCGTGCAAGAAGCTCTTCGTCAATGGGAAGGGCTTTGTCGCTAATTTCGGCAGGGTACAGGAAGGGGTCAGAGTAGTGGAGAAGTTCCTCGCAGGTAGGGCGCATGTGCTGGTCACGGATGAGGCAGCGTCTCATGGTTCGGATCAGCGAAGGGGGGACCAGAAAGCCACCAGTGGCGCGCGTGGGGAACTCGATCGTGTGATCCCAGTTGATGATGGCCTGGCAGCGAGCCATTTGGTTGACAATGTGACCAAAAGGCGGCACGCCATAGACCATCTGGTAGAGGATACATCCGAGGGACCAGATATCGCTGGGCTTGCCAAGCTTCATTAGCTTGGGGCGGCCAGGGACGCGGTGTCCACGGGCGCTGTTGGAATCCATGAGGGACTCGGGCGACATGTAGTTGGGTGTACCGATCTGTGTCTCGCGGTGGACGTTGACAGTCTCGTCGGTCTGGATGGCATTGGCGATGCCAAAATCAATGAGTTTCAGACGACCCTGCACGAGCACAAAGTTGGCGGGCTTCAGATCGGAGTGGACAATGTCGTGGTTGTGAACAGACTGCACACATTCCAGCATCTCCTTCCAGTAGAAACGGATGAAGACGGGGTCGAGTCTGGCCGACTCGGCAGACTGATGGGTCTGCAAAACCTTGTCCAGAGCCCTCTCGCCCATTTCCATGACCAAGCTCAGCATTTGCTTTTCATGGTTCATCTCCGAGTCAAAGAGGTTCACGACACGGTCAACGCCGGTTAGCTTCCTGAGCAGGTCAATCTCGCCTAGGTAACCGTTGATGGTCGACTCATCCGCATTCTCAAGCGAAACGCGCTTCAGGGCCATCATGGTGCCGTTTTCTGCCATGACCCTGTAAACCTTTCCGCTTCCGCCGCGGCCGAGACATTCAAGGCGGGTATATACTTTGTTATTAACCTTGAGGATGTTTCGGCGCTGCTTCGTCTGGGTGGTCACCGCGGCGCCGGCAGTAGAGGTGGCGGCCTCGAGGACAGACATCTTGGGTGGCGGTGCAGGTGCTGCTCGATGCGGTGTGGTGTTGCGAGCAATGGCTGTTAGGGGCTTGCGGTCGGGCGATGCAGCCCGGTCAATAGCAATATCGATGCGAGGGGGTGCCATAGCTGGCTTGTCGGCTCCGATGGACGACTTGGCCCATTTCTGGTGGAAAGGGATTTCATTTTCCTTGTCATTGGTGGCGGGCATCTGAAGGCGACCGACAGAGACAAGATGGCCAATATCCCCTATACGGGAGGGCTCGGCAGGACGCGCGCCGCGGCCTTCTTCGGGCAGTGGCGACGGTTTGGCGGAGTCGGCGCGGATTTCTACCTTGGAACCAGCCCGGCGGTGGCTGCCACGAACAGCGCTCCCGCCGACGGGGCTACCAGAGTTGAAGTCTGGATAGTACGGGGCCTGGCCAGGCTCCTCTTGGGCCAGACTCTCGGGCTCTTGCGACGATCCCATTTCACCAAATCCTCCCTCCTCCTCGCTCTGCCGGCGGCGACCGCGGCGAGCAGGCCCGCTCAGAAAACTGCCGGAGAGCTTGCCGACACGCTTGATGCGCATCGACCCCTGGGGGTTCGGATTGTCCTCCCGGCTTCTCGTCGATGGGTAGCGAGACACGCTGGTGTTGCCAATAGCGGCGTTGCGTGCCGCCGTGTCAGGGGCTTCGAGGTGCTCGGGGGCTTCCGCGTCCACAGCGGAGCGGTCAATAACGGATCGATCCAGGTAGGAGCGGCCGGACGAGGGACCGGACGATCCCAGGCGGCTACGGTTTCCAGACGAACTGGTGACGATGCGAACAACTCGCCCTTGAGCAGGGGGGGTGTTGACGCCAGCTTCGGGGTGTTGCTGCTGGTCTTGCGTTCCGTCAGCACTATCGTGGCGGGAGCCTGATCCAGGCCTGCCGACCTGCTGGGACCGGGAACCAGAGGTGGAACGACGCTTGGATGTTGAGCTGCCCATCTGGCTGAGGCTCTGGGGCGTGTTGCTGAGGCGCACCACTCTTTTCCTTCCGGGGCTGAGTTCACGCAGGGGGCTCGAGTTTCTCTCCGCCGCGTCATGCGGCTGTGAGGCGGTAGCTCTCGTAGTCCTCCGGGTGGCGGCAGCAGGGCCGGACGCGGCGGCGGCGCTGGCCTGGCGGCGTGTTCGGGGCGGCGAGGGCGGCGCCCGGACATCTGAAGCTGCCTCGTGGTCACCGCCATCGTTCAGCAGTGCCTTGGTGAGGGCACTCAGCTTCATGGGCACGGGAATTTCGTCCTCGGAGCTGTCATCTTCGTACTGGTTCGACTGGTGCTTGGCCTGTGCTGCCAGGGCAGCCTGCGCCTCGCTCCGGGTGGCGGTCGTCCTGGAGGGAGGTCGTCGGAGCTGGCGTTGTGAGGTTCTCCGCATTGGCACGGCGGCCATTGGGGTTGGAGAGGCGGTCGCCATGGGAAAGCGAGCCGAGGATGTTGTTGGCGGTGGTGTTGTAGCAATGGTGTCTGTCGGAGCTTCCCAGAAACGCGTCTTGTCCAGTGCTGTAGGCGTCTTGGCCGGTGTTGCGAAGCAATTAGCCAATAAATAAATTTGGAGCAAGAATTCACGCGTCTGGCCGCTGCATAGTCAAGGCCGCAGTGAGAATTGGTTATTTGGAGTTCGTGGCGGCGTGTGTATTATTCTAAAAGAGATGCAAGTGCTGGGAGGAGCGGTTGGTATTTTTGGCGTCGATGCTCTGCGGCCAATCAGCGACAAGGTGGTTGCCCCGGGCAACGCCGGTACTTGCCAAGGTGCCTCGCTACGTACCTCCCTCTGCTGCTACAACTCAGAGTTGCGCTTCTGCCCGGAATGGAGAAATAGCATACTTTTTTTTTCGAAATTGGTTGTCTGATTCTTGTCCTGTGTTTCCTCCGTGGCATTCCCGATCTTGTGGGTTTGTAGGGTGCTTGGGGTTGCACATCACTGGAGCTGTATCGTTTGTGCTCCAACTAAAGTCTTGCCAGGCCGCGTTGGTTTGAGCTGATCGGCTTGTTACCTCCATACATACCTAGGCAGTAAATAGTTAGTATCTATGCCTCCTCTCTCTATGCCTACCGCTCGATATGCCAACTGTTGTCCGCGTCCTCTCCAAGTTTCCTCTCAAAAACCATAGCTCCAGGGTAGGGTTTGCGGGAGAGGAGTCTGGGCAAGCGGGAGCATGGACCCTGTCCTTGCGCATTGTAGGTAGCTTGATATGTCGCATCGTCCTTCGCCTCTCTTATTCAGCTTGTTTGTGTTGTCGAAACTTTTTGTGGCCGGGCCGGACCCTAGATAGGGCGAACCATCGCGCTCGAGTGGTGTTCATTGGGGAAATGTCATCCGGCGCTTGTATACTCCCATTCGTGCATGGGCGTTGGTCAAATGACTGGCGTAATTGATCTTCTTGACCTATTTCTCGAGTTTGTTTTCGCCGCCATGTAGGTTTCTTGTTAGGTGGTATCTAAGCTTAAGCCTCAGCTACGTCCGCCGGGCGGCCTCAAACTACGTGTGCCGGATCACGCCCCAAGGCGACAAGGCGACATGACGACATTAAACTATGTTTTTCTAGCTACTATGCCACGACGGACACGCTCTCGACTCGCGTCAACAAGTTAACTCATGCGATAAGCAAAAAGTAAAAAGCACAAAGGCGTTGGTGGCGAATCCTCTTAAACTTTCTCGGAAACACGTATAAATGTAACCATTCCCCTCCCTTGGTGGCCGAATGCACTTACTCCGTACATTTGCGTTCTTGTTGAACCGTCTTGAATTCTAACAACTTCCCTCACTCTTTCAAAATGCGCTCTTGCTTCAGCTTCCTCCTCATCCTGCTCCTCGGGGTCGCCTCCCTCGCCACCGCCGGCCGCTCCACGAATGGCAACTGGAGCTGGATAAATTGCGGTCGACTACTAACAGATCCCATGCTTCTGACCACAATCTCCATCTCCCCCGACCCGCCGGTAGTGTGAGTTTTGCAGGACTGCTTTCGCTAGCGATTCCCTTCCCTGGCAATGCTAACTAATCGTCGCAAATATCCAGGGGTCAAAATGCCGCGATGGGCATCAAGATCAACGTTAGAAAACCACTTGACGACACCCCTATTCTCGCCAACTTCACCCTGTGGGAGCACAAGGGCGCGAAGCCCGTGTCGCTAGACGACGTCGATTTGTGCGCCCTCATCCGCATGCACAACCCCGATGTTCAATGCCCACCGAAGAAGACGGGTGAGATGGCGTTCGACATCCCGATGGATAACTTCAAGAAGGAGTGGGGGTACTTTGGCTTCAACGTCCATGCGGCGTATGCAAACGGCACCGAGCTTGGTTGTGCCTCGATCAAGTACGGCCATGAATGAAGAGTGGCCATTCGAGCCATGTTGCGTTGCTGCTGGGTAGCCAGAAGCGCGTGACGGTGATGTTTAGTGGAGCTGGGAAATGGGAGGCACCGCAGCTAGCTTGATAATACGACAAGTTCTGTTCCAAGAACGGCATCCTGTGTGGAAGCTTGATGTAGCCTAGTCGAACGTCCGTGAACGCATCATCAACCGTGGTGTCTGCCATACTTGTTATCCGTACCTGCTGACTTGACTAGCCAGACCACTGCCGCTTTTCCCTCGTATGCTCCATCTTCTTCCAAAAGACTGCATCCACCTTGACGACCGCGAACCGCAGAAGCGGCCACGCCCCGACCCTCGCCCGCAGCACGCCGCGCCACCTCGCAAACAGCTCCTCGTCGCCCGCCCGATCCCGCGGTGACCGCCTCTGAAAGCAGAGCATGTAGCAGAACAGCCCCGGGTAGCACAGGCAGTGCCGCGCATAGGCGGGCCAAAAGGCGGCCGTGTACCGGAGGTCCAGGCCGCGCACCACCGCGATGAGCGCCCGCATGAAGTCGCGGGATTCTTGGAGGACCTCGTGAACGGCGGAGTCGTCGTCGTGGTCGTCCGGCAGGCGAGGGCGGACGATGGGGCGCAGGAGCGCGCGGAGGAGCAGCACGCGCGCGGTGAAGTAGGCGACGTGCAGAGAGGCGCGGCTGTCGGGGACATCGGAGTTGGTTGCGTCGGAGGCCGGCTGGTCCAGGGAGAGGGACGGCGGCAGAGACTCGAGCCAGCGGTGCAGGGCGCGCTGTAGAGGCCGTGCCCGGTCCATGATGTCCTTGAGATCTTGAACTTTAGAGACTGTCCTCAGCGTGCTGAAAATCGTCAAGATTAGCGATGGTAACAGATTGCTGGCTCGCGTAGGGCTTACAAGAAACTGCGACATATCTCGCTGACAATGTCCGTCAGCGCGCAGAAGTGAATAAAGTAATCCGCGGCGCCGTGAGCGTCCTCCACGCCCGCAAAGTCGGCGTGCGATATCGGCGTGACGTTGCAGTCGTCCTCGCGCAGCATCGACGCCCTCCCGTGCGTGACCGCGCGCCAGCCGTGCTCCGCGACGACCGTCCACCAGAGCCGGCGGCGCAGCCGGGCCTCGGCCGCGGGGAGGCCCCTCCACGGGCCCGGGTCGACGTGCAGGCCGAGCGACTGCGCGACGGCCAGCGCGGAGCACGCGAGCGACCAGGCGAACGGGGTCTCGACGGCGACGGGGTCAAAGGTGGTGGTGTTGAGCAGCAGGAGGCTGATCTGCACGGTGGAGAGGGAGGGGAAGTGCAGCTCGCGCTGTAGGCAAGAGTAAGAGACTTGCCAGAGGCGGTTGACGTCGGGCTTGGAGTAGGCGCTGTCGAGGCAGAACTGCTCGTCCCAGGAGGTGAAGGGCAGGGCGAGGGCATACATGCCGGCCAGGACGCCGGGGGAGGTGGATTTGATGAATTCCTCTTCGTCTTTTAGTAGCTCTGTTCTTGATATAATGGGGAGGTTCTGGAATATGAACCGGAGGTAGCTGGGGGGAGGGGGTCAGCGGGTTGCTTTTACACCGAGGACAACCAACACACATGACTTACAGTCGCAACAATGCTACACCCATTTCGACACTGACAATTTCATTGAGAAGGTCGCGTTCATTCTTGAGCGCCAGGCAGCCCGTCATTGCTTCCTGGTTTTGCAGCACTGCTTGAGGCTTTGACTGGAGAAAATGGATTGGCGGGTGGCCGGCCGACACGGGTTGAGACGATGGCCGGCGATACGTGACCATGAAAAAGTCCAGCTCGTCTGCCGCGTTGTAGGGGTAGTGCTCCAGCAAGAACGGATCGGATTCATTGGAGTAGCCGATGAAGGATGTCGACCGATCATGCCTGTTGAGAGTGGCCTGGACTTGGGGGCGTGACAGGGCCTCCTCGTTTCCGCTGTTGGGTTCAACAGCAGAGTCCGCCGTTCCCATGACAGAAGCGTCGCCGTATGGGATGGACCAAAAGTTGGGAATGTCTTGCATGAAGGCCTCAGCCTGCCCCAGCTGCTCCAGATCCGGGGACCACTGTGTCGGCAACATCTCATCCATCCCGAGCGGGTGACCACCAAACGCAGGTGAAAGACTGGTAGGGTTGTCCACCACCAAGTCGCCCCGTGCATCATTGCGCGAGAATGATGAAGCCGTCAACGGCGTTTGATCCGCAAGACTGTCTGCCGCGCCGTCGTCGGCAGAGCTGCGACCCGGGCTGCAGCGCGTCGGCCTGCTCTTTGTCCCGGCGAGGAACGTGCACGGCCGTCCGGTGCGGTCGCACAGCTGACAAGGCCTGCTCGGATCCGGGATGTTGCAGAGCGCCTTGCGCGCGCGGCAGAGGTCGCAAGGGCGCTGGGCCTTGGAGCGATACCGGCGGCTACCGGCGGCTGCGTGGTGGGGGAAGCGTGCGGGAGACGGCGGTGTTTCCAGGGGTGACATTGTGGAACTTGACTGAGTCACCCGTGATTTAGAGAAAAAGAGAAAGAAAACATTGGATGAAAGCTTGCGTGATGATGGACCCGGTAGTTGGTTTGTTGGTTGTTAAGGAAGCAACGTGACTGGCTGATTGTGGCTTGTCCGGGGTCGGCGCCGGGGTTCCCCGCAGACCGACCGGGCTGATAAGGAGAGGGCGGCGAAGTAAATAAAAACATGCAGGGATGGCGACGACGAATACTAAATAATGAGAAAAAAAAATCTAAAAAATTGCCAAGGGATCAACAAATACTGCAAAAAGTGTCAAAAAATGCCAAGTGGTGGCTTTCAAAATCAGGTCATTATAGCTAAATTCTTACGACTACATTACGTAGTCAAAGTCTAGACTCTGGTCTCCCTCCTTACCGTTGCTTTCTACACCCTGGCTGATCAACTTCTCCTTTTGCTTGGTTCTGTACCGCAGCAGCATGTAGATGAGAGCCACCGAGACCAGTGCCAGCGCCTCAAAGCCGAGTGACAGCGAGTTTCCGAGAATATAGCGAGGCGCATCCCCGATTGGGTAGATTTGCGAGGCGGCCAGCCCTGCCGCGTTGGCAAGGGAGACTACCATGGCAATGGCCACTGACCGCTTGTAATCGGGGTGAATGTTGTTCGATACCCAACTTTCTGCCGTGTTAGTGGGAGTTCGGCGAGGAAGACAAGGCAGGCAAGGGCAACTTACGTGAGGAGGACGGTGTTGAAGGAGTAGACGCCGGCACCGACAATGAACATGCCAAAGTAACCGGCGGATCTGTTGCTGGAGCCAATGCCGATGGCGTAGCCGACCATGACCAGGATGGGCGAGTGAATCAGGCATATCGCGCGCCGACCAATGCGGTCCGAGACAAAGGTGGTGACGCCGGTGCCGATGGACGCCAAGACATACACGGGGATGCTGAGGTAGTTTGCCTGCAGCGAGGTATACCTGAAGAATCATTAGCATGCGTTCCTCCGTGCACAGAGCAGGGAGAGGAAGTCTCGCGTACTGCATGCCCTTGAGAAGGGTGGGCAGAAAGGTGCTGAAGCCAAACATGGCGATGGACGAGCAGAACAGCGCCGTGGACGCGAGCCACACCAGCGGGTCGGAGACTGCCAGGCCTACCTGCCTCCAGGAGAACTTGTGCGCATCTTCCTCGTACGGATGGTCTCGAATCTTTAGCAGCGCCATGGTGCTCTTCTCCTCGCTGCTCAGGAACCATGCCGTCTCCGGCGACCCCGGGAGGCTCACCCAGCAGATGACGCCAATGATCAACGACACCGCGCCCTCTATGATGAACAGCCACCGCCAGGCCTCCAGCCCGTGCCGCTCACCCATGCTCTGGATGCCGTACGCGATCAGCCCTCCGACCGCACCCGACAGCGCGATGCTGACGTACAGCACCGCGATGCGCTTTCCCTGTGACGCGGCCGGGTAGATGCCCGAGATGACGAACGTGAGCGCCGGGAAGAGCCCCGCCTCAAAGGCGCCGAGGAGGACGCGGCAGGCGATGATCTGGCCGTAGTTGTGGGCGAAGCCGGTGCCGAGGGTGACGGCGCTCCAGCAGACGATGGCGACGGCGAGGACGCGGCCAGGGCCGAAGCGGCGGACGGCGAGGACCCAGGGCGTCTCGAAGACGATGTAGGTGATGTAGAAGAACATGGAGACGTTGTTGAAGTCGGTGCCGGACATGCCGGTGCTTTCTTCGAAGCCGAAGACGCGGGCGTTGCCTGAGGGGAGGGGGGGGGGGGTGAGCAGATGATAGACCTACCAATATTGGTCCTGTCCAAGTACGCAAAGAGCACGAGAATGGCCATCTGCGGCATCACGAACCAGTCAAACCGGGACAGCACCCTTCTCTCAGCCTCCTTATCAATCTGGGCCGCCACGCCGCCCATTGCCGTCGAGGCGTTGTCGCCGGAATCAATATCTTTCTCAGACTTTGTCATATTTCTAAACTTGAAGCATGTCTCTTCCTTCTTACAGATGGCATTTCCTCCCGGTCTGTCGCCGCTATTTATGCACAACTGCTGCGATCGGCCGACCCCACGTTTTTTTGGATGCCGTCGGCAGATAATCTCCAATTTGGGCTGCCAATCAGCAATTTCCCAGATATGCATATTTGGCATGTCAATATCAGCCACAGTGATACTAGGCAGGTAACTAAATTCGTCCGCCGTCGGCCGTGGGCTTGGCCGTCGACGCCACCCCCACACTCGGCCGTCGCCGGTGACAGAGGCCGCGCCCTCGGGACTATTTAAGCCATCTTTTCCTTCTGTGAAGGGAGTATTTTTTGGTTGGAGTAGATGAAAATCTTGAGCATCTTGAATATCCTTACCATCGTTTATAAGCATGCCTTCAGCACAACCACAACTGCCGACACTTGGTGTCAACGGTGACCGGCTAGCGGCATCCCTCCACGAGAGCTGCCAGTTTGGTGCCGATCATCGCTATGGAAAGTAAGTGGCCGTCGATGATGACGATAACTCTGACCAAAATCTCATCCTGACATTCACAAAAAAAAAAATAGGCTCTCTACCGAGACTGGCATGGCTAGACTGAGTCTCGATGACTCGGACAAGGCCGTGCGGGACTGGTTCCTCAGCAAAGCCAAGTCGCTCGGCTGCAGCACGTCCATTGACGAAATGGGAAACTTGTTTGCGATTCGCCGCGGCAAGAACCCGAATGCACCCCCGATCATGATGGGCTCACACCTGGATACCCAGCCAACCGGTGGTCGCTACGACGGCATCCTCGGTGTCCTGGCCGGTCTCGAGGTCCTCCAAGTCTTGGAGGAAAACAAAGTCGAGACTGAGGGAGCCATCGGTGTCGTGAACTGGACAAAGTAAGTTGAATAAGCAGCTTTTTCTTTTATAAAATTCATGCTAATATTTTCCAGCGAGGAAGGTGCTCGCTTCCCCAAGATGGCCGTCTCCTCTGGCGTCTGGGCCGGTGCCGTCCCGATCGAAGACGCCTGGCATCTCGAAGAGGTGACTCCCCACGAGGGCAAGGCCAAGACCATGCTACAGGAGCTGGACCGTATCGGCTACCGCGGCTCCTCGCCGGCATCCTACAAGTCGAACCCGTTCGCGGCCCATTTCGAGCTGCACATTGAGCAGGGCCCTATCCTGGAAGACGAGGGCCTCAAGATTGGCGTCGTCCAAGGTAAGAACCTCTGGATCAAGCCAAGACATGAAACTCAAGAACCAACTCTAACCAACGGAACGCAGGCGTCCAGGCATTCAAGTGGTTCACCATCACCGTCCGCGGCCGCGACAGCCACGCCGGCACCACGCCGCTCTACGCCCGCAAGGACGCCGTCCTCGTCGCCGCGCAGCTCATCTCCGCCGCCAACGCCGTCGCCAAGACCTTTTCCGGCCTCGCCACCACCGGCATCTTCCGCGCCGAGCCCGGCACCGTCAACACCATGGCCCACACCGTCACCTTTTCCCTCGACCTGCGCCACGTGAGCAACGCCGTCCTGGCTGAGATGGAAGCTGCGTGTAGAGCCAAGTTTGACGAGATTGCGGAGGGGACGGAAAGGGGCTGCGAGGTCGGCTGGGCGCTGCTGGTGGACAGCCCGGCGGTGGTGTTCCACGAGGACTGCGTGGCAGCGGTGCGGGAGAGCGCGAGGGAGGTTTGCGGGGGACTTCCCGGGGGACAGGGAAAGGAGCTGTGGAAGCCGATGATTAGTGGTGCAGGGCATGATAGTTGCTATACGAACTTGCGGTGCCCGACGAGCATGATCTTCACGCCGACGCGGGAGGGCATCAGCCACAACCCGACGGAGTACTGCTCGGCAGAGGATTGGTAAGCGTTATTTTCCTTTTGTCAAACAGACATGTCGATGTTTTTCTGAGTTTTGAAAACTAGTTGCTAACAGAAAAACAGTGCACTTGGAGCGAGTGTCTTGCTGGGTGCGGTGCTCCGATATGACAAGCTGCGTGCCGACAGGGGCGACTTTCAGCAGAACTAGATGATGTTTTCTGAATAAGCTTGAACATGACATGAGTGGAGATTACAGGATACATCAGTCGATTAAAATTGTAAAAGATGTGCTCTACAGATCGCTGGCCTTTTGGGGGGAGGGGGGGGTTTGGCACTCTAGGGGCAAAATTGCACTCATCACCCCCAGCAGAAAACATCTCACTGGCAAGTAAAGGGAAATTCGATAGTTGAGAGACGTTGTAAGAGAAAGCCACAAACATAGAATATTGATCAAGCCGTGTCCAATACTATTTGGACACTATAGTGCACTGCCGATGCCGCCCCAGTGCCTGGCTGGGTGATTGACATTGACTGACTGACTGACTTTGCGTTCCATGCACTACTCTACAATGTTAGTACACGATCAGATAAAAAGGGTCCAGATTACTGACTTTAGCACTTGCAGCCGGCAAAATTACCCTCGGTCATGCAGCAGCCGCCACCACCAGCGCATTTTGAATGAAGATTCCACTTCCCGTTGTTGCAAACATAGAGGGATCCGTGCTCGCCAGGAGCACCTTGGTGGCCGCAGGCAAATTTTCCATTTTGGCAAGCCTCGGCACCAAGGACGGTGAGGGCGAGGATGGCGAGGGCCTGGGTGAAGTACATGGTGGTTGGTTGCTGGTTGGAGGTGAAGCAGAGTTGTTGCTGGTTGTAGTTGTTGGTTGGAATTGAGGTGAGCTGTTGTCGTTGCTCTTGTGAGTGATGAGACCAAGACGGAATTTGGAAGGGAAATCTACAAGTTATATACTTTTCTTCACCTAGTTTAGAGGAGCGTCCCGTCTTTGCATCAGCGGCAAATGTCTGAGAGTCGCCGATTTCTTTCCCCTTTGCACGACCAGCCCCTTGGTTTTACGTGAAGACGCTCTTGTTTACTGCCTTGTTGGTGATGAATGGCGATTGCCTCACCAGGGTGCCGATTTCCGCCTTGTAAGACCGTCCCCGTTGTTTTAATCCGAACATTTCCTTCTCGACTATTTTGTTCGTGTCATCAACCGCGACTGCCTTGCCGATTTCCCCTTTGTACGACTAAGTCACGGCACACAAACTCCTACGAGAGATCAAAGACAGTGACGCAAGCAAGCCCTTGACCAACAAACAAGAAACAATTGTCTGCTTCTGGCGGCACACAAAATTCTGTTTACCGAGTTGCGTGTCCTTTTGAGCTGACTGACGCACGCAATGTGCCTAGGTTGTTGTCTAGTACATATTGGCCGAGGCGACTGTCAATATAATTAATACCAAACTCCAATCCTGATGATCAAAAGACTTATTCTTAGAGAAAGACGAAAATAAAACTACAAGTATAGTATTTTAAACTATATAATATATAATATAGATGAAATACAGATACCATAGTAGCTAGTCTCAAGCCCTTAATTGGGCACCACAACGTTGCTCCCCCCCTTCCTATTGTATTAGCAAAATAAAACTGTAAAAAAGAGGCTTATAAAACTACTTCCAGCGCAGGCGCAGAGGTACTTGCCGTTCTCGGACACACAGCAACGGCCCTCGCCACAGTTGTTGAAGGGCTTCCACTGTCGCCCGTCGCAAAGGTACATGGTACCGTCTGACCCGGGAGCACCCCCGGTGTTGCCACAGGCATACACTCCGGGCGGCCTGCAAACTATGTCTGCTGCTTCAACGAACGCCGAGGAAGGCGAGAGCAGCGATTTCGAGGGTCTTTGTCAAGTACATGGGGGTGGTTGATGACAGGTCGTACAGTGCTGGTGTTGAGTTGATGATGGTGATGATGAGGCTGAGCCGTTGTTGTTGTTTGATGACGATGGTGATGATGATGATGATGATGATGATGATGATGATGATGATGATGATGATGATGATGATGATGATGATGATGATGATGATGATGATGATGATGATGATGATGATGATGATGATGATGATGATGATGATGATGATGATGATGATGATGATGATGATGATGATGATGATGATGATGATGATGATGATGATGATGATGATGATGATGATGATGATGATGATGATGATGATGATGATGATGATGATGATGATGATGATGATGATGATGATGATGATGATGATGATGATGATGATGATGATGATGATGATGATGATGATGATGATGATGATGATGATGATGATGATGATGATGATGATGATGATGATGATGATGATGATGATGATGATGATGATGATGATGATGATGATGATGATGATGATGATGATGATGATGATGATGATGATGATGATGATGATGATGATGATGATGATGATGATGATGATGATGATGATGATGATGATGATGATGATGATGATGATGATGATGATGATGATTTCCAATGAGAATTCAGAGCGAAAACCTGCGACTTGTATCCTTCTCCTCGCTCGTGTCATTCTTAACTGCTTTTGTTCCTGTGATCAACGGCGACACGCCTAATAAGTTGCAGTCCTCCCCTTTTTCACCGCCATTTCACTCCCAGGAACGCGCGCTTCCTGCCAAGACTCAAAGAGTTTCCATCACCCTCCATAATAAACAAGTTTTCTACTTGTCGGCTTGAATTTCCGGGCCGGCGCCGGCGATACGCCCAGCGCGCGGTCGGTGCGGCCCCGCGGTACGACCTTGAAGTCTTTCACGGCCGAAGGTTACTTGGGTAAAACTTCCCGTTCTTGGCACTGTTTTATTAAATTAAAAAGGCCATGTGATTGTTCAAGAGCCTTGAAGTCTTGCGTGTTTGGTGAAAGCGGGCGGCAAACGCTGGCCTCAGCTTTGTGTACTTGACACAAACCATTAGGACAGCGCTTAACTTGGTTGTACTTGGTTTTGTATGCACGAAACGCTGAGAGACATTTGCCTTGGTCTGGTCCTGGCGCGGGTGAGCATTTGCCACAGGATGAAGGTGCTGTCTGACACATCAACTCTCACACTGCACTACCACTGCACACAGAAATGACAACACTTTGCTTTGGCCATGTGATTGTACACGTCACTGCCCGAATTCAATACGCGAGTCTTCCGGTAAGCGCCGTGCTCGCTTGTGCCCCCTCCCTCTCCTCACTCACTACCGTACTCTGCCACACCTACAGCCCCCTCCCCGTCCGACACCGTCTCGGACCCGACGCGCCGCTCCCGGACCCAAAACGTCACCGCCACGGTAAACACCTGCAGCGCCGCCTCAAAGAAGAACGGAAGCCCGATCCAATCACCTCCGAGCCGCAACCCCACGCGAAACACGCCAAACACCAGCGGCCCTGCCACCAGCGACCCGACCATGCGCATGAACACCACCGTCACGTACACCAGTCCCGTCCGTCCACCCCCGCCGGCGGCGGCCACGGAGGCGACGACGCTCGTCACGGCCGGCGGGTAGCACGCGTCCATGGCGTACACGGCCTGCGCGGCGACAAATTGCGCCGTGGTCCGCGACAGGCCCACAAGGAGGCTGCCGACGAGCAGCGCGAGGATGCCCAAGCGCGCGAGAAACAGGTCCTTGCCGAGGGGCGTCTTGAAGGTGAGCAGCCAGGCGCTGGCGGCGGGCACGAGCACGGCGAGGACGAGCAGGCTGACGAGGGAGACGAGGGAGATGATGGCGCCGGCCTGTTTTCGCCATGCGTTAGATTCACCTAGACAGAGAGACAGATGGGATGGGAGCTTTACCTCGGCCCAGGTCCAGCCGTACCGGTTGGTGGCGTACTGCTGCCGGATCAGGGACTGCCGTGCGCCGATGGTGCTGAAGACGAGGCTGACGAGCAGCAGGGCCAGCTGCGCGTCTCGACGAAAGAGCTGCAGGAACTCGGTGGCCGCCTGCTTGCTGGCCCTCCACGTCTTTGCAAAGGCCTGGCGGACAGATGCCGGCGCGACGGCAGCCTTCGCCACGTGCTTGGTCGTCGTCAGGCCGCTCGGCAGAGTGAACGTCAGGAGCAGGGACAGGGTCATCAGGGCCATTCCGAGGAGCTGGGCGACCACGGGGCTGGCGTTCATGGCCCAGTAGACGAGGGGCCCGCTGACGGCAAAGTTGAGCTGGACCAGGCAGGCCAAGTAGAAGAAGACGAGCGTCCTATCAAGCAGTGGAGGGAGTGTTAGTAAGAGAAGATGCCGGCCGTGGGTCGGTATGGAGACTTGCCGGTTGGCTTCGGTGGCGATGAGGCTGGCGACGGCATACTGCGTCGCCTCGAAGCCCAGCGGCCCGCCGCCGACAAGGTTGCCCAGGAACGAGGCGACCCAGATCCCACGCAAGTCGAACACGTTTGGATAAAGAGCTACCCCAGTCAGCATTCAACAAAGCATCAAGCACCGATAAGACTTACTGGTCGTCAACTCCCCCACCTGGACCAGCAACCCCCCCAGCGACACCAGCGTCGCCATCACCTTTGGCCCGCGCCTGTCCATGAACACCCCGTAGGGGATCGCCGTCGCCAGCGCCGGCACCAGCGCCCACGTCGACTCCCAGCCCATCACCATGGCCAGCCGGTCCTGCACGTCCGCCGCCTTGCACGCCCGGTCGCGGTACCGGTCCGGGCCCTTGACCTCCGGGTGCAGCTGCTGGCAGGCGGCGCCCTCGACGAGCGCGTTCATCGCCGGGTTCACCAGCGCGGCGCCTTGGATCGCGGCGACGAGGACGAGCACGCCGGACAGCAACAGGCGCCGCCGTGAGTACCCGAGGGGAGGAGGTGGCTGCTGCTGCTGCGGCTGCTGCTGCTGCTGCTGCTGCTGCTGCTGACCAACGGGGGTGGTGTCGTCGGCCAGGAGGGGTCGCTGCTCGTCGTGGCCGTCGCGTTCGGCTTCCTCAGGATGGGGGGGCATGATCGGGATTTCTCAGCTCTTTATGGGCCAGAGGGACGTGTGAGGCGGGATCAGGAACGTAGAGGAGACGCCCAGATACAAGAGATGTGCAGTGCAGCAGCATTGTGACAGAGGAGAGTCTGGCGGGTACCGATGTCGTTGCTTAGTAGCCAATTAGACGGCTACTATGACCGAGTGCATGTAACGTGACTTGAACGAGTTACTGAAATTCATAATGTTCTTCATTTCTTGTAAATACTCCAAAAAAACGCCCCTCCTAGCATAGTTCTCAGGCCGCGTCCCGCGCTTTCAAGCATACGCTCAGTATATGGTGCAACTTTGCCCATCGAAACGGCAATCATGAATCTTTATGAAGCTAAGAAATATATCAAATATTCCAATAAAATCAACTGTCCCAGGGACGCACTGCAATCAGCTGTCCAGTTTCCCGGTTCACCCTAAACATGCTCAACTGCCCGGCGTCAAGACGCAAGAGCACGTTGATGCTCTCCAAAGCTGTCGACCGGTGCGACACAATCAGCATGGTGCAGTCGGAGAATTCTTGGTCAAGGATGCCCTGAACGCGTCTCTCCGTGTCCTCGTCCATGCTCGCCGAGCCCTCGTCAACCAGGACAAGCTTGGTGTCGGTGCACTGCTTGTGTAGGATCGCGCGCGCAATCTGAAACAGCTGCTTCTCACCTTGCGACAGCTTCATGTCGACCATGTCCGCGTCAATGCCGCCGCGCGCGTCGACGAGCCACAGTAGGCCGGCGCGGTCCAGAGCGCTGAGGAGCGCATCATCGTCGACGCACTCGAAGCTGAAGGGGTTGAGGTTGAACCGTACCGAGCCTCTTAATTGAAGCCCTGACTGGGTAATTGTGGTGATGCGTTTTCGCAGCACGTCGCGAGGCACGCCTCGGACTTCTCTGTCGTCGATGCTGATGCTCCCTGAGTATTCCACAAGGGCGAGCAAACAAGATAGCAGGGATGATTTACCGCTACAAATACCGCGTAAGCAACAATTCATGAAGTTCATGGGAGTCTAATGAGCAATCGTACCTTCCAGTGCGTCCGACTATACCCACCTTGTCACCCGCGTTGATGCGGAAGGTGACATTGCTGAGAGCAGTCCTTGGCGTCTCGCTCTCTGGTCTAATTCAGTGTCAGACGTTAGCAGACTGGCCCTCTGCCGAAATCGACAGCAATGGCAAAAACATACTGATAACGCGCGCTCACACAACTAAAGTCGACCTTACCAGCCGCCGGCCATTTCTCAGACAGCGGGTGCATGCCTGTCTTGTCCCTCTCCACCGGCGTCGTCTGCGCAAACGCCCGAGTACGCGCAATGGCGCCCAGTCCCGTTTCCGTATCGACCCAGGTACCGATAAGGATGCCCATCGTTTCGCTAAACGTGATGAGACTGAGCAGCGCAAGGCCCATCGACGACGCAGTGGACGTGCCCGTGTAGTGCAGTGCCAGGCTAACGAGCACCACCGCGGCGGCCATGCTCGACATGTTCAGGACAACTTGCAGCCACTGCTGAATAGACAACATGTAGTAGAATGGCTTCTGTGCCGCGTTCAGGGTTTCGTACAGCTGCATCTTCGCATCGTGCTCCCACTGAAAAGAGCGAATGCTCGTGATGCCGGTGCTTGTCTCCGAGAAATGCGTGTATAGGAGCTTGGACATGTCGAGTTCCATATATCGAAGCTGCCGAGAGGTTTGAAGATAGTAATGCTGAATCACGGCCAGTAGCAATAGAAAGACTGGTATAATTGGGGCAGCGTACTTGGCGCCGGATGCTATAATGCCAATGTCGACCAGGACCGTCACAGCCATCCAACTGGCAGGCATGAGAGCTAGCGGAAGTCGTTGCGAAGCTATCGTGATGTCTTGGCTGAACCGGTTGAGTAGTGAACCAGTGTCTTCCTCTGTGAGAAAATCAAGCGTCGCTCTAAAGGTAGTGTCTGCAATCTTCCAGTGCAAAGCCTCGGTCGTTCGTGAGTTGACGAGGTAGAAGTAGAAGCTACCAGCTACTACATTGCACAATGGAGCTATCACGCCCAGGATAGCATATCCGAGGTAATACAATCGGCTATCGGGGTTCTTTTCCAACCATATCCGAGCGTAGATCTGGGGCATCCTCTCGGCAACCGCGGCAACGGACACTATGACAACCCACAGCACCAGTATCCAGCCGCCTGCAGGCGCCAAGAAGTACGAGTACAGCGAGAAGTCGCCGTATTTTGATGTCGGATGATATCTCGGAGCTTCTTTCGTCTTTTCCGACGACGTTTCGACGGCCGGCAGTTCCGCCTTTTCACTCGTCGACTGCTCGACAACAACCACCGGATCGGCTTCCTCCGGCTCCGGGAGGACGCTCGCTGGGAAGGACCGAGAATTGACTTCTTGGTCGGAATGCGAGAGCCACATCGCTCGGCCGCCCCGTGAGATACCAATGACATGATCGGCATCGACTAGGTGCGGAGTCATGCTGGTCGTCATGATCAGCGTCGTCCCGCTCGATCGCAGGATGCCCGTTCCTCCAAAGAGACGTACCCGCACCGTCGACGAGGTATCTACATCCAGCGAGCTAAAGACATCGTCCAAGAGGAGGATCTCAGCCTTGGCGTACAGCGCGCGGGCGAGGGAGATACGCTGCTTCTGGCCGCCGCTCAGGTTGCACCCGTCGCTGCCGACGATGGTGTCGACTCCGTTGGGAAACGCTGCCAGGTCCACGTTCAAAGCACAGATCCATAGAACCCTGTCCAGCCAGGCTTCGTTGTGCGGATTTGGCCCGACAATGTTGGCTTTGATAGAAGCGTTTCGGATAAAGGGTGTCTGGCTGCAATAAGCAATCGACTTTGTGAGAACGGACACCACGCCCTCTCGGACCGGTGCCTCACCAATAAGTGTCTTCAACAGAGTGGTTTTGCCACACCCAACAGTGCCATAGATCATCGTCTTCCTGTGAGCGGGAAAGTTCAACGAAACATCCACGAGAACTGGAGAGGATGTGTCGTATGTGACTGCGACGTTGAACATCTGGGCGGCAAACTGTATGCGACGACTCCGGCGCCGGCTCCGGCTCCGCCTCCCTCCTTGAACGGCAGCTCCAGTAGAAGATGCCGTGGCTGTACTGGTGCGCGACGACAGACCGGGCTCATCTATGAGCTCGCGGTAGTCTTTCATTTCATCCTGCAGGAGATAGGATTGGATCCGCGCGAGTGAAGCAAAGCCGGCCGACCAATATCCAAGGTTTCCCAGGAGCGCTGATACTGGGGCTGTCACCATGACGACAAGCGCAAGGATACCGAAGAACTCGGCTGCTGACAGCTGCTCTGTCCGCCGTGTCCAAAAGATGGTGGCTGCAATAACCACGGTCGGGGTCACAGTTTCAACAAAGGCGGCCATGGCCATGGTGATTGACCAGGTAGCTCTGTCAGCCATAGACACCGAAATCTCTGCGCGCTGCTTTTCCTGCAGGCGCTCTGCCATGATCGGCCCCAGACCGAGCATCTTGATATCCTTGAGTTGTGCCAACGCATTGGACGTATGAGCAACACGATCCTGAATTTGCTGGTTCCACACTTTGCGAGTTGTATGCATGACTTTGGAGAGGCGAGTTGAGACCAGGGAGACGAGGATCGCAGGTATCAAAGTGAAGACGCAAGACGGGCCGATCAGGCGGCCAAGAACAGCAATGCCGGCAGCCACTTCCAGTATACGAGCCCAAAACTCGTATGAGAGTGAAACCAGCATTTCGACGGCGTTGACGTCGGTACTCATCAGCGTAAGAGCGGCCGACTTGCTGGCCTCATCGGCGCTGAGTCTCATCGACTTGTTGTATACGGCGCTGATCAACATGGCACGAATTCCAAGGGTTATTTTGTTCTTGATGTAACGATACCAAGAAGAGCACACAGTTCTGCCCCCGTACACAAGGGCGGTTGCGCCTATGAGGGCATTCACAACATCGGTTGTCGGGTTGCCCAAGCCGACCTTGCGAACGATTTCCCACAACAAAAATGGTTGAGCGTAGTTGAAGGCAATGACAAGAAGTCGGGGCAGTATAATGGAGATGAACATCCAGGGGATAGTGTGAATGCATGTATAGAGCAATGCAAACATGGACTTGTGGTTGGCGTTTGCCCACCGCCGGGAGAAGTCGTTGTACAGCTTTTCCGGCTCAAACTGTGGATCGAGAGCTGCGAGGTCTCGGGTGGAAAGATCACCTCGAAATCCGATGAGTAGAGTCGAGTTGATCCATAGAAACAAGGACTTGTTCCAGAAGCCGGCGAATGCTTCTCGCCCGAGAGAAGAGCGTAGTTGCTCCGGCATCAGAGACCTCTTGGACACCTCCTCGAGGATGAGCAGTGCAAACTTGAGAACCGGAATGGGTGCATGTAATCGGCCGAGCAGGTGGAGGCCAGTTCGGTTAAAGTATGTCCGGGTGATGGCAGCATCGCAGAGCAGCGTCGTGGTCAAGAAGAGGCTCAAGAAGGAGGGCGAGCGAACAAAGTATCGGTGACCGACGTAGAGCATCAAAAAGATGCACGTAGCAGCCACGCAAGAGAGGATGGAGGAAACCCTAGCCAAGGTTGAATCGAGCGGCTGCTCCCACCAAAGCACGGCGCTGGCTACTTGGAGCGCTCCGAGCGCAACTGCCAGCGCCAGCTTCATCCACAGGAGCCATCCCAGGCGAGCGCATATCAGCTTGGAGCGGGAAGCTGTATAGATGTAGAATGGGGAGGAAAAGATGATGATGCCAGCGGGGACAATCTCGAACATGCTATGCTCGAAGAGCAGGGTGAAGTCGAAGTAGCCAAAGAGGCTTGGGCCAAATGAATCATCCATTTGTAGAGGCGCGAGGTGCCACAAGCCACCCAAGCTCTGTGGCGTTTTAGCCACAACCCAAGTTTCTGTCGAGATGGGGTGATGAGAGGGGAAGAAGAGGAGGAGGAGGAAAAGAGGCGACGTTTGTCACGGGAAGCTGGCAAAGATGGCAGTGGCCTTTGACTTAAAATGCTTTCCACTCGGCATTGGCTCTCAGGCTGCAAGGCGGAAGAAGAGACCCCCGAGGCAGAGCAGGTACAGCAGGTACAGCAGGTACAGCAGGTACAGTACCCAACGGCCATGTAAACAAAATGCATCCAACAGCCAACATTGCGGGACGACTTGAGATGAAGAAGCGGGGGCGAGATCGAAACGATTGGGGGGACGGTTGGTGGCGTTGGCGTTTGCTGTCTGACTTGCCTTTCTGGTTTAAAGAACCAGTGTACGGATAGGCTAATAACGAATAGCTACCAAGTTAGTTAACTAGTTAGGTACTAACCTACTGTAGTATCCGTAGGTGTTTTGTGCATACTAGATTAGTAGTACATACTGTAAATGGATTCTCCGCTGTCACCTGGTGGCGGCAGCCATCGACCGCCGAGGCCCTTGCGGGAGTGGAGCGGGTGCTTCCGAGCGGCCAGGGGATCACTGTCAGGAGCACTAGCAGGGTTATTGGGGCGGGGTACAGCCACTACAACCGCTACTGCCACTAAAAACACCACAACCGCTGCCAGTGTAAGAGAAGCCGCGACAACTTGATATTACAACTAGTAAGCAAAAAAAAAAAAAGAAAAAAAAAGAAATCGAATCCCCTGTCAAAACAAGTGCTCACTCGCTGGGCTGGGCTGGGCTGGGCTGATCCACGGCTACTAGTACTCCGTACAGAAAGTGAGACTCGGCATGATTGGTGGTGGGCGGCTATGTATCAGCAACCAAAGTACCACCATCAGCAGAGCTTGCGCGTTGCATGCGCCAGTAGGGTGTGGTTGTGTGTGTCACCAAGCTGCAAGTTGGCACAGAACTCACCGGATTGCCCAACTGCGTGCGGGGAAAGAACGAGCAGCTGCTCTTTCATTCCAGCTGACGATACTCGGACGGACAGGCGGCAAGGGGGAGGGAGAGACAGTGCGATAACCCGTCCCGTCCCCTCCCGTCCCCTCCTTTCCCAGTCCAGACACGACTGCGTTTGCACAATGTTAAGACCTTGAATTTGTACATGCAAGTACACGGTATTTATTCTGCTAGATTATTGGCCAGCTGCAAGGCCATGCACTGCAAGACTAGCAACACCTCGCAGAGGTTCCAACAGATTCTTCTATTAAGAACTGCTGCCCAAACCCAACGCGACTTCGTTCATGTCCCGCGACCCATTACATCTGCCGAACCAGAAGAAGGCACTTCCTCTTGATAAACTCGCACATAGTCGCTGCTCCCCGCCAGCATGCCACCTCGTAATAGCAGGTCACCGCGGTTTGGTGTGGGTGATGATGCCACTGTATCCCGAGTCAGCAGCTTTACGACAGGACCGGTCACTCCGTTTCTTTTCCTTTTTTACTTAGTTTATCATTGGTGACTTACCAGGTAAAGCAAGAGCGCAATCCAGCGTCAACAAGACGCAAACTGCAAGGCGCTGTAGGAACATGATGGCGATGTGATGGTGTATGTGTGTAACAGGCGCGGGGTAATAGTAAGGGTCAAGAACGGCTTCGCAGGATGTCTTATCATCTTAAATACTGCCAACAATAGCGCCACAGCGCTCTCACCGTCCGATACGCACCCTAGCACCCCCAGCATGGTCAACCGTGTCCCCTTGACCATAACACCCCGTGCCGTCTTTTACCCACCCAAGATCTCCGTTGCGATTGGTTGCATGGACGCGGGCTTCTTGCCCGAAGGATCGAGATGCATGTACGCACATAGATTGGTATGTCGAAGCCAACTAATAATCACCAGGTACTTTTGCTAGCGGGTGGAGATATCGTAATACGTGGGCTTGTTCCTACTTTCGGTGGGTGTGGCGACTGTTCTCTTCCTTCCTCATTGTTACGTTGTCTGTCCTGTTCTTGCTTTCCGAACCGTTGCGAGTCAAGGAGCAAGCAGGGCATACAAACCTGCTTCTGCATCCACAGCAGACTATGGCATGGCTTTGAGAAACCCGGGTTGCGATGCAGAATGCAATCGTTCTGCTCTACAGTACATTCCCATACGTTTAAGATCCCCACTGATTGAACCCCAGCCTTTGCCCAGAAGAGCAGGTTCCATCAACACAGACTGAAAAGGGACGAGTTGCCGAGTTCCACGCGCCGGCTTCAACCCTTCCGCATCTCTAGTTCTGCAAATCATCTGCAGCTACTTGCAAGAGCTCGAGGTCAAAGAAACTGCGCCCCGAACCGCCATCCGCCAACCAGCTCAGTGGTAGTCGGTCCGAGCCTGCGCGGTTGTGCTCGTCAGAGCTAGTGCAGGCAGCCGCCGGAAAGCACCTACGAATAGGCAACGTAGCAGACAACAGTAACAGGTCAAGTTTCCAAGTTTCCAAGTTTGTGTAGGCCGATTACTGTTACGATGACGAGCATGGCGGTGTCGCTCTTCCCAACCTCTGCAGCAAGCAGCTTGCCAGTATGCTGATTAAGCAAAATCGTGTAAACACATCATGAGCGAATCATGCAATGCCAAAATATTCAGAAAGCCCATTGTCCTCTACAGCCAACGATGTAGGCAAACCGCATCTATGCTGTGCTGCCTATTTTCTCAGAAATGAGCGTCACTCATCTGCAAGCAAAACCCGCTGGCTCATTCGTCCAGCAAACCGCTGTCCAGAACCTCGTCAAAGTTCCTCGCCCATACCAACCTCCTCTCCTCTCCCTCGAAATCCCCCTCCCCAACATGCCGCACGTCGAATCCCAGCCTCCGCAGGGTCGCCAGCAATGAGCCGCCGCCGCCCTCGTCCGTCAGCACCACCCCGCGACGCGCCTCCAGCAGGCACTGCAAGTCCGTCGTCGAGTCGCCAAAGTACATCGCCTCCTCCTGACTCCTCCTCCTCCCCGCCAGCACCGCCCGCATCGCGCGCGCCTTGTCCGGCGCACACACGAGCAGCTCGCCCGCGAGCGCCTCCGGTCCGCAGATCACGCCGTCCTCGGCGCTCGTGCCGTTCGCCGCCACCACGTCCTCCTCCTCCCGCAGCACGCTCCCCGCCACCCCGCGGATAAACTCCGCCGACCAGTTCACCGAGACCACGCTCACCGGCCAGCCCCTGTCCCTCGCGACGCCCGCCACGCGCGCGAAGCCCGGTCGCAGCGCCACGGTCCGCGACCGTGGTCCGCGCGGCCTCGGGGGGGCGGAAGCCGGCACGGTACGCGTCGTAGTCGGCGAGGTACGCCCGGAGGAGCGCGTCCCACGCGGGCTGCAGGTCGATCCCGCCGCCGCGGCGTTTTTGGGCGGCGATGGCGGCGGCGGCGAGGGGGCCGATGGTGTCAGCGGTCGTGATGGTGCCGTCAAAGTCGAAGATGAGATGCATCTTGGGCAGCCGCTGGAGATGGGCGCGCAGCATTGCTGTGGGTTGTAAGGTGGGCAAAGATGGGGCTGGGGCGGGCTACGACGGACGCTTTTCAGTATCGCAATAATGATATCGCCACTTGCCAACCGTTTCGCGAAATTGTTTTTCAGAAACTAAAAAAAAATCTAGATCATAAAAATAACCCTAGACGCCATACTCCAATGCAGCTTTTTTTTTGTGATCCTTTACCCGTTGTGCAAGAACCCATCACGCAAGAACAACATCCTCCATGTCCTCAGGCTCGTCATCGTCGCCGTCGTCGACCGTCTCGGCAGCGGCCTCGCGCGATTCGTTACCGGCCTTGTCGCGGTAGGCTTCGCTCAGGCAGTAGTGGTTTGCAAAGGGTCCGGACTTGTTGAGCACGGCGACCTCCTCGAGGACCTGGCGCAAATACGAGTCGGGCTGCTGGGTGCGCTGGCGGAGCGCCTTCATAGACCAGTACTGGTATTGACGGAAGCAGTCGAAGATGAGATCGAGAAGCTGGTTCTTGGGAATGCGGGCGGCCTTGAGAATCTCGCCCTTCTTGGGCTTGACGAGAGAAGGAGTATTTTTCTGTGGGAGTTAGACGGTATATATTACCAGTAAGAGAGAGAGAATGCGTACGATAAAGTTACCAGCCCATCCAACGGCACCGGCCGTACCAGGATTAATGATGGATGTTGCCGTGTTTCTACTGATAATCTGGAGCTTGGCTCTCGAGTTTTCGGCTTGGTAGAGCTGCTGCCCGAGGTATCGTTCTTCTTCCCCAGTGTTTCGCGGTTCCACGCGAACATCATAATGAATCTTGCCGTATATCTTTGTTTTTTCTGCACGTCATCAGTCAGCAGCCGCGCTTCTTCAACCGCGAAGCCAGCACAGGAATAAACTCACTAGGAATCGCCTTGCGATAGTACGGCTGGAAGCGGCTTTTGCGGTCAAACGTGTGCCGTTGCGGCGCGCCGCTGCCACCAGCACCACTCGCCGCCGCTTCCCTCTGCCGTAGAATGTGCGCGGGGATGCCGGCGTTGAGCTGGTCCTGGCGCTCCTTGTTCTTGGTCTTGTAGCTGGGCAGGTCCTCCTCGGTGAAGATGAAGTGGTTGTGGACCTCGCGATCGAGGACGTCGAGGTCGTATTCGCGGGGCAGGGTGTGGTGCTCGCCACAGCCCGGGTCGAGCAGCATGCGCAGCTTGGTGTTCTCGGGGCCGATGTTACCGTCCTCGTCGCGCTGGCCGGGCTCGTTCCAGGTGCGCAGCGTACCGATCTGGATCTCCTCCTCGTCGCCGAGGCGGTCGCTGAGCTTCTGCCACGCCTCCCACATGTAACGGGGGATGCGCGCGAGATAGAGCGTCTCAAACGTTGGGCCCTGAGATTTGTCGTAGAACTCGAGGTCGCCCGCGTCCTCGTACAAGTCTTCCTCGTCAATTGGGGCGGGCTCCGTCCCGGGCTCGGGCTTGACGAAGCCTGTGTCGGCCATGCTGTCGATGGGACCAAAGAATGCTCGCGGAAGCGTGATTCGGTGCGTCTAGATGCGCGGTGCGAGTGCGTTCTAGCAAAGCGCGCGATGAATCGTGATGCGCGCGGTTGGTTGGAGATGAAGAGCTGCTGAGGCTGAGTGTGACGCAAAAGGTCAAGCGGATATTACTGGCAGAGAATCCTTAGTAGCGCCTGCGCCCTACCAGCCACAGTGCCTCAGTAGGTACAGCCACTGTACCTAAAAGGAGAGGCAGGCCTGAGGAACTAACTCGTACATAAAACAGAATTTGTGCTATCAAATTGCTCAAATTCCCCCTTTTTTTTCCCTCCGGTTATTCTTGCGCGGTTTTGAAGCTCGGCAAGACATTTTATACCAAATGCTAGTTGTCCGGTGATGGTGCAAGTTACATCAATGTATACAACAAATGGCTCCTCACAAATTGCGATCTGACACCCAGAACCTGGAACAAAGAAGGACAAAATGGAAGAAAGCGACAGGGTACATATAACTGAGCGAGACATGAAGCTGATTGAAGTTCCGCGGGTGATGGGCTTGTTCTGTCGATACGGCCTCTGATGGCAAGGCCAGACAACACTGGGATGCTTTTTGTCTAGTATCCTATCGTCTGAAAGCAGGCTTGGTTGATTTGTTTTAACGTAAATAGGTACAATTGGCCACAGTCTAGATATAAACCAACATTAAGCCAGACAGATGCCAAGTCTTGACTGAATGAATAGCTGTTGGGAAATTGACTTCCTCTGCACCACTTCTTACAGTGGCGAGAAGGAAAGTCGTTTGATTTCATGGTGTATGTATGCATGCATGTACGAACGAAATGTTTCTGGAGCAACAGGCGTCCGATCTACCAGCTCGTGCCAAAACAAGTTTATTAGGCGCCCCTGAGCTCGGACCAATCAGAAGCTGCGCAAAGCTCAGCTGCCAACAAAGCAATGCGCTACATCGCGATTGGGGCCCCCGTAAAACTGTAAAAACGAACTGTTTGGCGTTTCGTAAATTCGATTATATGTAGGCCGTCCAAGCTTTTTTTTTTTTAAACTCGTCCCAGAAATCATGGTTTAGCGTCAAGCCAGCGCAACTTGGCTCCCTCCTTGTAGCAACTTTAACTAATAATAACGCCCTCCCCAGTGTTGGGCATTAGCAAGGACGCCCAGTTACATCATCACCAGCTGCCACCTTTCTTGGCATTGTTTTGGTCGCTCGTTCCTGAAGATCCTTGCATCCTCCCTTCTCTCCCTCGATACCCCGTTCTTACTCTCTGCTCATCTTCCCGGGCTTTCCTGCTTGAGCTCCCCCATACTTGCGCCGACCTCAATCGCTCCTGCAGCGCCGGCGACAAGCTCATTGAGCAAGCTTTCCGTCACCATCATCACCCTCCCTCCCTCGCCATGGCCAGCACTCAGCCACAGGCCGCGCAGCCGCCCGCCGCCCACGCCCACGGCACGCCTCAGAACCCGTACTCATCCGCGAGCCGCTGGCGTCACCAGGAGTCCTCCTCCTTCTCCCGCCATGCGCGCGCGCATCAGCAACACCCGGACGCCACCACCGCGCAGGCGCAAATCGACGCCGCCGCGCCCCAGGGCCAACGCTTCAACGGCGAGGAGCCCGTGTCCGACGGCGACGCCGGCGAGGTCGTGTGCGGTCCGCTGCTCAACTACTGTCGCATGCAGGACGGTCACTGGGAGGGCAGCGTGCTCGTCGTCCTCAACGGCGGCGGTCAGGAGCAACAGGGCCCGGCCCCGACGCTGAGCCTGCAGCGACTCGGCGCGCGCGGCCAGGCCGCTGCCGAGGCTGCTGCCGCTGGCGAACCCGCGAGCCAGATCCCCGGCGTTCGCCTCTACTCGGACCCCCGCAGCACCTTCTGGTGCTTCCACGTCAGCGTGCCCATGGAGTCCGCCGAGATTCAGTACGCCTACGAGCTTCCCGGCCTGCGCTTCGTCAGCGCCGACAAGCCGCAGGTTAACCGCTTCTCGATCCCCGCCGCCGGCGAGTCCATGCGCCTGATGTTCCACTCCTGCAACGGCTTCAGCGTCGGCACCGACGAGGAGGCATACAGCGGGACGCCCCTCTGGAAGGACGTACTGCGCAAGCACCAGGCAGCCCCCTTTCACGCCATGCTCGGCGGCGGCGACCAGATCTACAACGACGGCATCCGCGTCAGTGGTCCGCTGCGCCCTTGGACCGACATCTCGAACCCCAAAAAGAGACGCGACTTTCCCTTTTCCGAAACGCTACGGTCCGAATGCGACGACTATTACCTCAAGAATTACCTTCGCTGGTATAATACTGCGCCGTTTGCCATCGCCAATGGCCAGATTCCCCAGATCAACATCTGGGACGACCACGACGTAGGTGCCATATTCAAAAAGTGAATCATGTCTCGAGGGCTAAAAGGTGCAATGTAGATCATTGACGGTTTTGGATCCTATGTCAACGACTTCATGACTTGCGACGTCTTCCGCGGCATTGGCGGTACCGCGCACAAGTACTACATGCTCTTCCAGCACCACCTTGCGCCACCCGTCTCGACGTATACATCCGGTAAGACTCTCGGCTCCCATGACAGTGAGGCAACGCTGACAGTGCAGATTTTCGTGGTGAGGGAACTAATCCGGCGCAGCAGGTGGACACGTTTGTCGCTGAGCAGAGCCCGGGTTCGCAATACATTATCGGCGCAAAGCCGGGTCCGTATGTTGCTGAGCGATCATTCAACATGTATGCGCGCCTCGGTGCTCGCATGGCTATGCTTGGAATAGATGCACGAACGGAGCGCACGCGCCACCAGGTCAACTATCCCGAGACATACCAACTGCTGTACCAGCGTCTGCGTGATGAGCTTCAAGCAGCCGCCAGCTCAGAGCAGCCCATTGACCATCTGATCCTGCTGCTTGGTATTCCCATCGCATATCCGGTTCGTACACCTCCTCCAAACTCTGTTTAGCCAAGCTAACCAGTCAGCGTCTCACCTGGTTGGAAAATATTCTGCGAAGCCCGATCATTGGACCTATCAAGTTTATGAGTCGGCGGTTCGGAATCGGCGGCGGTCTGTTCAACCATTTCGACGGCAGCGTCGACCTCCTCGACGATCTCGACGACCACTACACAGCCAAGACGCACAAGATTGAACGTCGTGAGCTCATCGAGGGCATGCAAAAGATTGCGGCGGAATACAACGTGCGCATCACAATCCTGGGCGGCGACGTACACCTGGCGGCGCTCGGTCGCTTCTACTCGAACCCCAAGCTCAAGATTCCTGTAGAGGAGGACCACCGGTACATGGCCAACATTGTGTCGTCGGCCATCGTGAACAAGCCGCCGCCGCAGACCGTCGCCAACCTGCTCGCGCGGCGCAACAAGATTCACCACCTGAACCAGCAGACGGACGAGACCATGCTGGACCTGTTTGACCGGGACCCCGGCAGCACGCCCAAGACGGCCGGGCACAACAAGTGCACGATGCCGAGCCGCAACTTTGCCATGATTGCTGAGAATTCGCCCAACAACCCGGCGCTGGCGACGACCAACGGCGAGACGGAGACGACGAGCTTTGTGGGCAAGGGCGGCCACGCGCAGATGCATAAGGGCGAGGTCGGCGCCGGGACGGAGCACAGGGCGGCAACCGACGCGTTTGGGCAGGGCAACGACGGCAGCCTGGACATTCGCATCAACGTGGAGAAGGACCAGCACAACGCCGAGGGGCCCACGCAGGCGTACGGTCTGACGGTGCCGGTGCTACGCAAAACGGCGGCGGCAGGGGTTGTGCAATAACCGTCATGTCATGCCCCCTGTAAAGAGTAATTATGCAGGGCCGATCGAAAGATGACGCTAGCCCTTGTGACCTGGGTAGATTTTTTTGCATGGCGGCCGGAGGTGGTGTCCGGGTCGGCGAGGGCTTCCGGGCGGGCCCTGGCTGTTTGGGCTGTGTTGGTGTGGGTTGTGGGAGTTTGCTTTGATACCTTGACCAATGATCCATATTCTTTGTCCTGTCGCTAGTTACATATTGTTCTACCTTAAATAATTGGCTGTAAATTACTACTAGGTAAATAAACAAGTGTGAATGCTCGGTGTCGATGCACTACGCTGTACTCCGTAATAGGTAGCCAGCCACTGCTGTATCGCCATAGCTTTATCAAGTGTGCGCTATGCCAACTCACATCCCAAGATATTGGCTCTGCGATGTCGATTGATTTCATTACCCTATCGTTCTTTCATCCTCGAAGCATCCACCCACATCCTTACCTCCCATTCATTCTATTACCCTATTTTTCAATCATTCTGACATCGTGTCGGGTGGCTGCGGCGGGCTAGGCGTTCCGGGGTGGGGACCGAGACCGGCCGTTCCCCAGCCATTCGCCCTTTGGCGCTGAAACCTTGTGCCAGCTTACAGGGATTCAGGGGGCTTTCAGCGGTCTTGAGTCTCCAAACTCCCCCAAATCTCCAAAATACAGCGCTCCGGCCTGGGTCCCGCCCCGCTTTCGAACCCCCGCAACGTGTTGCTGGACCGTGCTAAGCCGGTCCACCAACAGTCCTCTGTACTTTTTTTTGGCAGCTCTACCCCCAGCTCCCCAAACTTGCTAGGGTGGCGATGTCGGGTGGCACTTACGAGAGTAAAACATTGCGCTTCCGACATACATCACCCCCAGCGTATCCCTTTTTCTCCTCCCTCCACATCATCTTTTTGTGCATCCTCCTTCCAATTGTCGAGATCTTTGTTGATTTCTTCACACAACTCTACAGACATGATGCAATCCGCCGTCTTCCGCAAGGCCGGCCTCCGCGTGGCTGGCCGCGCCGTCCAGGCTCGCTCCGTTGCCTCGATGGCCTCGTTCAAGTCGCCTGCCGTCTACAACGAGCCCAACGTACGTCAATCGATTGGCCTCTCATCGGATGCTTGCTAATCCCCCCTCTCTAGCACCACTATGTCAAGGGCTCTGCCCAGCGCGCCGGCCTGACTGCTGCTCTCGAAAAGATGCAAAAGTCGCTGCCCTTGGACGTTCCCGTCGTCGTCAACGGCAAGGAGGTGCGTTTTATAGAACCGCCCGCAGAGCTCCCTGGCCTCATACTGACCCGTTGCAGATCCGATCGTCCACCCTCTCCACCCAGAACAACCCCTCCGACCACGCCAGCGTCGTGGCCAACTACCACACGGCCACCAACGCCGACGTCAACAAGGCCATCGAGGCCGCCCTCGCCGCCAAGCCCGCCTGGGAGAACCTCCCGTTTGCCGACCGCGCCGCCATCTTCCTCAAGGCTGCCGACCTCGTTGCCAACAAGTACCGCTACGACATCATGGCTGCCACCATGCTCGGCCAGGGCAAGAACGCCTGGCAGGCCGAGATTGACGCCGCCGCCGAACTGGCCGACTTCTTCCGCTTCGCCGTCCACTATGCCAACGAGCTCTACAACGAGCAGCCCGTCCACAACACCAACGGTGTCTGGAACCGCCTCGAGTACCGCCCTCTTGAGGGTTTCGTATACGCCGTCTCCCCTTTCAACTTCACCGCCATCTCCGGTAACCTCGTCGGCACCCCCGCTCTGATGGGCAACGTCGTCCTGTGGAAGCCCTCCGATTCCGCCATTGCCTCCAACTGGCTCGTTTACCAGATCCTGCTCGAGGCCGGTCTCCCCAAGGACGTCATTCAGTTCATCCCGGGCAACCCCGGGGAGATCACCAAGACCGTCCTCGCCCACAGGGAGTTTGCTTCCCTGCACTACACCGGCTCCACCGCCGTCTTCCGCAAGCTGTACGGCGCCATCGGCCAGGGCGTTGGCGAGGGCCGCTACCGCTCGTACCCCCGCATCGTCGGTGAAACTGGTGGCAAGAATTTCCACCTTGTCCACCAGACTGCTGATGTCCACAACGCCGCCATTCAGACCGTGCGTGGCGCTTTCGAGTACCAGGGCCAGAAGTGCTCCGCCACTTCGCGTCTGTACGTCGCCAAGTCTGTCTGGCCCGAGTTCAAGAAGATTCTCGTCGAGGAGACCGAGAAGCTCAAGCAGGGCGTCCCGACGGACCACACCAACTTTGTCGGCCCCGTCATCCACGCGGCCTCCTTCAAGAAGCTGTCCGGCGCCATTGACCAGGCCAAGACGGACAAGGAACTCGAGCTCGTCACTGGTGGCTCGTACGACAGCTCCAAGGGCTACTTTGTCAAGCCGACCGTCTACCAGACGACCAACCCCACCCACAGCTTCCTCAAGACCGAGTTCTTCGGCCCCATCATCACCGCCTACGTCTACGACGACGCGGCGCCCGACGCGCTGGCCAAGGTCTGCGAGCTCGTCGACACGACGACCGAGTACGGGCTGACGGGCTCCATCTTCGCGGCCGACCGCACCATCATCCGCGAGGTTGAGGAGCGTCTGCGCAACGCGGCGGGCAACTTTTACGTCAACTGCAAGAGCACCGGCGCCGTGGTCGGCCAGCAGGCCTTTGGCGGCGCGCGTGCCTCGGGCACCGATGACAAGGCCGGCAGCAGCCACATCATCACCCGCTTTACCAACATTCGCATCATCAAGGAGGAGTTTAACGCGACGACGAAGGTCGAGTACCCGTCCAACGAGGCGTAGATTTACAAAAAAAGGATTTAAATACCAGATGTATTATGAGCACTAGCGTATGCAGCTTAATTAATTGCAGTTGAATGCCACTTGATGTACCATGTGCTAGGATATACTAGGCTGTGCGTGTGTAAATATATTAGTATACTTGTAGCAATCATAGAGCAATATATTGGCACCAAGTGTATTCCGATACTTGACTAGCGATGGAGAAACGAAGCAAACTTTTATAACGTATCAACGCAGGCTAAACTATGGTATATGGAGTAACAAAATCTGCAGGCCCAGCTGTAGCCAGGCTATCCTGGTATATCGTATCGACATCATGACACCAAAACGTCCCTCATCAGCCGCCCACTCTCCTACCACCAGCCGCCACCGCAGCCCCTTTTTCGTCACGGGGGCACCGACGCGCCGTACAGGTGCCCCGGGTATATCCGCGGGGGCCTCGCATAGTTGTTGGGCCCCGATATGAGGCGCTGGTGTCCGAGGGTGTTGTACAGCTCCGGCAGGGCACCGACGTGCGCGTACATCCAGCCGGTGTAGTACCTGTCGCAGCCGTCCACGGGCAGCAACCCGGGCTCGCCCTCGCCGCCCTCCGGGCAGTTCTTGTCGATGAGGGCGCAGGCGAGGTACTGCATGGGCCCGTTGCGGTCGAGGCGCAGCCAGTCGTCGAACGCGGCGAGCGTGCGCAGGCAGCGGCCGTCGACGTACACGCAGTACATGAAGCGCGGGACGTGCGACTCGATGAAAGGCCCGTCGGCGCCGGGCCCGTCGCGGCGTGGGTGCCGCGCGGCGGCCCACGCGGCGAAGTGCCGCCGGACGGTCTCGGTGGACGCGCCCTCGAGGCTCGGGTCCTCCATGACGGTCCACTCCAGGTAGGGGGCGAGCTGCCGCCCGGAGGTGTCGAGGGTGGCGTTGGCGCCGGCGCCGGTGCCGGGGAGGCGCGGGGTGGCGGCGAGGGCGGAGTGCACCTCCTGCTTCATGTGCCGCACGTAGCGCTGCCAGAGGGGCTCGTCGGCGTAGGCGCAGCCGCGGTAGATGACGAAGCCCCAGGCGTGGAAGCCCGTCTGCTGCATGGTGTGCAGCACGTGGCCGAGGCGGCCGGCGGGCGGGCCGCCGCCGGCCGCGGAGGAGGAGGCTATGGTGGCGGAGGATACGGAGGAGGAGGCGGATGGGGAGTTGTGGTGGTGGCCGGGGTGGGAGGAGGAGCTGCCGCCGCCGTACTGCGGCGGCGACGTCGAGCCGGGCGGATAATGGTGGTGGTGGTGGTGTTGGTGCTGCGACGGGTGATGCGACGGCTGCAGAGCAGCAGCAGCAGGAACAGGGACCTGGTAGCCGCCGTGGGGGGTGGTTGGCGGCGCTGGCATGCCGCCCTGCGCTCCGACGGCTGGCATCTGCGTGGCGCCGTCCTGCGGCTGCGCGGCAAGATCGGGACGCATCATATGCGAATCCATCTTTCGCATCAACGCCTTCGCTCTCTTGGTTTTCTTAAGCGACGGAGGAGAAGGGCGATGCGGAGACTAGTTGGGTTCTCTTGGGGTGGCGGGGTATGAACACCCCCTCTCTTTGAGGAGGAATTGCGCCGGGCAAAAACAAACAGGCCAAAAGGGTCGCACAATGCGTTGGCGGCGCTTCAAAGCTTGGCCCAAACACACAAGGGGGGAAAGCAGCCCGATTTTCGGGCTGTTTCTTGTGGTTGGGCTCCTGAACTACTTTTTTTTTTGGCTTTCCCTTCTCGGAGGAGACTCCGACGGTGTGGTTGGACGTGGGCTAAAAAAATTATGGTTATGTCAATGGAGGATCGCGCAAGGTTCGCACTGCCTTGGGCAATAGGCTATATCCGCGGCGGGGTCGTTTCTTCCGACACATAGGTACCCGAGGTGTGTTGGTGATGGCGTTTGTGTTGTTTTGTATCTTGTGCGCGCCTCGCTGGCCTTTACGGGATGAGATGATGCGATTCAAATTAATAAAGTCTCGCTGTTTTGCTGCTTAGGTCCTGGTGGATATTCTTGGCTTCGGCCCATCTCGGAGCGCAATCACGTGCGGATCTTGGGGGCAACTCGCGGTCCGGCAACAAACGAGTTTAGCCACGATCGATGGGCGATCTAGGACGCGTCGCCCGGTATATTCGGGACGGCTTATGTTTAACGTTGCTGTGCGTGTGCCGCCTTGAATAACCGCCAGAGTTATATACCGTGTATTATAAGGTATAACGGAGTGCTTAGCGGTGGATAGAGTGACATGTTCATGCGAGTCAGACAACTGACTGCGAGGCCAAGCCCCCCGGTCTACGTAAAGGTACCCACGAATCGGTGCGGGTGACGGAGAGCGATCGTGCATGATGGAGCACTCTGCTTCTGTCGTAAAGATGTGACATGACATGGTAGGCCTCACATGGCTGAAGACATCAGATGCTGTCAATTCGACGGATAGTCTAGGGTAGGTGGTGACGAACAAGCCTGTCAGTCAGTTCAGCATGCGCCATTTTCTTTGCAGCACGCGAAACGAAAGGGGTTTGTCAGTTCAGTCATGGAGCCGGATATGCTCGGGAAAGATTCCCAAACCTACAGTGAGACGCAAGGCAGGCGAGATGATGTTTCAAATGTAGGTGAAACCGTAGGCATACGCGCGAAGCTAATCAACGGTGACCGTTTGCTGGGGCAGGCAGTGGGTGCATAGCACGTTTGGCTTTACGTGATGGCGTAGTTGGGACTGACCAATGCCGGCAAGGTGGATTGCATCGTGGGCGATGGGAAAGCAAGCACGAGACTAACCAGGTCCAGGACGTCAACGTCGTCGAGTACATATGGGTCCAAGGACAAGGTGCTGGGAGGGGAATATGTCGAGGATACGAATGATTACGTAGCAGTCGTTCTTGATTTACGGGCAAGGTTAGTCTAGTTGCTTGGTAGCCTGTTATCATCAGGCGACGGGGAAATGAGCAAGCCAGTCTCCAAAATGCAAATAATTGTCCACTAAAATTATTGGTATACTGGTAGGCCCCGGGCAAATCTGTGATTCTCATCGGAGAGATGTTAGAGAGGGGAAAACAGGGTCAAAGTGGACTGGCGGACTGACTGCCGCCCACGTTCCTCCACGGTGGAGGTGGGAAGCTATTATCGTGCATCTATATGGAGGGTGAGGGTGAGGGTGAATGGTATTAGTATTCAACCACGAAAAGAAATAGGAGATGATTACGGATAGATAGGTAGATGATGATGGATGGCTTGACTGCCGACGACCAAGCACATGCTTCTTGGAAACACAGCCACATCAGTTTGTTGAGCTAAAAAAGCCGACTTGCCAGCTAGATCACTAGTTTGTAGTTTTCCATGAGACAAGGGGCAGACGCATGAATACCAAAGAGACGAGCACACGAGCAACCCGTCGAGCACGAGGCCAAGCACGCGAGCTCTTTGGTGGACGAGGGGAGACGGAGGGGATGATGGAGTCATGTTAGTGGAGCGATTGTAGTGAATGGGGGGATGGTGGAGAAGCGGGAAAGGAACAAGACGGGGCCTAAACTAAATGAGAGCAAAGTCCAGAGTAACGACGACTTGATAGTTTCCATGCCAAGTGAAATATGGCTGGGTGCCAAAAGGCTTGGAGGACTTGGCTTGAGTAAGTACTATGCAGGGCAACAAACAGGATGCTTGCGGGGCTTGCACTGTAGCTAGTGGTGATTAGTGGTTGGTATCTTGTACCTCTCGCCTATTCCTGGCATGCACATGGCCTAATCGCATCCTCTGATTGGCTCCTCCCCTCAACCACTGTTGGCAAGCACGCGACCATTTGCTCGATGCTGCTTGGTCAATCGAGCCCTGTGCCTTTTTTCCCTTCCCTATCCTTTCCCTATCCTTTCCTTTCCTTTTCCTTTGCATGGCTCCTCCTCTCTCGCTCTCTCGCTTCAATCTCGCGACCAAGTAGTTTCCATTTCCAGTTAGATTTTCTTCACCTTCTCCTCTTCCCAGCCTGCCGTGTCGTTTCTCTCCACCAACAGTATCGCCGCGTGGCCCTGCGCACTGCTCTCCGCCTCTCTTTCTCCCCCTCCTCGTCCTATCCCACCCCCGGACATGTGCTCTCACGACAGACAGACAACCAAGCTTTCGAAAGCTGCCCCCCTTCCCCTCGTGGTCACCTTCTTACTCGCCCAAAAACGTAAACTGGCACGGCCCTCCACACCGTAGACGGATGCCAAAAGAGCCAAGCGGCAAAAACGTGATCTGGTCCCCCAGCTTCTTCGTCTTCACCTACTGCTTGCGTATCTACTAGCTTGTTGTTGGTGTTGTTCCCTCTCCTCTCCTCTCCTCTCTTCTCTTATTATGTTTGCCACCTGTTTCATCTCGTGAAAATATCCTTTCTTCATTCGCTACTCGCGTGCTCACTTTTCTTCTTCATTTCCCCTCTTATCTTGTTCCTTACAAGATAAGCCACCACCAAATCTGCAGTGTTGCCTTGATTGCTGTCACACCCTGCCTATCTTGTTCGACACTTGGCCCCCCACAGAGTGTCACGCCCACGACTGCTCTTCTTGGCCACGCAGAAATTGCATTTCAAATTCTAACCTAGTTATCTTTTGCATTGCTCTGCCCTCTCACCCTTCATTGACGCCCCCCTCCTGATATCTCCTGAGACCGACACGTGCTGTCAGAGAACTCACTCCGCCGAACTACACCATACCCTGCCTGCCGCCTACCCTCGTGACACATCAACAGGTTCACCTCAAATTCGATAACGACTTCCCTCCGGCTACAAGATCTCGAGAAGTTTGGAAAAGGGCACTGAAAATTCCTGGCACAAGCTACAAATAGCGTACGGGGCCGTGCCGTCTCTTGTCCACGCCAGTCCCGACTTATTGGCTCTCGCCTCAGCCTCGTCTCGACACGAGACGCTATTTTGTCATAATACGCAGTCAAAAAGACTCCGAAAACAATTGTTTTAACTAGAACTGGACGCCTCTTCACAGCCGACTAATCTTACCGTCAATTTTGTTGCGTACACCTGCGGTGCTACTGCCCAGGCGAGTCCGTGTCCTGCCGTCCTCACACGACACCTACACCGTCAATCTCCTCGACACACGCGACATCAGCAAAAACTTAAAAGACCCCCCCCAAATCACAATGCCTCGACCCGGCCTCCCTCCCACCCCCGGATCTTCAACCGACCTCAAGGCCAAAGACGGTGTGAATCAGCTCGCCTCGCTCCACCTGGCTTTCGAGCTGCCCCCTCCCGCAATCCACGACGCCGCGCGTACATCCCCAGGAAAGCTATCCCCTGGGTCGTCCGCCCACGCCCACTCCCACAGCCACCACCAGCACATGAGCCCTCCTTCCTACCCCATGCAGGCTGCCGAGACGGTCAAGGCACGCCGCAGGTCGTCTGCCGCCACCAAAGAGCCCAAGGACGGCTTTGCCCTGCCGCCGCCGCCGACGCGCTCCCGCAAGATCATTCAGATGAAGCCTCGACAGGAGGAACCCTCCGTGGCCGCCGCAACCGAAGCGCCGACCGCAAAAGAAAGCACCGGGAAGGGAGCCGGCAAGAAGGCGGCGGCGACCAACACCAGCGGGAGCGGAGCGGCGGCCAACAGCACCACAACCAAGGGAGGCAAGAAGCAGCCCAGCGCTACGAGCGCGGCCGGGCGCAAGATTGCCCGCAAGACGGCGCACAGTCTGATTGAGAGGCGGCGGCGCAGTAAGATGAATGAGGAGTTTGCCGTCCTCAAGAACATGATTCCCGCCTGCACTGGCGACATGCATAAGCTGGCCATTCTGCAGGTACGCGCCACGCACACTGCCAACAAAAAGAAACAAAACATTCTAACAAGAATAGGCCTCGATTGAATACATTCGCTACCTCGAAGACTGCGTCTCGCAGCTCAAGGCCCAGCACGGCGGCGAGCATCGCGGCGACGCCTCCGCCTCGGGCAACCCGCTACCGTCCATCCGCGAGTTCCACCCGACCTTTCACGGCGAGCCGGCCGCCAATGGCGACGTGGAGATGGAAATGTCCGACTCGGAAGCCGTGTCCCCCACCTTTACCGCCCGACCCGACCACCACTACCAGCAGCAGCACCATCCGTCTGTGTCGCCGGCGTTGCACCCGCAGGACGCACGCCACCACTCGTACTCGTCGTCGTCGGCCGCCCCGGAGTACCGCCACCACGGCGGCTTCACGCTCTCGGCCACGCCGTCGCCCGCGTTCGGACCCCAGAGGCACGGACCGTACGCGCGCAGCAGCACGTCCACGTCGGCGTCGACGGTGACGAGCCCCGCGCTGAACCCGCAGACCGAGCTCGACCAGGAGGCGACGGCGGCCCTGCTGATGCTCAACAATGACAGGCGCGGCACGGCCGTCAGCGCGAGGGGGCTGTCTGTCCGCGACCTGCTGAGTGGGTGAAGTCGTTTGTGACTGAGAATATGTAAAAAGTGCTTGGTCTGAAAATGTGTTTTTCTTCTGTGTTTGGGGCGTAACATGTAATGAGAACGATGATGAGTATACCTTGTTAACGGTGGCACATTTATTTTGGAGAGGCTTTGAAAATCTGTATCTATCGGCGTTGTATGAATTGGGCAAAGGGGGCTTGATATCAAACTTGGAACTGCTCGTAAACGGACCGAAATGTAATCTGATTAACTTATTAACGTGAACCTTTGTAGTTGCGGTGATGCTCAACGTGACCTGGCTCCCGGGCAGAGACACAAGTACCGTCGTATTTCAATAAAACTCTATGCCTTTAGCCTCTCCGTCGATGCCATATCGGCCGTGGCATCCATAACGAGGAAACTGTAACGGGTTGATTAGCTTCTACTCTAATTCTGACAAGGGCCACATCACGATCAAACTCACTTGTACCACAGGATCGTGGGGCCAATCGTCAACAGATGCCACAAGCTATGCGCATCGATCACGCCGAGCCACGGCGGAAAGTCGAACAGCTCCATGCTCATCGCGAACATGACCCACGCGACGACCAACCCCGGCCAGGCCGCCCAGAACCTGCGCTCCTGCCTGTACCTCCGCACACTGAACCACGTCCACAGCACGTTCTGCGCCGCGCCCACCGCCACGTTGGCCGCCATGTTATACCCGTAATCCCACCTCACGCCCTTCAAGTACGCCACGTGCGCAACATACAACAGCACGCACACGCCTGTCCACGCCCTCACGACCGCCCGCCACCGCGGGCGGTCCAGCCGGAAGACGCGCACCGGCGCGTAGTACGCGCCGTACAGCACGCTGGCCCCCGCGGCGAAGTAGTCCAGCTGCTCGGTGGCCGGGAAATCTCGCGTGTGGAAGACGGCGGACGCGGTCCAGGCGACGAGGCCGACGCGGGCGAGGGCGACGTAGAAGGGGCGGAGCGGGTAGCGGGGCGGGACGGCGGCGCGCAGCTTGGCGAGGCCGGAGAGGTGCGCCCACAGGTTGGCGAGGGAGAAGAGCACGGAGGCGGGTTCTTGGGCGCCGAGGAGGCGGTGGAAGGGCCACTTGCCGTGGAACTGCACGACGGGCTGGGAGGCGGCGAGGCGTTGACGGGTGACGATGTGTTGGCAGGCGTGGTCGCACTCGGCGGGGCAGTCCCAGAGCAGGAGGCGGCGGTGGAGGGCTAGAGAGGAGTAAAGTTGTTAGCTTGTTTGAAAGACGTGAGGTTGTTCTTGTTCGGCGGTGGGAGGTTGTTTGTCGCCCAACGTACGGATCGGTGTCTGGTGGCCTGTTCGGCAGTTCTCGGACTCGCAGACCTGAGGTCGGGTTAGCATGTCAATTGCCGATGTTACGTCTGCCAGCTTCTCTTCATCCCTCAACGCACCTGGACGCAGTCTCGAAACTCGGGCAGTCGGTCGCCGACGGACGCGGTCGCGGCGCCCGCGAAGAGCACGAGGGCGAGGAGCGCCAGCAGGGGCGTGCCGGCCCAGATCCTCCGCCTCGATGGGAACATGATCAAGCGATCATTCGATTGCGAACCAAGAAAACCCAAGAAAACAAAGAAAGAAAAAGGAGATGAGGAATGAAGTGTTGATGCGGAAGCAATGGGTAGCTCGAAACAGGGGTTTGTGGATGATGTGGAGGGGCGGGATGGATGGGATGATGGATGTCGGACATGTCGTGGCTTTGAGCCTAATTTAGCCCGCCCCTGGTTCCCCGGTATTGCGATCTAGGCACATCAAGTTGCAGCTACCGTGGCTAACAGCTCTTATTATTAGAGTTGAGTATGAATGATTATTTACATAAAAAATTAGCTTTCTTTCATTCAAAACGTCTTGTCTACTTGTCTGTACTGCTACTCAGTCCTATCGACAATCTGGAAAAGCTGTTCTTCCTTCAGCGTGGGATTCCTTTCCTGGTATACCTGAAAAAGGTAAATAGTGTAACTAGGCTACTGGAACGGACAGTGTGGAAGCTACCTAACTACAGGCTAACTTTCCTCTCGAGTACGACGGTGTTAACTGTTTACTTGATACGACGCCTACAATATGCTGATGCGCATGCCGCGAAGCACAACTTGTATCCCAAGCTCTGAATCGATTCCCTGCCTCTCTTCTTCCTTGTAAAATGATCATCGTGCCTCGAGCAAGCCACCTCGGCTTTGCCCGCGGAACAAGCGCGGAACGAAACCGCCCTCCCACCGTAGACACTGGACAACTCTCTCACCAACCGCGATGCCGGGTCTGAGTCTCATCTTTACAATTTTCCCTTTTATTTTGAAAATGCCTCGCATCGCTTGGATTGGATTGGGAAGCATCGGCGAGGTGCGCATGCCCTGTGAGCCATATACGGACGTGACGGGCTGACTTGTCAGTAGGCCATCAGCACGAACCTCGCCCAGTACGCGCCGCTCGCGGAGCCCGTGCTGGTGTGGAATCGCACCGCGGAAAAGGCAGAGCGCGTGGCTGCCGCGACGGACAGGATGGAGGCGGCGCGATCGCTGGCCGACGCCGTCTCGCGGGCGGACATTGTCTGCCTCTGCCTGGCGGACGATGCGGCCGTGAGCGGCGTGGTGGACGTGGTGGGGGAGGTCGACGTTTCGGGGAAGTTGTTCGTTGACTTGTCGACCGTGCATCCCGATACCAATCAGGCGCAAGCAGACAGGCTGCAAAGTCTTGGAGCTGCTTATATTGCCTGTCCTAGTGAGTTACCCTCCACAGATCTATGTGTGAGTCAAGTTGCTTAACGCGGCCAAGTCTTTGGGGGCGTGGCCATGGCCATTGAGAGGCAAATAACGCTCGTTCTCGCCGGGCCATCCGATGCCATTGCAAAATTTGAGCCTTTCACGAAGGACATGTAGGTTACAATGTGAAAGTCTGCGCGGATGACTCACTTGGCTGACAGACATTGCCAGAATATGCAAGGACACCATCAAGCTCGCCGACCAGCCGCTCCGCGAGGCCGGCATGCTCAAGCTCGTCGGCAACTTTGTGCGGTTCTCCGCCATCGAGGTGCTGTGCGAGGCCACCGTGCTGTCCGAGAAGATTGGTCTCCCCAAGGAGACGCTGGCGCGGTTCGTCGAGGCCATGACCCCGGGTCCGAGCGCCGGACAGCTCGCGATGCTGCACTCGGGAGCGTACAGCGACCTCACCACGGTGTGTCCGTCATCTGTAAAAGCAGCAAAGCGAGGAAATTTCTTTTTTACTAAGTCTCTTTTTTTTGGCAGAGTATCGCGCCGATTAGTATGGCTCTCAAGGAAAACGGCTATTTGAACGATCTGGCTCAGCAGAGCGGCGCGAGGCTGCGGACGCTGGACACGGTGACGGCGCACGCGGAGCGGGTTAATGAGATGAGAGGTCCGGATGCCAAGTTGCTTGCTATTTACGGGTCGATTAGAGAAGAGAACGGGTTGCCCTTTGATCGGAAGTGAGGGCGCATTTTTCCATAGGAGTGATGATGGGAATTCTACTTGTAGAGCCATCGTTCGGAAGAAGCATTCCGTACACCCACATAACTCGACGAATAAAGGAAATCCGTCAGAAAGCTATTGTACATATATTATACGTTACGAACTTATGTTATTAATCCTTGGTATGCGTACTGTTGGCAACGTCCAGGCCCACAGCTTATCGATCGGCGAGGACTGCCTGGTTCTTGTTCACTGTCACTGTCAAGCATGGCTCAACAGGCGGTTCATATAAGTTAGAATTTAGGTTCGCCACCGGCGGCGGTTGGCCGACGGCGCTGGCCGGTAGTTCGGGGGACTCGGGCCCGAACGCCATCTGCGTAAGGCTGCGGCGTTTGTTGTACAACCACCTTTATTTTTAACCATCACGCAAAAAGCGAAATCACCTGCCCTGAAGCTTGGATTGCCTAACGAGTAATTAAAGTCCGTCCTCAGTGATTCTTCCGTGTGCCGACGATTGCAGAGGCCTGTCTAGTCAAAACGCCACGGCACTTGTTAGTTTTTAGCCCGATGGGCGGGCGGGTTCGAGAAGGGTTTTTTTTGCGCTGGCCCTACAGTTGATGCTTGCGGCTTCGGCAAAGGTGCCGTTGCAAGGAGGCTTGCGTCATGGTCTCCATTGACGAAATGAAACCGCCCGGATGGGGAATCAACATTCGCGGCGCCTGATGATGATAAGCGGTGCGGTGGGTGACTGGGCGTTGAGCCGGGGCGGTGCAGAAGAAGCCCACAGGGCGCAGGGCAGCCAAACGAATGATTGACTAGTCAGTCGCTCGCTGTTGGCCGAAAAATAGATGGAAAATGATCCCAGGTTCTCCCGCATTGATCAACAAGAACTGCCGGTGTGAGTTGCCTGTTTGGGAAGCCGTTGCGTCTCCTTGTCGAGTCTTGATTGGGTTTGCACTCGAGACAGCAGCGGCTGATGCTTTCTCTTTCTGATCTGCATGCGTCGATGTACGCCTTTTAATTCATTACCATCGTCTATTGATGTAGTCGGCTGGAAAGGGAAGGAAGGGCCTCGTCAGCCTTCCGCTGATATTACTTGTCGCCATCTCGGGGCGAAACCCGGACGTGGCAACCCTGTAAGCACCAAGATGCAAGATGGCACATGGTGGCGGGATTGACCAGGGTCCTGTTGCATTCGGCTTTCGCCGTGAATACTTATTGGCTAAAGACGGAGAAGCAGAATAATTGCCGCGTCATTTACAACACTACCGATAGGCCCTGGCAATAGCCATCTAGTGGCTAAGAAGCCACGGGCTGTAAACTTGTGACAGGTTCTGTAATGCTAATCCCGTATCCCGGGGTCTCAATGGGAAGGAAAGGAGGCTGCGGATGAGACAGGTTCAAAAAGTTCTGGGCCCCTGTTGGGTGGGACTGGCAAGGTCCACTACTCTAAGGTACTAACTAACTTAACTAGTGCACAGCCCAACACCATCGCTTTCTGAAGCCCTACGAGTACAGCCTGCGGAGTCTCCGTACGAATTGCAGCCTGCCAAGTTACAGGCTACACACTATCAGTCGTTAGGGTTGCGGCAGTGCTTCCGGTTAGATGACTCGGAGGAATTCGTTCCCACATGTGGTGCAGCATCGCCTTCATGGGCCCTTGCTCTTGATTTTCATATAATGGAACCCGGGGACGCGTCTCGCAGCGTCGTCTGCGACCTCGACTCTCGGCTCTCCTCACGTCACATTCGATCCTACCAAACAGAACGCTGAGCGGCGGCCCAACGCTACGGGAACTCAACACACAATGTCGAAAGAGGCCCTCTACGAGCCGGTGCCCTCGACGCGCCTCAAGGTCTTTTCCACGCCCATCAAGTCCGAGGCCGACGACCACCACAACCATTACGAGGACGAGGAGGGTCACAGCATCGACGATGGCCGCTACGCGCCCGACCACCGTCGACACCCAGACAACTATCCCCAGCTGCAACGGGTATGGCACGGACCGGAAATTGGGACGAGGGATCTAGACAGAGAGAGACTGACGGAAGTGTGTGTTTGTAGCACGAGGAACCGACGCTGCTCGAGATCTTCTACGACTTGTTCTTCGCCGCCACGTACAACGCCTACTGCGACTCCAAGACCGTCACCAACCACGCGAGCTTCAAGGCCTCCATCGGCTTCTTCTGCCTGCTGTGGGTGACCTGGTTCAATGTAACGCTGTTTGACGTGAGATATGCCACGGATTCCATATTTTGTGTGTATACATGCCTGCCCTTGGTCGTCTGACCAGCAAGCAAACGCCTCAACTAACAGCCATCACAGCACGTCTCAACACGGCCATCCAACTCGGCGTTCTCATCGGCTTCGTCGTCGTCGCTCCCAAGTTTAACCCGACGACCCAAGATGCGCCCACCATGCGGGCAATGTGTACGCTACTCTCACAACCTCAGTCTGCCGTCTGCTGCCGTCGATGCTAACCAACCTTTTCCCTTCCAGCCATCATCCTCGCCATCTCCCGCTTCAACCTCATGGGCCAGTACGCCTGGATGGCCTTCCATGTCCGCCGCTACCGCACCACGCGCCTGCCGCTGCTCGTCCAGATGGCCATCTACACAGCCGCCGCCGCCGCCTACCTCGGCCTCACCTGGCGCTTCGGCGAGGATCGCCACAGCCACGCCTACGTCACTTGGTACTGCGTCTCCGCCGCCGAGGGCGTCGCCAGCCTGCTGCTCTCCAACTACTCGCCCATCCTCAGCCTCGGCCGCACGCACTTGATGAAGCGCCTCGGCCTGCTGACCGTCATGATCCTCGGCGAGGGAATCGAGTCCATCGCCAAGAAAGTGCTCGTCATCGTTAAAAACAAGCACGCCTGGGACACCACCACCATCGGCCTCGTCACCGCGGCCGCCGCCACCGTCTACTTCGTCTTCCTCGTATACTTCGACTGGCTCGGCGCTAAGACGCACCTCCCGCCCGTCCGCCGCAACGCCTGGGTCGCGCTGCACCTCCCCTTCCACCTCGCCCTCGTTCTCTTCATGCAGGGCTTCACGCAGATGCTCATCTGGGGTAAGATCGCGCGTCAGGTCAATGTCGCCTTGGACTTCGCCGACCCGACTGACCTCCCCGAGGTACTCGCCGGGCAGGCCACCACCTTCTCCGTCAGTTCCAGCGTCAACGCCTCGGTGCGCGACTTCCTCGAGGACTACCCGTCCAAGCTGGAGAGCACTACCATGGTCATCAACACGGCGCTGCGCAACATTTCGTCGCTGCCGGACGACTTCTGGCCCGCGCTCACCCGCGTGGCTAACGAGGCGTCCGGTAGTAGTGACGCGAGCCTGACGGACGCCGACCGTAGCTACGCGACCCTCAGGGCGGCCGGGGAGACCCTTGCCGCGTCCATGGCCAACAACGTCTTCCGCGCCTTCAACACCGAGGTGTCCGGCGAGATCGAGTCCAAGAACAAGGACCTCGAGACCAAGGATCGCGAAGGCTTCCAGTTCAAGCTGGAGCGAGACAACTGGGCCCGCTACGGCCTGGTGGTAAGTCCAAGCCCCCCAGCGATGCTAATCTCTCCTTCTCAAGTCCATCTGAACTGACACGGGATTAGTTTGCGTACACGTACATCAGCGCCGCCTGCGTCATCGTGTTCGTCCTCGCCCTCAAGCAGCTCACCGACGGCCACGTCCCCAAGGGCTGGAACCTGATCCGCCAGATCATCATCTTCGGCCTCGCCCTCGGCACCGGCCTGGCGACCATTGTGTGGTTCAACAGCTTGCGAGTGTTCGCGTGGCTGCAGACGCCATGGGTCATGCCCACGCTGTGCTTCGTCTGGATGACCATTGTCATCCTGACGCACGTCAACATTGGCGGCGTCAAACTGAACCCGAGCCACCTCAAGTGGCGCTCGCGCAAGTAGCGGGTACGACGTGTGGGATGGAAGAAAAGAAGTGATCTCATAGCGAAGGAAAATACCAACTTGATTTTGTCTTGCGCTGATTGTTCGCCATCTGTGTACCGTGATCCGGTATTGGTAGTGTCTGAACAAAAGACATTACTAATTTGTATTCCTCGCTGTGCTAAGTAAGGGGCATTCCTTATAAAACGATTCCCGCTGCCATCGCAGTCGAAATCCAACCCCGATGTACCCCCGCTCTCTGTGTTGGAGATGAAAATAGCCGTCTCAACACAGGGGTTTCGGCATCCTTGCCAGCAATCACAGGGAAGTACACTTGCTCGGAATTATAGCCGGCCACTTCCAGAGTTCGCCCTTCTCGCCGCCCTTCTCACAGATTGTTTCGGACGTCTTTGATGCCACCTTGGAGTGGCTGTCCTGCGAGCTGTCGGGCGTGTTTTCCTGACTATTTGTTCCGTCGCTTTGCACGGGGGTAGGCACCATTGGCGATGACGTCTCGGAGCCGCTGCTCCTCTGCGGCCGGCCCTCCGCCTCCACCTCCACGGCTTCCTCCACGGCGTCGTGCTTCCCGGCGTTCGCGATTCGCCTACGCGTGTCTTCCAGATCCTCGCCAAGGCGGCATACGTGAGTAAAGAAGTCGGGATCTGCAGGGAGATGCATGACGAGCGCGGCCTCTTGCCACTTCTCGATGAGCTTGTCCCGGCCCGCCAGGAGCTGCTCCCGTCGCGCCGTGACTGCTTGTAGGTGCGACTCGACGTCGCGAAAGTCGACCCGGAGAGCCTTGGTCAGGCCGTCCTTGGCCTCGTAGCTGGCGTATTCGATGAGCTCGTGCAGGCGGAGCAGCGGACCAGCAAGGCTGTCCTTGTCCACTGTCGCCCCGTGGCTAGAGGCGATGGTATTCAGAATGGTCAAGAGCTCCCCGGTCATTTCGTCCGCTAGTAGGAAAACGGCTTGCATCGATGAGTACATTTTGGACATGGATACGACTTTGTCGTTGGTAGATGAAGATGAAGGTGGCGTCTCTTCCATCGGTGTAGCGTTGCCTGTCATTTCGGGGTTCGTCGTCGACGAGGCCGGCTTTTGCGTTGGTACGGCGTCGTTCGCCTGGACCTGGTTGGCCATGAGCGAGTTCGGCTGTTTCACTGGTACAGCCTTGTCCTTGTTGAACCGATTTTGTAAACAAAAGGCCATCCCGTCCGCTGATTCGGGTATAGTATCGTCTCCCTCAAAGCGGTTGGTTATGAAGGACTTCGGTCCCTCCGTTGGTACGTTACTGTCTTTCACGAGCAGTCTTTTCGGGAAAAAGGCCCTTGCTTCCGCTGGTAAATTGTCGTCTCTCTCAAACGGGCTGATCATGGGCGATTTCGGCTCTTCCCTTGCTACTGCGATGTTTTGACTTGGTACAGCGCCGGGTGCGCCGGGTACGCCGGGTGCCATGACCAGAGCTTTAGTCATCGCTGGTTCGGTTAGCTCAGTAAGCTGGGGAACATAAGTAGTTTTAATGATTATTCTTGAGGAAATCCTGATGGTTCTTTGAAGGGGAAGTTTTGGAGTGGCGGCGAGGCGAGACCCTTGCGGATGGATGGCAGGCACTTGCTGGCTGCACCTGCTCCTTCTGCGAGAATCAGTGCATGTTTCGACCCTGGACTTTAACACGGTTGACACTCAAATTTAGGTCTCAAGTATTAACTTGAATTGCTTCTACTAGTGTTAGATATGGACGCTTGCGGTGTGAGGGACTTCCCTGCCTATAGCAAGGTGTATACCATCACCCACCCCCCACGCTTTTACGTTTCGAGCAGGATATCTATCACCACTAGTCAGAGTAATTACCAGAGAAACCACTGATTCACCGATACGACTCTGTGAACCTGTCCTGTGGTCGGCAGTTATACCATGCAGGCGGCTCTCGATGCGCTGTGTGATTCGGCACTGGCCATCTCTGTGGCACGGGGCACGGCCCAGCCCACGGCGTGGTATTAGGGATGTGTTGCTCAATATCCGTTGCCAATCATTGAATTCATTGTGGTGCTAACAGTGTGCGACGCGAGCCCTCAACCGTCAAGTTTCATCAGTCTGAATAGGTGATGTGGTTCACAGGCTTCTGGGTCGTACATACATTTTGTGGTATATTGGCCAGCATTATTCCGTCAGTCAAGCCGGCTCTGATTATCAAAGGGCTCTGTCTATAAAAGGCTGGCGCAGTTTCCGTACAAAATAAATGTCCAGATTATTGCTAGCAAGCACAGCAAGCACAGCAAGCTCTCAACCCTAAGTCATACTATACAAACCTGTGCCACGCATTCTACAGCAACAAACCACGTATGAGAAAAAATCCCTATTCTAGGATTGGAGCTTCTGACATTTTATGAGATAATTTAGTCACTACCCTCGTTTCTGCGACTATGCCCAACTCAATCAAACTTCCCACCGACGAGGAGGCTCAGCTCTTGGAGATGGCTGGAAGAGCAGTCAAGGTGGCGCGCGAAATCCCGGGGAATACTGGAGGTGGGAAGGGCAACCAGAGCACCTCCAAGCCTACCGGCTCAAAGTAATTGTGTCTGGAATTGGCCATGGTACCTGGAAATGTTGAGGGTGCTGTGATGAGAGAGATTGCGGGATGATATGATTCAGTTTGTTTGCTTGCTTGCTTGTTGTACAATATAATAAGGAAAAAGAAAACGTTAAATTAGAGCTACCGCTCATTTTTGCTTCTGGCTCGACAGGCATTGAAGACTCTTTCCCTACTGCTAAGTCTCCTCCCGCAAATGCGATGCTCCAACATCATCACTGCGCCTTCTCGCGCAGGACACCGTCACACCCGTCCTCATGCCCCGTGATATTCGCCCGTACCTGTAGCACATACCTATCCATGTCCACCCTCGCCTCCGCCGGGAGCTCCGGCGCCACGCCGCCCGGATGCAAACCCCGCGCGGCACCTCCCAGTGGATGGCGTCCACGTGCTCCAGGAGCGTCAGTTCCAGCAGGGGCTCGTACTCGCGCAGGAACCAGGGGAAGTAGCCCGCCTCGAGGGCAGATTGGGGAAGCGCCAGGCAAAGTCAAGGTAGTCCTGCATGCTTGTGAAGGGCTCGGAGGACCAGTCCTCTATGGGGTACCCCGGGACGCCGAGGGCGAGCTCGTGCATGTCCATGGTGAGCGGGCGCCGGCTGACGCGCCGCTGCCCGGTCAGCCCATCCCCGGCGATGGCGCCGATGCCGTCCCACGGGATGCGCTGGAGCTGGCGGTAGTACGAGGCGAGCTGCTCGTAGACGGCTGACACCGGCTCCTCCGCGGGCGAGCTCGCCAGGAAGTCGCGCAAGTCCTCCCCGGGGGGGGGGGGGGGCGAAAGGTCCCCCGGCGCGGATCCGCAGCGGTGCACGTGGGGGACCGGGACGGTGGTGTTTTCGCTCAGGAACTACATCCACGCAGCTTCGTTGGCGGCCTTTTTGGCGGCGAGAGCCCGGACCGTGTGCCCGGGCATGGGGACCTTGAGGGCGACGTCCGGGCTGCCCGAGGCGAAAGGAGAAGCGGAATGCTCTGTTGAAGCCGCCGTCGCGAGTGCCGCCTCGTACCAGCGCTGCAGGTCCGCGGTCGTTGATGTGAGTGCTGACGAAGGCCTCGAGGGCGTGCGTGTCTTGTTCCGTGAGGCCATCGTCCCAGGCCTTGTACTCGTCGTCGCCTTGGGAGTCGAGCACAGCATCATACTCGAGTGTATGCAAAAAGCAATGGAGTCGATCATGTTTACTACATCGGGATGATCCGACGGGAGTAAATAGAGCAAGCACCAGTACTCTTGAGAATACATTCCCGTGTTTCAACCCCCTCCCCTGCCGCAAGCCAGCCTTACGGACGAATACACAGCGCAAAGAGATGATGCAGTTGATTCTGGAGAAAACTGCCCTCTTTACCTGTATTCTGAAACTGGTGTACTTTTAATTTTTCTCCTTATTTTACTGGAATTATTTCTTTCTTTCTTTCTTTCTTTTTAACAAACACTGAATCGGGTGTTGCCCCGGGTTGGTAGCCTGATTGCCAAGCTGGACCTTTGGTTGCCGTTCATCCCTTTAATATCCCTTTCATTTTGTTAGAAAATAGCTCTTAACCTCGAAAGAAGGCTGCGGAGATATCTGCTCATTATAAAATAGAGTCGAATCTTCGACACTGCCCTCTGCTCTGTCGCCCATTCGTGCCCCCAAGTCAATGCACATATCATTCGGGCAGGCCAACCATCAAGGCAGGCTTGACCAAAAATAACGCGACGTATTTATCCCCAGCATGTTCCATTTTGATATGGACTGCATATGCAGCATTACTAGGCAGCAAAGTTGGTTGGCTGGAGGAGGAGGGGTCTCTGGCTTTTTACCCGTTTTCTCTGTGCGACAATTGGCAGCCACAATTCAAACAACTGCAGTCACCCGCGGTTAATAAAATTAGAAAGTTAGCTGACCCATTTGAGCTGGTGGTTTTTATTGCCTCTAACTATTATTAGTAGTTAATCCGAGATGTAAGAAATTCTGCAAGCGCTCAGACACCGCCTGTCCAGTTACCGCAACATGCAGCCCCTTTCGTACCCTGTACACTCAACAACGGCAGGGCTCCCGCTCAATAACACGTAGATTAATTACACAGACACAACAACCGGCTCAATCAGCATCTCCGGACAAGGCCTTCCCGCCCCGTCCCGACCCTGCAGCTTGCACAGACCAGCCTCCACCACGATCCCTCGCACGCCCGTCTCATAGACAAACTCCCAGTCGCTGGGATGCGAGAAGAGCAGGCATCCCAGCCTCGCGCACTCCTCAATCACCACCCGCAGGTGGCCCACCTGCTGCTGCAGGCGCTCCTCCACAAAGTACGACAGGAAGCCGTTGAGCGAGCTGGCGAGATCCATCGCCTGCGCCGCCACCGCGTCGTCCTCGGCGGGCAGGGCCGTTCGCTGGCTGCGCGAGGGATGCAGCAGAAACGCCGACAGCCTGCGCCACTCTCGAAGGGCGAGGGCGTTTGCTAGGGAGTTGTTTGTTAGTCCTGAGACAAGGCGCTGAAGAGTGTGGAGGGGATGTCTTACCTTGAGGGTCACCGAAGCGGTCCGTCTCCTCGGCGGGCATGGCGCGAAGGAACGTGGCCACGGGCGTGGGCAGCAGCGAGGGCCGCGGCGAGCGCACGTCGATGCTGTCCAGAAGGACCCTGGTGACGACGTGGCGCAGGCCGATGCGGCGGCTCCGTGGATCGAGACAGAGCGCGGCCGCCTCCTGCGCGTCCAGCAAAGACGACGAGCTGTTGCTGTTGCTGTTGCTGTTGGCGGCGGCGGCGGAGGCGGTGGTCAGCGGGAAGCCGAGGTGCACGAGGGCCGAGGAGAGGGTCTGCACGTCGACGGATGCGGGCTGGTCGTGGTAGTAGTAGCCCTCGACGTGCTCGGCGATGAGCGCGCTGATGGACTGGGTCTCCTGCACGATGGTCCGGTCGGGCGTGGCCTGGAGCAGGAAGAACTGGTCGAGGCGCGGGCCGACGCTGGCGGGACCGACGGCGCTGCTGGCCTTGTCGGAGGCGTTGTACGCGGCCTCGGGCTCAAGGTACGGTCCGCCTCCTGACTTGGCGGCGGCGGCGGCGGCGGCGGCCGATCCGTGGCGCTTGCCGTGGCGCTTGACGAGGAGGAAGGCGGCGAGGAGACCGAGGGCGAGGCCGATGAGGAGGCATCCGATGGCGATTCCGGCTGCGGCGCCGGACGAGACTCCTGAGGAGGGTGACGAGATCGCTGCTGCCGAGGGCTGGGCGGTTGGAGATGAGGCCCAGCTTGCCAGCTTGCTTGTGTCGGATCCTGTGGATGCGGGAGCGGTGGTCAATGATGTTTTGGCCGGAGTAGTAGTAGACGCTGTTTTGGCTCGACTGGTAGAGGCCGACGTCGAGGCTGGCGAGGACGACGAAGTGGCTGGCGATTGCGAATCAGTGACAGCGACAGCGCTACCTGTCGAGCCCTCGGACCAAGGCACTGGACTCCCGCCTGAATGTAGCCCTCCGAACGTGCTGGTTGTGGTGGGTTGGCCATCAGTATTATAGATAATTTCCGCAGTGGCAGAGATGGAAGTGATGGATTGTCCATTCTGCAGGGCAATCGCCGTGAGGCTCGCCGGCCAGTTCGTAGAAGTTCCACCGGAAAACAACAGTCCATACACTTGAGTAGTCTTTGAATCGACACCGACTTTCAAAGTTGTGATGCCAACTGAGTACTGAGCCATCATGTCGAGAGCTGATCAAGCTGGGGCTCGGTGCAAGTCATCGAACAGGTATGTAGGTGCGTACGGAACAGTGGAGGTGTAGGGCTCTTGTGCTCTGTTAGATGGGAGCGCCAAAGCCTTATTATGCTTATCATTTCTCAAACAACTGACCATCGGAACTGCAGGCCGTCATGCTAATTAGCCAGGACAAAGGGAGGGTCCCATCTAACGGTGTGTGTGATGGCAGCGTTACAAGGAACCTTTAATGAGCCACCAACGTGCATATTTCCAGCACCGCAATTTGTTAGGCAGCAAGGCAAGACTTGGCACACACACTATTACTGCAGGAAGACTGTGCCGGAACCGGAGCGGCTGACCGGCAAGTTGCATGATGAATTGGCCACGGCGCCCTTGAATCTGACGCCTTTGCAAACATTCCATCGACTTGCGAGTAACTTGCTGCAACACTATGTAACAGTCACTTACTTATTATGTACATGCCTCCTCATATACACATGCCCAAGTGTCGACAAGTTTGATTCACGACCCCGCGGGACGCTCTCCTCCTAGAGCTGCGTGCGATAACCTCGACCAACACCACCAGGCCAATGACAGCGATCCCGCCGGCAAGACGTGCCGCGAGTTCTTTGCGAGCGATGAAGCATCGACAACGAGAACCTCGTCGCCGGGCAGCAGGGGGGTAAAGACGCGTCCGGGGCGCCATGGACCCTGGCAGAAGCGCAGCAGCAGTACTCGATACGCTGGGAAACGCTGAAGAGCAAGTCAGGCGGGCCGCCAACATGCAAGCCGGGCTGGGGTACGTTGCCGCCGGGTCTTGGTTGAAGAGTTCTTGGGAAAAGGAGGCGAAAGCAAAACAATAAACACAAGAAGAATCAATGCTTTTGATGTTCAAAAACCCCGCGCAGGCCTTTTATCCGACAGCCACATGTGGCAAGTGCACCTGCAGGCAGACACGTGCATATACATATGTTGCAGGCCAGAGGTCTTGGCCAGCAGAAAAACCCCCTCCCGCGACATCTACACAGGCAGGTGCATCGAATTTTGACTGTTTATTGACAAGGCCGATGCGATGGACGGCTATGATTTCAGAGAAAAGCTGGACGCCTCCCAGACGTCATGCGAGAAGACGACCTGCCATTGAGATGTTCAACTACTTGGTGAGCATGACGAGATAGATGCCTTGAAGCGCTGGCTGCACAGTGGACTGATCTCGGCCAAGGAGCCGCTATAGGATGTCAATAGAGAAACCAGGCTCCCAGAAGACGATTTCAACGAGTTCTTGCATCGAAAGGTATGCGAAAACCACTTGCTTGTTGCAATCTTTTGCCAACGCCCAAATCATGGGGCGAATTTTTGCGCCGCCTGAAAACCTCCCCAGCGACGCCAAACTGCTCTCCGGCATACCCCTCATGTAACGTCTGCTCCGCCGACCGCCCTGCCATGAGATGAGACCTGTTTTAACATGCAGTAGAGTGCAGCAGAATACTGACCGGGCAGATGTCCTCACATCCAAAGTCATTTATCTCAACAAGGATGACTACGAGGCCATGATACGCGTCATGCGCCTTCCCACCAAGCACAACAGCTGAGAGCAGAGCACTGTTAGCTCCAACCTTTGGATTTACTTTGTCATCACGGTCCCCTTCACGGCGGCTCTCGTTGCCAGTTGGCTTTGGCTCCAACGCCGCCAAAAGGCTCGGTATTTGAAGGACGACGCAAACTTTGAGATAAACATCAACAATATGGAAAAGGACGTTATGAGGACGATGCGGGAGAAGGCTGCAGGGAGAACCCCCTGGACGTACTCGTAGATACCGGGCACCGCCACCTCAAGGTGCGATGGGGGAGCCCACTACCCTCTCTTGCAGGCCAACTTGTCACAGAGACTGGATTTCGAACGAGAGGTCTCTGTATCGGGCGATACAGTCGCCTCAATAGCCGTCTCTTGGTGTAAAGAGCTCAGGTCAACTTGTTCGACTGGAATCACCCACGCATCCCCTCTCCCAACGGTCATCTTGTGACCAACATACAAGACCACGAATAACACCGTCCCAATATAAGCTGTCAAAAAGTCCGAAGCACTCCAATGCCCGGGAAAAAAGACGTTGAAGCCATTTAGCGAGCCGATAACGGTAAAGTAGATGATGCACAGCCAGGCGCCCGGCTTACCATACCGAGAGACGTACGGAAGTGTCGACCGATCGAGGCCTTGGGCGTCCATGGCCGCGCGGAAGCGGAGATGGGCGAATGACATGAGGATCCATGAGAAGAAGGCCGCCATGTTGATCATATTGACGAGCCAGGTAAAGACCTGGCCAGCGCTGGAGCTCACGTTGAGGTACGCGAGCAAGGCCACGACCGCGCAGCTCGTAACCGCCCAATAGGGCACGCCCCATCGGTTGCGTTGGGCAAACATCTTTGGCGCGCTGCCGGCCAACGCAAGCGAGTAGATGGAGCGCGACGCCAAGTACAGGTAGACGTTGCCAGCCGACCACGCGGAGCAGAGGATCACGGCGTTGACCATGTGGTCGAGGACGCGGATGCCGGCCATCTTGATGCCGATGACGAAGGGCGACGATCCAGCACCGGCGCCGCCGGACGTGAGCTCGGGCGCGTTGGACGGGCAAATCAATGTGACGAAGAAGATGGGGAGTACGGAGAAGCAGACGAGACGGACGATGAGCGCCTTGGAGGCCCGGGGGATGGATTTCCGGGCGTCTTTGGTCTCGCCTCCACAGATGGCGACCATCTCACCCAGGAAAGAGAGCTTGAGATGAGGTAAGTAGAAGAAGAGGAGCGGCGTGAACATCGGACTCAACTGGTAGAACGACGCTGACGAGAACACCTATAAAGCTCACGAACTTGCCTCCTCCGCCCGGCACGATCCACGGGTTCGCCGGGCCGGGGTCGTGCCAGTACCGAAACCCCACGGCATCGCCATTTGGCCCGCCGCCGGCAGCAACGACGACCGACAGGATCATGGTGCCCACCAGCATGCTCAGCTTGAGCGAGGAAAACGCAAACTCGGCCTCGCCCGAATGCGCGACGGGCAGGTAGTTGAGCCCGACGACGACGACCAGCAGGATGGTGACGAAGACGGCGTCGGAGACGGGCGGCGCCCAGTAGCCGACGACGAGGGCGGCGGCGGTCATCTCGAACGGCACGAGCACCGCGTAGGCGTACCAGTAGTTCCAGCCGAGGGCGAAGCCCCAGGAGCGGGAGAGCAGGCGCGTGGCGTAGGCGTCGGCGCCGGCGCCACGCAGGGGCAGGGCGGCGGCGAGCTCGAAGAGCAGGGTGGCGAAGACCCAGACGACGACGCAGGTGGTGGCGAAGCCGGCGAGGGTGAGGGCCGGGCCGCCACGGCTGAGGGTCCGGCCGGAGCCGACGAGGAAGGCGGTGCCGATGCAGCCTGCGCGGAGGGTCATGCTAGGGGATTAGCGCTGCCAGTGGAAGGGAAGCAGGGAGGGGGATTGCGCTGGGTACCTCCCATGGCAATCATGTAGAGATGCCGGTCCTTGAGAGTCGCCTTTGTGGTGGCATGATCGGACGACGCTGCGGTGACGCCGTCGTCGCTCAAGTGTCTCGGCCTGTCTTGGTCTGACATGGTCACCAAACAGTCGCTGAATGTAAACGCAGCGGGGTGTACGGATATATAACCGTTGACGCTATTCTGGGTAGCGGTGGTTTTTAAGTAGGTTTAGTCCGGCCATCGATCCAGGAAGGACAGATTCATCACGTCATTGTGCTACCCATCGTTGCCGTCGTCCCCAGTTTGGGTGGTCAGCCAGCCGCAACCGGCAGGCCAACAATGTCTCGGATTGGCGGACAAAGACGAGATTATGCCGGTCCAATGGCGGGTGGTCGAAATGCGATTGCTGATAAGACGACGGCCAGTGATAACAGCGAACGTTGCCCGCATTCCAGCGGCCGTTGCGACAGACGGGCGTAGCTCACCGCTGGTCATGTGTAACGCATACGACGAATTAAACAAAGTGTTTTTATTTTGCACACATTAAAAAGATGTCATTGACACGTGGTGCGCTCGCCTTATCAGCTAACGAGACGGGACGGATCACTGCTCGGCCCAGGCGGGAGGGATTCCGGTGCCACTCGCGGTCATCTTGATCTCGCATTCCTTCGCCACGCGGATAAGTAGCCGTGTTCGCAGACCGTGACAGAATTAGGAACGCTTGCTGCATATGGATGTCTTGACAATAAAAGGATCTTGAGCAGAGAGAGACTGCCATGTTAGACGACAGTTGAGGGCACGAAAAGACTATTCGACACAGACAAGGCCAGTTCACCCCCGCAAACAGGAAGATTGCGGTTTTTACAGAAGTTGCAGAATTTCTGCTTGATCTGATGGACAAAATGAATATCCGTAAAACAAAAGATTCAAGCTGAAGCGTGTTATTGAATGTCCAGCCTCACTTTCTTGTTATTGTCACGCCACTCAGTGCAGGACCCGAGACAAGAAAAGCAAAAAGGGCGGGCGGCAGGCAAGCCTGATATAATTCACCCATCACACTCAGCTGAAAAGAAGTGTGCTCGATGCCTGGCTGAAGCTGCAGATGCAGACCGACTTGGCGCTCTAATCACGGGCGTCGCTCTTGGTCTGCTGCTCTTTGTGTTGGCAACCATCACGACGTGGTACAAGACCGCAGAGCATCTTCTTGCTAGCCATCTTCCTCGTGTAAATAAATTGATTTGTAGTTGTGAAATGTAATAAAAGCAAGAAAACAGTCCAATTAAGCTTAGTAACGGTAATGTGTCTGTCTGGTGTTGTTTGCCTCCCCAGCCGTTAGTTAAATGATTAGTTAGCCTCTACAGGCAAGATCTGCGCCCTCCCGCGCGCCCTACGGCGCAGGGCCTGTCTGTCCATGATGAACATCGATCGTCAGTTCCAAGCCGAACATCTGTATTGAGTCATCTACTGTATAAAACAGCAACACACTTGTCCATTGATTTTGACTCTCTTTGTCTCAGGCCTCGCCATAGCACATCACCACTGTCTCCCTCTTACCATTCATTGGCTGACATCACAATGGCTGCCACCCGCCCTCACCCACTCGACCCTCTGACACCCGAGGAGATTTCTAGGGCATGTGCTATGAGAGTTTTGACAGAAAATCCTGATGAAATATTTTAACATTCAATTCGCTTACATAGGCCTCAACAGCTGTCAGACCGCACTTTGGTGGCCAGGAGCTCAACTTCCGTTTCGTCAACCTGCTCGAGCCCCCCAAGAAGCAGATGGTGGTATTCCTAGACCAGGAGCACCAAGGCTTGCCAATCACTGACTTTCCAACTCGAAACGCTCACATCCAAGTCGTTGCCAAGGGAAGCAGCGGTGAAAATCAGCTGTTTGAGCTCATTGTGGACCTTGACCAGGACAAGGTCGTCGAGAAGCAGCACCACAAGGGGAAGCACTCATACATTGACTCGGCTTACATGCAGGCGGTTGAGAAGGCGTGTTTGAAAGATGAGAATGTCCAGGCCGAGATTCGCTCACTCGATTTGCCGCCCGAGGCGACGGTTGTCGTCGAGGCTTGGGCATACGCAACAGATGGCATGAACGACATGACTGAGCGACTGACCATGGTGAGTAGAGAGAAGCGAGTCATGGTGAGGGGATGAATGCTAAGCAGGCATACAGTGCTGGTTCTACATGCGCCTTCTGGAAAGTCCAGACGCAAACTACTACGCCTATCCCCTTGACGTCTGCGCCGAAGTCTCCGAGACTCTGCACGTCACCAAGATCTACCGCCTTCCCACCACACCCAGCGAGAAGATCAACCAGGAGAAGCGACCCTACGACCGCCGCAAGATCCATCCCGCCACCGCCAGCGAGTACCACCCTTCCCTCCGTCCCGCCCCCCGCACCACCACCCAGCCGTACCAGGTCGTCCAGCCCGCCGGCCCCTCCTTCCGCATCTCCGGCCGGCTCATCACCTGGGAGGGCTGGTCCCTCCGCGTCGGCTTCAACCACCGCGAGGGCCTCGTGCTGCACGACGTGCGCCACGCCGACCGCGCCCTCTTCCACCGGCTCTCCCTCGGCGAGATGTTCGTGCCCTACGGCGACCCGCGCGCGCCCTACCCGCGCAAGGCCGCCTTCGACCTCGGCAACGACGGCGCCGGCGTCAACGCCAACGACCTGCGCCTCGGCTGCGACTGCCTCGGCACCATCGCGTACTTTGACGCGCACCACTGCGAGCCGGCGACGGGGGAGCCGGTACGGCTGCGCAACGTGGTGTGCGTGCATGAGCAGGATGACGGGGTGCTGTGGAAGCATACCAACTTCCGCACGGGGAGGGCGGTGGTGGCGAGGGCGAGGGTGCTGGTGCTGCAGACGATCATCACGGTGAGCAACTACGAGTACGTGTTTGCGTGGCACCTGGGACAGGACGCGGCGATGGCCTTCGAGGTGCGCGCGACGGGCATCCTCTCGACGGCGCCGACGGCCCTGGACGGGACGGAGAGGACGCGGTACGGTACGGTAGTGGCGCCGGGGGTGCTGGCGCCGTACCATCAGCACCTGTTTTGCCTGCGCATCGACCCGGCCGTCGACGGCCACCGCAACTCCCTCGTCGTGGAGGAGTCGCACGCCCTGCCCCTCGACGACGCCAACCCGTTCGGCGTCGGGTACGTCACGCGGCAGACGACGGTCGAGGAGGAGGGCGGCTTCGACCTCGACTTTACCAAGAACCGCACCTTTACGATGGTGAATGAGGGCCAGGTGAACCCGGTGACGGGCACGCCGGTCGGGTACAGGCTGGTGCCGTTCTACAGCCAGCCGCTGCTGGCGCACGCGTCGTCGTTTCACGCGCGGCGGTCCGAGTTCGCGGCGCACGCGGTCTGGGTCACGCGGCACCGCGACGGGGAGCACTTTCCGGCGGGGCGGTTCACGATGCAGTCGACAGGCGGCGACGGACTGGCCACGGGCATCGCCGCGCGTAAGGGGGCAGCCGGGGGGGAGGGGGAGTCGGTCCGCGATGAGGATATTGTCGTGTGGCACGCGTTTGGGTCGACGCACAACCCGCGCGTGGAGGACTGGCCGGTGATGCCGAGCGAGAAGATGACGGTGGGATTGAAGCCGGTCAACTTCTTCTCGGGCAATCCTGCGTTGGACGTGGCTCCGGCCAGGCAGGAGGTTAACAAAAGCGTGTTGTATACGGGGGAGGACTCGAACGAGGACTGTTGTCTACCCCAAGCATAATATCTTTAAATCAGTAATGCTTAAAGTTAATTTTTCATAACGAGAAAGAAGTTAGATAAAATAATCAGCGAGTTCAAGCGCGTCGGGACGTTGTGGTGGCTATTCAGATTGAGGTAATGAGCGACTCTGACTAGCCGTGTACCCTGTTCAGTAGCCTAGGCTGTTATTGAGTAAAATGTTTCACTTGAAGAGCTGTGTATAACCGACTGAAGGAAATTAGTATTCTTTCCTCGAAAATTTCAAGTACCTTGGTTGTGAGACAAGGCGGCAAGCAAATCATCCTCGAGGGTTTTGCGTGGCCAAGACGCCGACTGCGGCGCACCGCATCACTTCTTGCAGTCAGCGAAGCACCAAGGGTAATTAAAGTATATATGATGTAACATGATGTAACATGGTGTAACATGATGTAACATGATGAATTAAATTGTACATCACGTCTCTCGTATGACCGTGATGTAAGATGCAAGTGTCAAGATCGGAACCCCGCACTGAATCGGGCAGGCGGTGACCCTCCCAAAGCGTCAAGTCAAGCTCCCAAAGCGGCAAAATTAAGCCTGGTTCTAGAAGATCCCGCCCCTCCAGCTCTTTCCAACTTTTGACGGAATAAACACCAAACAGCAGCTACAGAGAATTACAGGAGATTGTGCGTGCAAGCTGATCAAAAGGGCACTTACATCACAAGAATCGCACGCAATGGCGGAAAAGTGCGTGCACCAGGGCTGTGGCAAGCTCTTCACCGACGCCACCGAGGAGTGCAACTACCATCCCGGGCCTCCCATCTTCCACGAAGGACAGAAGGGTAAGCTGCAAATGTGCCCAGGACCTGCTATCGACAACACCCGCAAGGGCTACATGAAGCTAATGGCGTGAAAAAAAAAATAATAGGATGGAAGTGCTGCAAGCCCCGCGTCCTCACCTTTGACGAGTTCATGACCATTCCGCCGTGCACCGTCGGCACGCACTCGACGACCGACAAGCCGCCCGAGGTGGAGGAGAAGCCCAAGGAGGACGACGCCGCGCTCGCCAAGAAGATCGCCGAGCTGACCGCCTCCGCGCCGCGCCGCACGCCGATCCCCACCGCGCAGGCCGCGTCCACGCCGCCGCCGCCACCGCCCGAGTCCGACGACGACGACCCGAGCCTCGAGATCCCGGACGGCGCGACGTGCCGCCGGCGCACCTGCGGGAAGACACACACGAAGGGCGCCGCGCGGGAGGGCGAGTCCTGCGTGCACCACCCGGGCGTGCCCATCTTCCACGAGGGCAGCAAGGGCTACAGCTGCTGCAAGCGGCGCGTGCTCGAGTTTGACCAGTTCATGAAGATTGAGGGCTGCGTGAGCAAGGACCGCCACCTGTTTGTCGGCAGCGGCAAGAAGAGCCGGGGCGGCGACGGCAGCGGCGGCGACGAGGAGGAGGAGAAGCTAGAGACGGTTAGGTAAGGAACAAACTAAACACACAGCTTTTTTGTTCGTTCGCGTGGGCTAACTAACGCACTACAAGACACGACTTTTATCAGACCCCTTTGAGCGTGATCGCGTCCTTCTTCCTGAAAAAGATCAACAAGGAGACGGCCAAGGTCGAGTTCCGGGAGCGCGCGATCGCGCTGGACCTGGTCACCACGGACGCGCCGCGGCCGAAGCGGTACGCGGCCGAGGTGCCGCTGTACGGCGCCATCGACGCGGCCAAGTCGACGCACAAGGTCCTGGGCACCAAGCTCGAGGTGACGCTCGCCAAGGCGGACGGCGCGTCGTGGCCGGTGCTGCGCGCCGACGAGGCGCTGACCGGTGAAATTCTGCAGATTGGCCAGGCGGGCAGGGCGTGAGGGAGATGGGAAGACGAACAGAACAAAAAAGAAGAAAGCAGAGCATTGATGTGGCGATGATGGGGCATGAGAAAACGGCGATTGGAGTTGGTGAGCAGGGGGTACATTTTGCAACGACACGACGGAGTATTTTATTTTTATTCTCTTTTTTTGTTTGCTCTAGGACGCACGGAAAACGCATAGAGACAAGGCAAGTTGGGGAAACGGGGACTCTAAATATAAAGCCGTTCAACCCATTCTGGCTCGTGAAATGGATGGAGACAAGAGGGCCTTGTTGGCTTGTAGATGAGAGGAATGGATGCGATGAAGGAAATCCGTAACCTCCAATACAGGAGCCACGCGCATGGGATGAGGTTTGGTTTGCTCGGTTGCTCTGTCCTTGGTGGCGCTGGCTAATAAGGAGTTTATCATTAACTTAAAAGACTGGTTGGTGCCAAAGGGCGACAGCAACATCTGATCTTGACGTCCAAATAAAGGCAAATGAACTGAACCCCACTAAGCCGCAGCAGCCCAGCAGATGAGCCGATAAATGAGGGTGCCCTGATAGATATTGGCAGTGACATGTTGATTTTCAATTTTTTTTTTTTACATTAGTTGATCATATTTCTGAAGGAGGATTAACTCGCACGTTACCCTCGGGTATTGTGCCTCATGGCTTGTGATGATGCCACTAGCCTTATCTGTGGCGACGGAAGGTGGCCACTGTGAATGGGCTGCGATAAGCCGAGAGGCTTTTCGCTATCTTATCGACGAAAATGAAAAAGACGCGCCTAGCTAATTGAAAATGGCGAAGCCGTTCTTGGCCTTGCGCTGGTGTGCCTTGGTAGTTGTTTAAAGAGTCGCTGGTGGCGCAAACGACAAGGCCATTACGATAAGCTTTCAGGGTCGTCCGCATTCTTTGTTCCCCTTTCAACATCTGAGAGCAAGAAAACTACAATACCTTAAAACAGAAACACCAGCACAAACAATGGCAGTCGAAGTCTCGCATGGCCGCGGCGGCGCGGGCAACATCAACCCAGACGACACGCCGTACGTCGACGGCGAGGTGGTGCGTGAAGGCGTCATTGGCAGCCACGGCGACGGAGCCTACAGCGCCGGTCGCGGCGGTACGTTATTTCGCCCCCTTCTAACGCATTTTTTTTTCTCTCTCTCTCTCTTCAGGCGCCGGCAACATTGGCGACAAGGGCCAGCCGGCCACGGAGCGCAAGGATCGTGACATCATCCCCGAGGCCGCCGTCCGCCACAGCACCGACACCGGTGGCGACTACCACACGGGGCGCGGCGGCGCGGGCAACGAGCACACGGCGGGCGCGCATAAGGACGACCATAAGGAGGCGACCGCCGGCAAGCCCGAGGGGGCCCCGGCAGAGGCGCCGGTCAGTTTGGCGGACAAGCTGAAGCAGAAGCTCTTTGGCGCGTTCAAGTGAGCGACGGCGCAGGTGAGGGACGAGTGCCGGGGCGCATGCGAGTCGCGCGTGCTTTTCGCGACAAGCTTGCGGAGGTTAATGAAATAGATTCGAACTTTTTTGAACTTTGGATTGCTGCAAATTCGACTTTTCCTCTCTCTTTTGCCTGTCAGGCCGTGCCTTGGTGGTCGGCGCGTTGTGGAACGCCGAGTGACGCATGTTGTCGAGAGGCCGTACGGAGGTTCAATTTGCTTCTTGAGACTTCGATAGAGTCCCAGACTGTTTTTGACAAGACTTCAATCAAGCAGATCTCAAGATGTTACAAGCGCTTCGGGATTTGGTCTGAACTCTGATCCAAAAATCAGACATGGTGGCGCCTAGTTCTCTCGGCATAGAATTAATGCACCAGGCTCTGGGCTTGAGAATGTTCATCACCCAACGCCTGATCGCCCGAGTGCAGGCTCCACCGCGCAGCGCTAGGTAGATCTACGACTACACGGAGCGTTGGGTTGGTTCCGTGGGGGATGATGAGAGGAGATACCGAATAGATACCCCGCGACCACTAGAACCATGCTACTGGGTTCATGTTGCGATGCTGTCGAGAGTCGGTAGCGCGTCTCTCATTAGCAGTCGATCTTTCCTGGTTCGCGCCATCGTACGTCCCGTACCAGCTCGCTTGAACCTTGGAATGCACGCAACACGCCAATGAGATGGCTGTTGGACCCTCCCCCGGGTCAGTTGATCAAAAGGGTCTGTCTGCCTGTCAGAAAGGGCACTAGAGATCCCACGACCCTCACAATCCTCCTCGGGAGCCCGTATCTGGCGTAGCATCATGCCAAGATTGACCGCGCCAAGTGGTCCCCATGGCGCCGGTCTAGCTGTTCATTGCCTCATTGTGCAGCTCGACGAAAGCATGCTTCAGCTGTGCCTTGCTGCATGTTACCAGGGATAGTTTGGCTTTTCCTCTCGCCCTTGTCTGAACTAGCGAGGGTTGGGTGTAGAGATGATGGGGAGAGAGCAGAACGCGGAAAGTATTTGTAGAGCCGAGTCCCCCACTGCTTGGCGATTAATCGCTTGTCGCACTGCTTGCTTGTCTCTGTGCAAGCTCTCGTGGTCGCAAACGGGACCTGGGTCTTGTGAGATCCGTCAACTTGTAAAGCGAATTACATTACTGCAACCCATGCGTGCACGGGTTTCATTTCTCTTTCCTTTGCCAGCGGCAAGGTGATGTCGATCAATCTGGACTGCAACCAGATGCATTGGGTTGAGGAAACTTTTTGGTACGTACATAGGCAGCAGCCAGGCAGCCTTGTCACCGTAGCGCGGCGCTGAAATCTCGCCCGCCAATCGGTGAATCACGTGTACTCAGCACGCCGACCCGGATCTCACGGGGCCAACCAGCTGCGCAGCCATGCCGCCAAACGCAAACGCGTCGACTCGCCCCAACCTTGCCGACCGACGACTCTGGTCCAACATCTCCATCGCCTCGAAGCGCTCGCAATTCTCTTTTGCCACCTCGGCCTTTGAAGCAGACGATGAGCGCTCCTCCTCCGACGCAAGCATGAGCTCCGACGACGACGACGGCAGATTGGCGGCGCTGGACGCCGCTGTTCCCCACTACGGTGGACATGACACCCGGCCGACCAGTCCCAAGGAGATCAAGGGCTGGTACATGTACGCATTTGCGGCAGAGACGTATGTTATATGCGGAATAGGTACGTTTTGCTGAGTATGATCGAGCTGCTTCGATTCTTGCGTTCTGACCGACCTAGGCTCATTCATCCCCATCTTGCTGGAATCACTGGCTCGCGAAAATGGTGTGCTCATGTCCGATCCCACTGTACCCTGTGGCAGCAGCGATAGCAAGAATAAAGACGACGGCCAGTGTGTCGTCTATGTCCTCGGCATGCCCATCAACACAGCCAGCTTCGCCATGTACACCTTTTCCGTCAGCGTCCTGGCACAGGCGCTCTTGGTGGTCAGCATCAGCTGCGCCGCCGACCACGGCAGTTATCGAAAGAAGATGCTTCTTGCCTTTGCTTGGATTGGCAGCTTTTCCGTCATGTCCTTCATCTTCATCAATAAATCGGTGTACCTTCTCGGCGCAATAATCACCATCATCTCAAACACGTCATTCGGCGCATCATTTGTCCTACTCAACTCGTTTTTGCCGCTGCTAGTTCGCAACCACCCGACACTGCTTGCTGCGAAAGCGCCCACCACGAATGGCTTCGGCGGCCCTGCCTTAGACCCCCGACCAAGGCAAGAGTCCGTCGAGAGCCTGGCCAACTCGACCTCTGCGCTTCTACCCGACGAAGCCGCGAATGGCAATGGATTAGAGCCTGGGCCGACGCATGCCGAGATCACATCCAAAGAGCTCAAGCTATCTACTAGCATATCTTCGACAGGAATCGGCATTGGCTACATAGCAGCATTGTTTGTTCAATGCGTTGCCATTGGGATTATTATTGCAATGAAGAATACTACCTGGTCGCAGCGTGTGGCACTGTTTGTTGTCGGCTGCTGGTGGGCCATCTTCACCATCCCAGCTGCGCTGTGGCTTCGCCCAAGACCCGGGCCTCCGCTGACAATCAACGGACGCACCGAGGGCATTTCTTGGATATCGTATTTCTTATACTCTTGGAAGTCTCTGCTGAAGACTGTACGTGTGGCCCGCCGACTCCTGGACATTATGCTCTTCTTGGCGGGCTGGTTTCTCCTCTCCGATGCCATCGCCACGACGAGCTCCACCGCGATCCTCTTCGCGAAAACACAGTTGCATATGAAACCATGGGCGCTGGGGATGATCAACGTCATATCGACAGCGTCCGGCGTATTCGGCGCATTCGGCTGGTCGTGGATCTCCAACTTCTTCGGCCTCAAGCCGCACCAGACTATTCTCGTCTGCATCGGCCTCTTTGAGCTCATCCCCGTCTACGGGCTCATGGGATATTTGCCCTTTGTCCAGCGCTGGGGTGTGCTGGGCCTGCAGCAACCGTGGGAGATGTACCCCCTCGCAGCCGTCTACGGTCTCGTCCTTGGCGGCCTCGGCGCCTACTGCCGCTCCTTGTACGGCGAACTGATCCCGCCCGGCTTCGAGGCGGCATTCTACGCGCTCTACGCCATTACGGACAAGGGATCCAGCGTGTTCGGGCCGGCGATTGTTGGGCGCATCATCGATAAGACCGGCAGCATCCGCCCTGCATTTTGGTTCCTCGGCGCGATTGTCGCGTTGCCGGCACCGCTGATCTACATGATCAATGTTGAGCGCGGAAAGCTGGATGGCGGCAAGGTGGCAGAGGCGCTGGAGGGGGTCGTCGCGGATACCCATCAAGAGGAGGGAGACGACGAGGAGAGACACGCGATGCTCAGACATGACGAGGAGCAAGATTCGGAAGAGACAGCCAGAGGTTAGAAGCGTAATCAGCTCTTTGTATGAGATAAGATGTACACCATATTACCCGTTCGGCACTGTGAACAATCTACTGAACCTGGAGACTGCAACGCATGTTCATGCTACTCACTGTTCTCGCGCAATATATCTAGGAGCGCCTGCACATCGTCCACCTCGCCGTCCAGGGCGGCAGATGGCCCTGGACGGTAGAAATACAAGCCTTCGAATTCTTTGGGGTAGAAGCCCGCATGTTCCCAATCAATGATGGCCTTGACCTTGAGCGTCTCGGGATCAACTATGACGTTATGCGCAGACAAATCGCCGTGGCAAAACACCAGGTCCTTGACCGGCCTCTGCCGCAACTTCCAGGTTGTGCAGGGCTCTTTGTTCAAAACTCGCCACGGGGGAACGACTTGTAAACAAACACGTCAGTTCAACCATCTATCTCTGTCTTTCTCTCTCAATCTGAACAGCATCGGATTGATTCCCCTTATAAAAACGCACCAAACCGTCCGGCCCGCCCCAAGTATCCGACGCCAAGCCGCGCAGCGTCTCCAGATGCCCCTCCACCTCCTTCGCCACGATCGCGCGCTGCTCCGGCGTCAGCTCCGCCATGGTCACGCCGTCGACGTGGTAGTACTTGCGCTCGGCCGTGACGTTGGAGCACTGCGGCTCGCGCCGGGCGTTGAGCATCTGGTTGGTGACGGGAGGCATATTGGCGGGGGAGACCGGTGTGGGAGAACGGCGGGCCGTGTTGTACGATGATACCTTGTAGTAGGGGCTTTGCGACTAGATTTCGAGGATGCAAGTCTTGCGATGAGAAGATGGTAAGATGAAGAGGGTTTATTGGTGGTCAATCAGTTGCTTGATTCGAGATATGTACATAGTGTGGTTGGTGGGTGTTGTCCTCTGCGGTGAAAAGTGGCGTAGATCGTAATACACACTCGATTGTCCAACTATCTGTATGCGGGGAGTCTTGCCCCCGGGCTTGAACGGCACCTTTCTCGAGCGCCTTGTACCACATGTGAGATGTTCTGCGGCAGGAATAGTGACTCTGAATAAGTTTATGAGGACGAGAAAACTTCCGGACGCGTCACTGTCAAGACAGATGGCGAGGAATACTGAGTGCGACGCCGAAGACGTGTGACAACAAGAGAAGTTAGTTGATTGAAGGCTACTATGTACATATGTAGCGTCCGTCTCCACTGAGTTTCTACCTACATACATAGTTAGCGGAGTGATCAGTGATTACCCCTCCCGAGGTGGGGCGGGCGGTTCGGTCCAACTGGCAGCACCAAGTTAATTAATTAGCTTTAGTCATTGCCTGTGGGCCCTGGAAAGGTTGTATCTACCTACCTAATTTCCAAGTACAACACCTGCTCAACGGCGACAAATATCTAGGCTGTTATCGCGTGATACGTTAATGCCAAGCTGTCCCTTTGACTTGTTGTAGAGGAGCAAGTAAAATTTTTGTGGGAGTGTGGTCCAATCACATCGCTCGAGGATAAGAGGTACTTCCCAGTTGGAGGAATATGAGCCAGGTACTGTGGTGCAAGCGAATGCCAGGGATTACCTCCAATCGTTGCACATTAACGAATTCGCCTCATCAAGTACGACAGCTCTGTGTCTCTTCTCTCGATAGCTCCCGTGACCTGCTTGCTCCTTTACGACAGTTACAGGGGGAAAAAAATGCAAAGGGCCAGTCTTGTCCTGAAACTCTCTCAGAATCATTTCTCTCATCTATTATTTCCTTCGCGTTCTGTCATATACCTACCGCGTTCACCCAACTCTCGGTGGCAGCCACTCGAATCCACTGTGGAGACCAGAGCTATTGCAGCTCCTGCGCCAGCGATTTCTGAGCCAGCCAGCTGCCAGCATCCATCTTCCTTCACCAAGACCCAGCAGCTGGTCGGCCACGCTGCAGCAGGCGGACTGGGGCGTTTCTCCCTGTCCTGCATACTGGCGTTGATCATTGACATATTTTCTGCGATATTCTTGTCTCCTATCTACACTACATTCGACGCAAAACGCCAGCTATCGCTGCGCCCTCTGGACACGCCATTGCTCGTGCCGCGATACCACCGCCCAACGTTCTTTTTCTTCGACTCTGACTCGTGAAACGACACCCGACCAAGCCCGTGGAACAACGATCGAACGACTATAAATTCGCCCACCCCCCCGAAGTTCCAGTCACCGACAAAGTGAAAACTTGGTCCGGCGCTGCAACCATGAGCTCCAAAGCTAAGAAGCGTTCGCGCAAAACCGCTGAAGAACGGCCCGCCGACTGCCCCTATCAAGTCACCATGATGCCGAGACCAGCTGCGCGCGATTTTAAGGATCCCAGGGCTGCAACAAGGCGCAAAACTGAGAGCGGCGCTCAGGAGGCAAAGCCTTTCTTCCAGATCTCGCCGTTTGAGCCGGCTGGCAAGTTTCGTGCGTGCGAGACCATGGATATGCACTATCGGATAGACCAGCGGAAGCAGTGGATGAGCATGACAAGATACAACAGCTTTGTCCGTAAGCCACCCCAGCTGCGCATGCTTGTGCTACCTCTACCTACCGGTACTGACTTGTACTTACCCTGTTGGCAGTTAACGGTCTCAAGTTCTTGAACGGAGAATTCATTTTCATAGCGAATGACGATGCCATCGAGCGTCAAAAGTCTGGCAAGCTACCCAAACATGAGGTCGGTCCACGCGACTTTTGGGTGGCTCGAATATTGGAAATCAGAGCCTCCGATGAGCACCACGTCTACGCCAGAGTATTCTGGATGTACTCGCCAGACGAGCTGCCAGCCGCTACCATGTCCGGTCAAAAAACGGCGGCTGGTCGCCAACCACATCACGGAATCAACGAACTAATCGCGTCCAACCATAGTAAGTTTATTAGGTGGGCTGCCGCTCCGACAAAGTTAACCGGCGCTAGTGGATATCATAAACGTCGTGAGCGTTGTCCAGTGTGCGCAAGTTAAGCACTGGATAGAATCCGACGACGAAGAACAAAATGCGCTGTATTGGCGTCAAGCGTTCGATTGCAGGACGAACGAGCTTTCAGTATGTCCAAAGTCTCCAGAAATCTTCTTCTACGGCGCTGACAATCTCTAGCCCATCCATTTACTGTGTTGTTGCCAACGACCCGCGAATCCCGACAAAACCCTGGTTTGCTGCACCAATGGTGACTGTGGTAAATGGATGCACATGGAATGCCTGCGGCAGGATGTGCTCAAGCGAGTGTTTGACCGCTTGGGCGCCGACCATCCCCAACTTCCTGAACTTGCCGTGATTAAGAAAGAAGAGCACGAGGACTGTTTCAAGATGAAGCTACCTCAAGCACCACTCAGCCCACCTCCTGGAGAAGATGATCCACCCAGAGCGGCGATTGCGGTCCATGGGGACGAAATCACCAATGGCGTTGTGAAACAGCTAGACAAGGACACGCCCAAACTGGCAGAGCTGACGCCCCCAACAGCAAATGCACCATTACACAAGACGCTGCGAAAAGGTATGGCCAATAAATTGCCGCTCAGAAAACGCACTTCCATCTCAAAGCCCCAGCTGGATATCTTTAAGGCGGACCTGCGCATGAGCGACAACCCGATGATGTGGCAGATCGATGATCTCAGGGAGAACGTGATCGGAGGGGTCAAGACATGGCCCGAACCGGTGATCTGTTTACTTTGTAAACACACAATTGAATGAAGTGACCTGTTCGAATTGGGTTTTATCATGTTGTTGGTTAAACACGGGTAAGGGTGGGTTTTCAAATAGGATATGTATCGGAGCAGGATATCTGTTAGAACAGCAGACACTACGGGAGAAAAGGGATTCCAAAGGAACCATATCTTTTCGGCGTTTTGGAACTTTGGATGGATTGAATACCCTAGAATAAGAGCGATTTTCCAGATCTTGACCCCCTATCGTCTCAAGATTCCCAGTGAGATCCGAGACAGTACGTCACATTGTTGGAAGCGCGGGGTTGGCACTGCACCAGTCGCCCCACCCTGTCCGAGCTCCCTCACCCCTCTCCAACCCAAAAACCAACGCCAACTCCTCGAACCTAAGCCATATCCAACACCATCCACGTATATATACACAGCGTTGCTGTCATCTCACCATGGCAGAAGTCGACCCATTCGATTCAGCCCTGTAAGATCCCATCCCCTTCGCCTCTGCTCCATACCCCTCCAGCTAACCTCTCCCTCCCTTCCTACCCAGGGACCTGCTCCGCCGACTCAACCCCAAGCACACGGCCGCACACCTCGCCGCCATCACTTCCCTCGCGCCGGACCTGACCGAGGACCTACTCTCGTCCGTCGACCAGCCGCTGGCCGCGCGCCGCTGCAAGCAGACAGGGCGCGACTACCTCGTGTGCGACTACAACCGCGACGGCGACAGCTACCGCTCGCCGTGGTCCAACCAGTTCGACCC